TGTAGAAAATGTTGGAGAATGCTGGGATTATTTTCAACGACCCACTACAAGTCGCTAGTGATGGAGAGAGGCTCAACGTTGTGATTTGCGGCATCGTTGGGCACTGGGTGATTTTTCAATGAATTGATTTGAAGAAAACGGCCCTCGAAGTATAATTGTAGTTGTGCAAACAAGAACTCGTATACTTATACGCGCTCTAGCAAAGTCGAACTATTAAAGCCATTGTGAACTGCCGGTGCCATTCCAATGTCCCAGTTTCCGGTATGAAGCCTCCTGAAGATCCGGTTTCCACCAATCAGCGTTGTTGATCTTCTTGCGGTGAGCGGTAACATTACGGGTTCGTATCAGAAGGACCGGACAAGGGCCATGCCGGTAGTTCTACTACTGCAGCTCCGTGTACTAGATAGTAGTGTCTACATGTATGTACACTATTGCACACTGGCTGCATGCAACCCATCACACAAAGCTTCTTCTCTGTCAGTCGTAAGCCTTGGCAGTCGATTCTGGCATGTCCTGTTGCCAGCCCGAAGGCCCTCAAATTAGGACGAGATTCGGACCATTTCATTTTCTCATCAGGGTCATGACGCCAACACCTGCGGACGGCTCCTACGGCCGATGGCACCGCTACAAGGCAGCGACCGACGCCGTGCTTACGTGGCTCGAGCGCGCCGCGTTCAAAGCCTCCAAGAAGGCAAAGTCAAAGTCGAAGCTGAAGGCGCCCATTGACACGTGGACGACCGGCCAGATCTGGGCCGCCGCCGTCGCGGTCGCCGAGGCCGGCGTCGCCGTCCCACGCGATGTCTGGCGCCGCCTTGCGACGAGTATTCGCCTGCGCTGGCAAGCGACCAAGTGCTTGCCGCGCGACGACGGCCATCTGCACTTTCTCACTTTGCTCCGGGCCATGCAGGCCACGCTGACCCCGGACCGTCCATCGCCATCGACCGCCGCCACCGACGATCTCTCCAACACATTTGAAGCATTGGCGCTGGACGGCGACGACGATACGATCGATGCTTCTATGCCAGCGTTTGATGTGGCGGCGTTCGTGCCGCCTGCCGCGCCGACGTCGCAAGAGACAGCGCTCGCGCAGCTCGAAGCCGATCAGTTTCGCGCGACGTGCTTTCTCCAGGACCTCGACGAGCTCTTGGACGAGGTCGATGCTGTCTGGGCCGCGTTTCAGGACGGCACAACGTCGCTTGTCGCTGCGACGATCGTCACCAACCACGTCGTCCACGTCGCCCAGTCGCTCGCGTCGACGCTGACACTCGAGCTCCCGTATCTCGGTTCGTTCAGTACCATTGATGTGCTTGTGAGCAATAGCGACGCGCTGCGGTCGCTTGTGCTCCAACACGGCGTGGGCCTTGCTCACGCGGTCGCGGTGTGCGAATTCATACGGCGCTCTACGGTCATCAACACGAACGAGTACGGAACGGGCCTCGCCGCGCGTTTTGCAGCATCCGAAGCAGAGGCCAAGGCGCTCGCAGCGCTCTTCACGGCCGACGCGACGGCGCCAGCACCAGGTGTGGCGCAAATGCGGCACGGCAGCGATCTCTGCAGCGTGCACTACGCGTATGCGTACACGTCGAGCATGCTCTGGCTTGACGACGACGACATTGCGCTCGATACAAGCTGCATGCGCTCGCTGGCACACGCGTTTGTTGCGCAGGTCGCACCTCGTTTGCGGATCCTCGCCGACAAGGATATGTTTGCGCTACCGCCCGAGTTGGCGGCCGTCAGCCCTTTGTGGTCGCTCTTGAAGAAGCGCAGCCGCGGTGGCGTTGTCGACATGGCGCTCGTCGTCGCGACCCACTGTCTTTTGAAAGCCATGCTGCTCGTTACCGACGCCTCGCTCGCTTTCACGGTGACGCGCGCGCTCAAGCAGCAGTACAAGTCGACCCTCTTGCGCATGCAACGTGACAAGGCGGGCGGCATCAATACCTCGATGCTGCGCTCGATGTCGGGATGGTACGTCAAGATCCTGGGCGTGACGTCGACCAAGTTGCGCCTCTTCCCATCCGAGGCGGTGCGCGATATGTGGTGGTTCAACCCGTACATGGCTGGCCAATGCCTCCTCACGTCGTCGACTGTCTTTACGGGTCTCGCCGGGCACCTGCTGCTCAATGACGTGGGCCAAGGCCGGCTCGTGCTCCATCTCTACAATGCGCTGTGCATTCATAACCGGATCTTGCCTATTGTCGAGCTCGATATGCTTCTCGACTTGCTCGCCCGAGACAAGCACGTCTTCCCGACGGGGATCCCGACGGCGCCAGGGCAATTCGTCGCCGCTTTTGAGCTCTCGAGCGGCTTTGCCTTGAACACTGTGACCAAGGCCATGCGCGCGTCGCCCGACCGTGCGCTCGAGACGCTGCGTGCGAACGCTGCCCACCGTGAGAAGCAAGACCGCCGCAGCAACCTCCAGAAGGCCCTCGGACGATCCATCACGCGCCATCGCGACGTCGTGGGCACGAGCTTCTCGGACCTGAGCCACGCGTACCGATATGCTACCTGCATGCAGCCGCTGCCCGTGCGCGACGGCGGGACGCTGCCAGATCTCCGCAAACTCTGGCGCGTGGCCGACGACGAGTGGCGCCGGTTCATCCAGCTCGATTTGATGGCGATGAGCACCGTCTTGACCGACGTGGCCAAGGATATCGCAGCGGAAATGATGCCAATGCTGTCCAAAGTGCCCGACCTCAGTGTCGACAACATCATTCCGCGCTTGTTCCATTCAGGCCGACTGCTCCTCTCATGGTGCGATCTAAGCAGCCTCGAGCACGAGCTGCTGCGGAACGCTGCGAGCATCATTACCGCGTCGAGTAGCAAGCTCCAGGACGCCTACATTGTGCCACGCTCGTCGTAATAACACCAATCGTAGAGTCCTCTTGTAGCTCTGTTGTCATGATATGTCATTAGATCGTAGCGCTCTTGGCACATCTACCGTTGTCACAGTCGAGCACATGCTGGCACCTTGCAGCGCGCCAAGCTGCAAGTTTTGTATAATTGTCGACTCGTCGGCTTGTGTTTCATTGTCCAGGCTCATCAAGTGGACCTCCAGAAGATCCAGTGTCCACCAATCACTGTTGTCTATCTGGCTCCAGGAGCTGCCACGTGGTAGAATAATGCAAGGGCAATGTCGGTACTAGGGCCGCGATTGTGTCATGGTTTTTCCATGAAATATACATTTTGGTGCGCTGGTTGCATGAACCCAGCGACCGGGCAGCGACCCATCACTCAGGACAAGCTCCTATGCATATGTATCAATGTATCGAGAGCCGAAAAACCTGTGAGATCCGATGTGCTGATCTAGTGTCAGTGTATCAATCCTACGGACCAATCCACATTGCCTGCCAACACGTACTGGCTACAGCGACCTGCATGACTGCTCCATATACCGTTTTTCTGCTTGCTGTTGACAGTGAGTGTTGACTGTGAGAGCACACAATATCATGGGTTAATAAAATATTGACCCATGACAATATCTATTCGAGGGGATAGACCGCCGTATATTCGAGGAAGTACCCGGTATAATGCTCGTACGCACTATCGCCCACGCCACCCACGAAAGCGTTGATTTGATACACGACTGATACATACTTGATACTTGGACGCCCATCATTAGAAGAGCAAACAGAGCAAATGCGGCATCTGCATTTTGCCAGCGACTGTCTAAAGAGCTGTACTAAGCTGCACGAAATACGTGGTCGTGGTATCTACTCTCGGGCGATTGTATCTCACAAAGAACGCAAGAGCGAGGACCGATCGGTCGACCTCCGCCCGTCAAGTGGCCTATCCACTGACACCGGATACATGTCATCTTTAGCTGCATTGACTGTATAGGTGTAGCCAGCCCATGCGTGCCAACTGGAGCCTTGCCTTGGAGCATCCGCCTCGCTTCTTGATTCAGCGACTACGAGCAGCGTCAGGTAATATGTCACTCGAAATGTTATGTGATTACGACGCAACGCTGGCCGGCACCGACAAGACTACCTACGATTCTTGACGGGACGTCGCTCCCGGCGCAGGCTTGTACATCGACGCGTGCAACGGTTGCGAGCTCGCGCCAAAAGAGGTCCTTTTCACCTCGCGACCAGACGTCGTTGGACAAATCCAGGGACGTGAGGTGCTGGGCCGCGCCAGCAATGGCCGGTAGTAGCGAGAGGCATTGCGACAGCGAGCATCGGTGCGACGCCAGCGCCAGCGACCGCAGCCTCGGCCAGCGAGGCACCGCCTCCAGCCAGAGACCGAGCTCTGTGGTTGTAAACCGATGACCATAAATACTGAGCTCCTCAAGGTCGCGAGATAAGCTCACGGCAGCGAGGAAGGCTTCGACGGACGCGCCTTGAAAGGTGCTGTTGTATACATGAAGGCGCTTGAGACTTACGACGTGCTGCAAGCCCGAGACGAGTGCCGGGATCTCACTCGATGTGACGTTGTGCAGCGTCAGCGACGTGAGCTGCGAGAGCACGCGCTGTGCCCGTGAGTCGGTAAGGAGTCGCACCATGTTCTTGCATGCCAAGTGGCGCAGTGCCGGTGCGTCTTGGATCGCGGCTACGAGATTGTCGATGGCACTGCTGTCCGACGCGCTCAGCTCTTCCCACTCGAACGACGTGACCGACTGTGGCAAGGCGTAGCCGTGCAGCACGCTGCTCTCAAAGATGTCGACAGTGCGCAAATGCAGCGATTGGAGCCGGTCGTTCGCAGCAATCGCGCGGCTGAGGGCCGAAGGCAGCGCCGCGCTCGTGTCCAAAAGCAGGTTCTCGAGCGAGAGATGCTGGACGCGGCGCGTCTGGAGCCACTGGAGCAGCCGGTTTGAAAAGGCAATGTCGAGCTGCACGGGATCTTCGCCGTTGGCAAGCGTAAAGTGCGTCAGCGTCGGGTGCTCGAGTACGTGGAGCAAAAGCGAGAGCCCGTGAATCGCGTCATCGCGGTCGACGAGGTGGACTTCGAGCCGGCGCAGATGCGGTACCGAGAGCAGCATACTGCGCATCTCGCGGGCATCGTCGACGTCTTCGAACGACGAGTAGAGCTTGAGGGCGGCCAGACACGGCCCATAATCTTGAAGCACGTCGTCGAGGTCGGCCGCGTCGCTGAGCGGATACTCAATGTGGATCTGTGGCGACAACGAAAACGTCCCGTAGAGATAGTCCATTGTCTGTTCGTCCAAATTGTCTTCTACTACGTGGACGAGAGGCCACGCGATGCGGAGCTGGCTCGTGGTGTGGCCAAGGAGATGTCGAAGCGCCTGGAGCGGAAGCGTCAAGTGCTTCTCGGGCCATAGCGATAGGAATGCTAGGAGCGTGTCGTTGTCACCAATGTGCTCGACGATGACCTCGAGGATCTCGGGCAGCAGCATCGGGGGGGCGTGCTTGGGCCGGACGGACCGGGACTTTGCCTCGTGCATGGGTACACCGGGTGGTTTTGTAAACTGACGTTGCACATCGTGTGTCAAATATTCAAATTTACAGGCAGAAATTTGAACCCAATCGCTACAGCAACGCTCGCAGACACAACCATGGCGTGAAAGCAACAAGGCATTAGGGGGTGGCTCTTGCGTTGGGTTGCGTGAAGTCGTGACGACTGGCGGTGGCTTGACGGGGACGACTCCTTGCGGATCTCCTTCGCGGGTATTTGCGCGAGTGGGTGCCATTCACAATCCCGTGCAATCACAGCTGGTGGCTGCCAGCACATGCGCTATCACAGCTGTCACTCGACAGCCCCCGTGCCAACAAACGCGCAGCGACTTGCACGATTGATGGCGAGCTGCGTCGGCTACTCGAGCTTTCACAAGTCGCTCGCGACTCGCCCCAAATTCCATTTCGGGGCTGCCGTCGGAGCGCTGCGACATGGTCGATACAGTGTAGAATCGTCCAAGTAGCCGGACTCGCGGACCGGCTTGGACACTGGCTGGACAATACTCTGTGATTGTCCGACGTTTGAAACAGCGGGCACTGACCACTGCGCTGAAACGTCAAAATATATGTTTGCCGCTGGCGCTGACAAAGGTCGAGCAGACTTTGATCGGACGGTCAAGCAGCAGGCGGACGCTGACCATCGAGTAGAGTGCGTGCGTTGGACAGAGGTGTTGCAGCCACCAAAACTGACGTTGCTGGAGTTGCTGGCCGCCGCGACACTACATGAGGAGCAGCCGACCACCAAGTGATGGGGCCGATCCCAGCCGAGGCTTCTCTGCGCATACGAACAGGAATGATGGGCGGATCGATACCGTAAAAGTGCATGTCGGATTCACGAGGAATCGCTCTCGAGGGCGAAAGGCGAGTGATCCAAGCGCCGGAGGACGCGCAGATAAGAGGATACAGGGCTGTGATGGAGTTGGCGTTCCCAGTGATTGATGGCTCTTGAGAACAACTCAAGTTCCTCCCATGGGTTTCGATTTCGAACGAGAAGCCATCATCTGTCCAACGATCAGCGCAGCCACCATAGTTCTGGCCAGCACGGAAAGAGAGGGGAAGGAAGGACTGGAGGAAACGCGGCTGTAACGTCATCTGCAGCCCATAGAGTGATGCGCTCGCTCGTGGCAAAGCCAAATTGGGCTCAAAGGGCTGCTCGATGGCGCCATGACCGCTCTGGGTCAAAATGGGGGAGCGTAGTCGTGGACGTTGCTTGGTCGACGCGAACACGTTCCCGCGGTGGCGACTTTTCTCGGATGTTTCGGCGAGAATTGAGCTGCTGTTGAGATTTTCCACGGGCAAGCCCATCACGATTATGTATTACGTTTGTTGACAAGGGCATCTTGCTCAGAAATAGCAGAGAAGATGGGAATGCACGCTGGCTCAAGTCGAGCCACGACCCCGGCGCACGAGTTGACGGCGCGGAGGGCTTCTCCGAGTTTTACCGCGCCTTCTGCCTCCTTTATGGAGCCAAGCGTGATGGGTTGGCCCATAGTGCCGGGCAGCTGCTCTTAACGTCCGACGGCTGCGATCACTGCTCCAGCTCAATGCTGCTTGCGTGCGGTGGGCGCTTGTGGTGGCAGCGGAGCGAACATATCGTATTCGCCCGCAGCACCTGCGACCGATCTTGTGCCCATCTGTTTCAGAGTATCAATTAAGTGAATTCCTTTTATCCAGTGCGATCTTTGCGACGCGGGAGTATCAAGACATGCCCAACCCGTACTGTTCCCGAACGATTCTGCTGCGACCGCGCGGCTCCGCGCGGAATTGCTCTGCACGGGGTTGTTGGGGCTATGGGTGTAGGGCTCCGCGACTGTAGACCGAGGACTGACACCAGTGGACTGACACTTCGAACCTGCCTGGTAGGTGCACACGCCAGCTATTGAGAAGCATTGGCCAACTTCTCAAAGATTGTGCGAGCTGTAGCTTCTCGCGTTTAGGGTTGGCTGGGTATCCGGATACGACACTTGTACAAAAAATCTTGGTTTTTTGAGAGGTTGCTTCGGACGGTAGTCTTGGCTCGGGCTCCAACGACGCGAGCGATAGACTTGCCCTGCGGACCCACTCCCACTCCAGCTTGAGTACCTACCTCCTTGTTGCCAAACGTGAGGCGGCAAGCAAGCCAAGAAGCCAAGAAGCCATATATCTACGTGATACTACTACGAGTAGCTACGTCCCTTCGCAGGCAAGACGCTATTCTAGGCATACGTACGCAGCGCAGACGTAAGACGTTGGGTGTGTGGGCTTGCCAACCGCCTCGATCGTTGTGCTGTCTAACCGGTTTTACTAGCCGGTTGACGTATCCGGTTTTTACAGACCAGCCGGCTAACCGCGCCAATATGCAACCGACTAACCTCTCCGGCTCGGCCACCCGAATCACAATTTGGTGCTCGAGAGGATATGCATTGCAAGTGTTAGGATAGATAGAAAGCGCTTACTGGCGGCGGCAGGTGAGGAAGATGCCAATGCCGGCGACGTGGACGTCCACGCTGACACCGACCGCGTGGTGCACAAAGCCTCGGAGCTCGTCCTCGGACCACCAGTGCGACTCGTACTTGGACGACGGCACGTAGAGCTGCGCCTTGGCGTAGTCGCACATGGCGTGCGTAACGTGGTCGCCGACCAGCGCCGGGTTCTTCATGTAGTACTCTTCGACGCCGCGGCGGAAGCTGTCGGCGTGCCAGCAGCCAATGACGACGACGCCGTCGTCGCCCGCTACCTCGAGCATCTGGTCGACAACGCCTTGGCGAATGTGCGCGGGCAGAATACCAAACGTGTTCATAACGATCGCGACGACGCGCTTGGTCGTCCAGAAGTCGGCAGGCATCTTCTCTTGCAGTAGCGCCTTGAGCTCGAGCGCGTTGCCTTCGAGAAGGTAGTTGCGCGGGTGCGCAGCCATCGCCGGGTGCATCTCGCGTGCGAGCTCGAGCATGATCGGGTTGATCTCGACGCCGACCGTGTACGTCGCGTGCTTGTCATAGAGCACCGAGCCCATTTCAGATGTGCCGCAGCCGACCTCGATGTACGAGCTATGCGACGGCAAGAGGCTTTGGATGTACGTCTTTTGCGCTTCGTAGAGCTCGGCCATGATGGCGCACTTGTTGGCGTACACCGAGTCGCGCCAGATGAGCGGCATCTTGCGGTCCGACCAGACTGCGACGACGTTGCTGTCGGTCGATGGCGCGCCTTGCAGGAACACTGCAAGTGTCGGGTGCAGCACAAAGGGTGCGACGCCGAGCTGCTGGCTCAGAAAGGCCATCGCAGGCGCATTGACGCTGGGGTCGTAGGCATGGACGACGTGGAGAGCGAGCTTCGAAGCGTACTCGAGGAATGTCAAGACGTCGTCGTCCGCGGCGCTGCTCCAGTCCATGTTGCTCCACACGAGATCGACGGGCTGGTCGAGCGAGACCGCGAGCGGGTTGCCGCGCACAAACTGCGCCGGCTTGACCGCATGCCACGTGAGCCCGCGACTGTCGACGACGCGGATACTGCGCGCCGGGTCGAGGAGCGGCTGCATGAGGTTGGGCTTGCCAGCGTTGAGCACGAGGACGTCCTTGTCGCGGATGAGCGACGCGAGCGACGGTGGCACTTGCATGGTGTTCAGTTGGTGTTGTAGTTGATGAAAGGTCGAGTCGCGTAAAGCCAAACTGATCAAACCTCCGTGGCTTGCCCGTGGTACGTAGACCTTGCGGTTTGTATGCTGCATACAAATATCAAGTATAGGAAAGGCGGTAGCAACGGTCGCCAGCTGGCCACGACCAACTTCAAGATGGCGATTGCCAGCGCAGAGGAAGACAGCGTTATGATTGGCGTCGCGTATCACCCACGACGTTGAGCCCGTCGAGGTCGCCGACGTCGACTACTTGGGGCGACGACGCGAGCCATGATAGCTTGGCTCTGCAGCAGCGATGCGCAAGCAGCGCGCTTCGGTCAAGAGGTCATACGTGGCAAGGGGCACAGTGGGATCAAATCCTTCCATAGATCTGCAACGTGGCAAGCTGGTGTGCGAGAACACCCTCGCGCCGCCCTTTGCAGCGCTTTTTCGCTATGGAGAACGGGGAAGCGACCGCTCCGACGGAGCATCGGCACCTCACACTGAGCCTTGGCTATTGGCCGCCGACCGCGCGGGTGGCGGAGCAAGACGACCGTGGTGACGCTGGGAGGCAGATGCATTGGCAACAGCCAATCAAAACCTTGTATTTTAGTACGTGGGCGAATGCAGGTGCGTGAATCTCAGATTCGTTCATCGTGTTCGTGGTAAGTCGTTCCTGCTTGTTCCTGCCTTGACGTCCCAACGGAGCAAAATGAAGATTGATATGCGCCTGAGGTGTGGGCAGGCGTCGCTAAGGATCACTTGCCGATGGGTTTTGCTAATCCCATGCGAATATGACCAAGATGACGTGGCAAGCGGAGAGATCAGAGAAGGATCCCGCCGTTGAATCGTCATTGAGCCGTGAGGCGAGCGAAATAGAGGAAGTTGCTGCTGCTGCTTCGTCCCTACATCAAGCAAGGCAAGCGCTGTAGCGATGCACATGGAGTACAAAACACTAGTCTTATCAAACGTAGACGACGCACTGCTTTGCATCTTTTGTCGGTGTGAGCCCGAGTTCTTGGATACAGGCGACGCACGCGGTGCGGTCGGCGCTGGAAAAGCATGACGCAACGGCGCCGACTCCAGGCTCGGCGACCGCGAGCGCCCGTAAGAGCAAGAGCCGGTCATGGAGCGGCCACCCGAGCGTATTCAGTCGCACGGTCGTTAGCGTCGTCTTGGTTAGTCCTAGGAGCGGCAGTAGACCTTGCACATGCGCCACATCGAGCGCTGAGCCGTCAAGAGCCAACGACTCTAATCTGCGGCACTTGGGGAGCGCGGCAAGGACGACGGCCATCGCACGAAACGAGAGTTCGCAGTTGGACAAGTCGAGGTGGCGTAAACGCTTGCACGCGGTGGGCAAGACACACGCTACGAACTGGACCTTCTCGGATGACAAGTACGACGGTCCCGTGATAAGCCCTAGTGCCAGTGTTCGCACGGACACGAGGTGGGGCAAGAGCAAGAGCAAGAGCCGCGACCCGATATACGGACGACACGTGTACTCGAACGACGTGAGCTGCCGTAGACGATGTGCGACGCCAGGCTCGGCGACCGAGAGCGCATCGCAAGCTACGTGTTGGAGGTGTTGACCCGACGCTACAAGGACGCCAAGGTCGGCCGTGTCGTTCGGAAGTTGGCGGACAAGGCCATGCTTGTCGAATTCAAAATGGGACACGTTGGGCGGTAGCCGCTGCTGACGAAGAAACGGCCCGTGCAGGAACGGTACACCGTTGAGGCTCAGCGTCGTGAGCGACGCGCAGCGAACGATCGCAGCACAGAGTGCGGGAAGCAGCGTCGTGTCGCCGGCGACGTCGACGTCGGTGCGATGGAGCTTGAGCGTCGTGCAGCCGCGATCGTCGTCAAGGTAGTAGAGCAGCGAGCGGACAAACGAGGCGTCGAGCGGACTATGTACGTCACCGTGGTAAATGAATGCTCGCAGCGGCATGGCAGGCAGCAAGGCGCCGACCCAGTTGGCGTCGCCTTCGTCGGCCACCGCCGTGTTGAGCACCGTGAGCTCCGACAGGCGATGGCAACGCTCCATGACGCGCTTGCACGCGGCGGCATCGGATATGGACATGGGCGCGCCCACGTGTAGCGTCAACGAGACTACGAGATCGTATAGGACGTCATGCAGGTCGACGACGTCCTGTGGCTCCTGGAGTGGGTAGCCTAAGCGCACGCTCGGAAGAAGCTCGCGCACAGATCGAAGACAGACCAGTGTAGCGGCGGACGCCGGCTCGCGTACGATCACGAGCGGCCAGTCGACGGCCACGGCCCCGGACGAGACGGCAGCATGGTCATAGAGCGCCAGAACGCCGAGAAGCGGCGGCGACAGCGCAGAGAGCGGCAGCGCAGCCACAAGCTTGAGAAAGGAAGTCGGGCAGGCGACAAATGCCGCGATCGTCTGGACGAGCTCTGGCACGTCAAGCAGCGCCGCCTGGCTGCGGCGGATGCATTGTCGCTTCGAGGCTGACATCCGGTTTACATGACGCTATCCGTATTGAGCCATAGGAAGCAATATTAAAAATAGTCCTTGCTTTTTATTACCAACTATGCGTAGCGTGGGGATGCCACGTAATGGCTGCACGCTGTCGCGTTCCTCCCACTCCCGCAATATGACCACTACCGCTCCTTAAACAACACAACGGCCTGTTGCACGAGCGCAGTTGGAAGTCCCTATTTTGATCAGATTCAAATAACAATAGCAACCAGGGCTTGTGAAGTCGCCAAGGGAGAACCCTTTAACTTTACCTGTTTCCAGCGCAGCAGCAACCAAAGATGCGTCTGCCTCTTGCTGCCAAGCTCTCAGATGTATTATGAATGGAGATGGCCCTTAAACGTAGAGGAGGCACTTGGATGTGCTGTCCCTTGCGAAAGGTCGTACTCGGCGATCAGTTTGGCACAGCGGCGGCTTGATCTCGCGGATCGCGACGGATGCGGCATGAGCGCGAAGCTTCGGTTGCGAAGCTTCTTGGCGGCCTCCACAAAATATGGCAGCTCGCTCTTGCACAGCACGCCTTCCCAATACATGGTCAAGAGGCCTTCTGTCGCAACGTTCAAGAGCGGCAAGGTCGCCAGCACAACGTCCGTCGGGACCTCGAACGCGGAGAGCTTGACCTCGCGCAATCGCGGGCTGAGCGATATAACCATCAGCAATTGGCGATATTCGTCCGGAGCCACACCCGCCACATCCAGGGCCAGCGTCTCAAGAGCGCGCATGTTGCCCAGAACCGAGATGATCCGGCGATGGATATCAGCGTCAACGCAGACCGCCACGAGACCGAGGTGCTTCAAGTATACCATGCAGCCAAGCAGCTTGAGGAGGCGAAGCGACGTTGCTCGATCCGGGTCGTCCCCAAACTCTGACGTTTGGAACGACGTGAGGCCTTGGACCTTGGCCAGCACCGCGACGTCCTGTCCCACAAAGTTTTCAGACCGTTTGCAGTAGAGGTGGTCCAGCTGCGGGCCGTGGCGAATGGCCGAGGCAAGGTTGCGCCAGCCTTGCACGTTGTTCCAGGCTCCGTATTGGAACGGGTCCCATACGAGGGACTTGAGGTGGACGGGGAGACGCCGTCCGTAGAGAAAGTGGGTGGAAAATAGCGGCACGTCATGCAGTCGAAGGAATGTGAGCGACGTGCTCGAGGCAATGGCGTCGGCGAGTGCGATCATGCTCGGCTCGTTCGGCCTCAAACCAAACACTTCGCGCTGCAGCGCGAGGTGCGTGACGGGCTTTGTGCTTACCCACGTAACGAGGTGCGTCAACATGTCTGGCGACGCCGTAGACGCGTTGCAACCCCTGGAGGCCAGCGTGAGCGACGTGAGACGGGGCAGGTCCAGGAAGTCGGTGGTGAGCGCACGCATGTCGCCCGTCGAATCAATCAACGCGAGCGTCTCGAGACGCTGGCAGCTCGCAAGTGCCGTGCGGTAGTACGCCCACGTATCCGCATCAAGGATATCGCAGCAGCAGCCGGGGTCAGTCGTCATTCTTTCGAAGTTGATCTCGAGCGTCGTGATGCGCGACGCAATGCCTTCCACAACCTCCCAGTCTTGGCGCTTCTTGATCGCGTAGCTGATAATGACGCTCTTGGGCGCTAGCGTCGAAATGGCACCGAGGTCCTTGAACGCTGCGCTCGAAAGGTCTGGGCTGTGCACGACGATGCTGGGCCAAGCGATCTCGATGGACGGCTCGCAGAAGAGACGCGCGAGGCTCGCGAGTGCTGGAGTTTTGGCGCAGGATTGCAGAAGCCGCACAAAGCGACGAAATGAAGCGGGGCACGGAATCATGCGCGCAATCGTCTCGATGATCTCGGGCGCGAAGACGCTGTCGTCAGGGCCACGGGCCAGCCGCTTCGGCATCGTCAATTTGCTTTTGAAAGGCTCTTCATATTTTCTGGCCAACCCATTGGCTATATATCGAGCCTTGTTGGTCAATGAAACTGCGTTTCATTCGTCTAAGCCAATCGCATCGCGCGAAATTCGTTAAAGTACGATTTTGCATTCCCCGTTAAGTGCTGACACATCCTCGGACGTTATACTTGATTAAAGTAAAACAATTGCGCTGAAGTGCGCCGGCGTACTTAAACGAAATTCACGCAACGTTCCGATTACGTGCGATTTCAGAAGCGCGCGAAGACTGCAGCAAGCGACGACGGCGTGTTGGCCCGGAAAAGTCTGCACACCGCAGCGCAGCGAAGGTAGGCCAACGCACCGTCGTAGCAATACCGTTAATGAACGCTTTGCATTGAATACAAAAGTTCCTACCAGCTGATCCCCCAAGGGACCTATTTTGTGATAACTGTTGTTGAAGTGGGACCTCTATTAAAATAGATACGTAAAATTACGCTAAATAAAATTGTCGGACTTGCTTCGTTGTGTAGACGCTGGTGATGATCTTGATCTGGGCCCGCGGGCCAAGGTGCTGGCGCGGCCACTCGTGTTGAGCGAGGAGCCGGAGAAGGCGACGTAGAGCCATCTGCCCGGGATTTTGTATGAGGCTGTGGTGCAAGTGCATTTGAGCGACACGCGCCGCTTTGACGGCAATCATCTATGGACTTGGCAGTGGGAGGTCGGCGCGAAAGACGCGATCGTTGCGGACGCGCCAGACGTTGAACCAGACGCAGGCGCGGAGCACTGGCCAGAGGTAGCGGAACGCGGTTTTGTGATAACTGTCAACGGCAGTGTATCCATCAACACATGTCGCGTGATATCATACTAGTTGTCCTTGGGAGGAGCGTGGCGAAGCGACGGAAAGCACCACGATGCGGCTTGGCGGTGCCATCATCTCTCGCCGCATACCGGTACCTTGAGGCTTGATCTGCTGCATTCGATACAAGCAACCACATTCTATTTTTAGATATATGACGTGGCAAGCGGAGAGGCCAGTTTGCCCTGCCAACGCGGGAACACCAATGCGATTCGACAATACCACCCAAGACGTTGGCTCATGCAGTAGCACAGACGCCATAGTTGGCCTTACAAACCGCGATGCTGATTGATGCTAGGTATTCTGCACGAGACTCCACTGTAGAGACACCTGGACGAGCGAAGCTTGTCGTCCTGTTGACCGAGTGCGATGCCAAGTCGTTGCTAGCATGAAGACAATACATGGACTTTAGAAGAAACACGACTAGAAATAGACTATGCACTGTGTGGAGCCGGCTTGTGGCGCGAGGTTGTACTCGTGGATTGACCGCGTGCAAAACGCCTGGATCTCGGCACTCCATGGGTCGGGCAGACGGGGCACGAGCGCAACATGGCGCTGTGGTAGGTGGGCGACAGCGTTTGCAAACGCCTCAATCTCGAGGGGCCCCCAGAAGCCATGCAGTCGGATGGTCTGGAGTCTCATCGCCGCCGTGTTGAGCGCTGCAAGCATTCCGAGGATGTCGTCCATGGTGAGTTGGTGCTCCGAGACATCGAGGTGCTGCAGGCGAGGCATCTGTGGTACGTGCTGTAGTACAAGCTCGAGGTCGGTCGGACCAAGGTTGTTGTGCTTCATCGTGAGCGCCCGGAGGTTTTGGCAGCTGCACAGCACGCTCACGAGCTCGTGTACGACCTCGTACTCTAAGATCGAGCCCTTGACGTTGAGCTCTTCTACGTCTGGCAGGTGCGTCAAAAGCTCTAGCACCTCCAAGTCGACTGCTTGAACCTCGAGGGACGTGAGGTGTCGGAGCTTCTCGACTACCTCGTCGTGCTCCCAGAGCTCTTCGAATCGCTTGCAGCCGAGATGTCGCAGGTGCGGACCTTCGATGAGCGCAGTCACAAAGTTTGCCAAGCCTTCGTCAGTGCCGTTGTCATCGTGCACGTCGTCCTTGTCCCACTCGAGCGACGTCAAGTTCGTCGGCAGCGCTCGTCCGTGCAAGAAGGCACCTTCAAACACGTTGACGTTGTTGAGAGCCAGTGACGTGAGCGTGTCATTGGATGCGATCGCGTCACAGAGAGCGCCGCAGAGTGCCGATGTTGGCTCGACGTCCAGTGCGACATGACCAAACTTCAAGGTGACCACGGGCATCGTCTGCAGCCAGATGGCGAAGCGCTCGCAAAAGCCGGTCGTCAGGTGGACCTCGCTGCCATCCATGCGACTGCCGAGCGAGAGCGACGTGAGGCGCGGAAGGTCCATGAAGACACCGCCGAGCGCGTTGTCGCCGCCTGTCCGATCGGTATAGTCGAGGCTCTCGAGGCGCGTGCACGAGGCAACAGTCGAGCGGAAGAAGGTCCACGTCGCTTGATCGAGAGCATCCTGAATGTCAAACCGCAGCGACGAGATGCACGAGGCGGCCCCGGCGACAACCGCAAAGTCGTCGCGCGCGCTGATCGCGTAGGCAACGTGGATGCGTGGACGCAGCGGGATGACAGCGGCAAGGTCATGGGACGTCGCGCTCGAGAGATGTGGGCGGCGCACGGTGATCGAAGGCCATGCCACCGATGCTAGAGTCGGAATCGAGAACAATCGTGAGAGAGCGGCGAGCGCCGGGGTCTTGGCCCACGCCGGCAGCGCGCCCATGAACGTGACAAGGGCATCGGGCCCTGGCAGCAGCAGCGCAATCATCTCGGTGATCTCGGGCGCCAAGACCGCATGGGCGATGCTTGCCACGTTGGCCATCGGAACGCAAGTTCGGATAATATATCCAATTTCAGAGGTATGACGTGGCACGCCAGCACGGCCTCTTGGTCCACAGCGGCCAATGGCAAGTAAATGGCAGACATTACGTCATGTGCACCAGTGATAGTATTCAATTCACCTGCTTACATTCGGCGACACTCACAACATCAAGTGGCAGCGCGTCGCTTTGTCTTCGGAGCGCAAGAGCTCAAACGCGGGCCGTGCATTCGGCTCGAGCATGTAGAATGGCTGGTCCTCCGCCCGCTCCAGCGCAGACAACACGCGCTGCTTATTCTGTCTGTCAATGTTGCTCTCGCGAGCCGGTGAGAGCACAAGCGAGTGCAGCTGGCGGCCAGCAGCCACGAGGTGATGTACAACGTTGTCCATGTGCATCAACGACCACGCGCCGACGCCGTGCGAGGCATCGAGCTCGCGTAGGGACATAAGCTGTGGTACCGCGACCAAAAGCGCAGTCATGGCCGCACCGTCCAAGAGGTTGGTGCGAATGTTGAGCGATTCGAGGCACGGACACTGCGTCAACGCTGTGAGGAGTCCTCGGAGCCGTCGCGCGCCCAAGTAGTTGGGGGTGAGCGACAGATGCCGCAACGAACGTAGGTGGGCCAGACCCGAAAGCAACGCCGACCATCGGTCCGTGTCCATCCCTTCGACCGAGAGCTGCAGCGTCGTCAGTTGTGCGAGCATTGGCCATACCAAAGGCCGCGACGCGAGCTCGCCAACGAACTGGTAGCTTAGGCGTTGGACACGCGTATGCTGGAGCGCTTGGGCGAGGTGGTCGAGTGCCGCATCGCTCGGCGCATCGTCTTCCTCGGGTGCGTCTTCGCTAAAGTGCTCGTCGTCCCAAAGCAAGTGACGAAGACTCAAGGGCAGTCGGCGGCCTCGGAAGCCGTCAAGCCCTTCGACGGCTTCAAGCTCGAGTGTTTGCAGCGTCGTACTGGCTTGTAGGGCGTCGCAGAGCGCTTCCGCGACGAGCGCGGGCATGGCCGTGATATGTGAGAGTTGGAGCGTTCTGGCGCGTCCTAGCCGCAGCCACTGCGCCACGAGATGACCTAGGCACGCCGGCGGCGGCGAGTTTCGAAGGCTCAAGTTGAGCTCGCGCACTGTCGGGTGGACCATAGCGTGAAAAAATGCGTCCAGTTCGGGTTCGTCGCCTGCCACTTGTCCTTCCATGTGCAGGGCCAATTCCTGGAGGGACGAGCAGCGGCGTACGAGGTCGACAAGCGCTCGACCGTCGCCAGGATGTAGCTTGCGCACGTCGATGCAAACCGCGAGGACTTGGATCGTCGAGCCAATGTAGGGCACGAGCGCAGCCAGCTCGCTCACGTCAGAGACAGCGTCCGCGAGGCACATGGAGGGCTGGAGCGACATGACTTGGCTCAGCGCGCGCCGCTCGTCGGTCGAAAGCTCTTCCACGTTCAACGTGATCGAGGGCCATCGGAGCTGCATGTGATCGTTGGCTTGCAGCACTCGCCACGCCGCCATCGCCGGCGACCAGAGCGACGGCGGAGTTGCATCGAGGAACGTCTCAAAATCCACTGGCTTCTGGATCCAGGACGCCATCGCCTCGAGGAGGCCGGGCTGGAGGAGGCCGTCGGGTACGCGCCGAGGTCGTCCTGCCGTCATTTTCTGGCAAATGATCTGTCAACGTAACTTCGACTACGAACTTCGTGTCTCAAACCGGAAAGCGATTATCCGGATATCCGGAATCCCGGATAGCCGACCCTCCGACAAGCATGAGCACTGCTCATCTTGGAAGGAATGCTGCAGGTTTCTTGCGCAATGCACGAAGCCAACTCAGTCGTGCTGACGTCGCACGGTCGATTGAATGACAAAGCTGATCGCACTAGAGCCATGCAGTTAGAAACCGTGAAGACAAGGTTGGCACATGCGATCGCGTCTGGGGCAATGAACCGCATCAACAACTAGTCCTCATCGCCATCGTGTCTCTGTGGCATGATCAATGTCGTGTCGCGGTCATGACTCGGGGCAGCACGTAGCGTATCTCGCCAAGTAGTTCACGATGACATTCGCACCGGTGTATAGCAATCAACGCTCTTTCTCTTTTCAAACACAAAAATTGGGTACCAGATTTGCCAAAAGCAAGATTTGGCGCTCGCAATTGCCGGCTGGAGCACGCTCGTGGACGAAGTTTCTGAGATTTACGACGAGCACTGCACGGACTCCTCGGGAAGCGCAAGGCCAAGCAGTGCATGCTCACCATTGTGACCACTGCATTTGGCCCCGACGACGCCAACGAGGTTGACGCGCAAGTGTGTTTACCGCTGTACGATAAGAAGCAAGCGGGATCGGTCCCCAACGAGGCGATGAAGGCATTCTGCGTCGACAATTTGGTGCCGAAGATCGCGCCATTTATGCAGGAATACCTTTCCAGCGCTTGCACCGAATGCAGTAACTTGACGCGACTCAAGTGCGTACATGTACATACTATCAAGACTTGATAATTTGCATCACGGTCAGTTGTTGACTAAAGGCAGGCCTTGATAGAGTCGATTGTGTAGCAAGCTGCGTTTTGGTCGCGACAGTCGATGCAGGCGCCACGTCTTGACGTCCAACACAACCCACTCGTCTCTCCAAGCGACGCTCACGAGTCCGTTGACGACGGCCGACGCACGGTCCATGTAGTAGACATCGTGCTTGATCCAATTCTCATGTCGGAAGAGAAACTTCGCGCCACTGCACAGCAAGAGCGACGACGACCGCAGCCGCAAATCCTCTCGGTAGTACCACCGAGCAACACTGAAACAGAGCACGTTGCAGGCAAAGACGACACCAATCAACGTCAGCAAGCGAGCACGCGACCCAATGACGACAGTGCCGGCGCGGCACTGCACTTGATAGTCGAGCGAGACGATGGTGCACGAAGGAGCGACGGTGATACTCGCCTGAACAGGTGCCAAGATTGCCAGAAGCGCCGATACGAGCCAGATGAGGAGGCTACTGATGAGAGCGTACTTTGGCAGGCGCCACGTCGTCCACGGCAGTCCGAGGTCGTTGACGATGCCGACAAGCCACGTGACTTCATTGGCCGCGAGACACGTCGCGTACCAGGGCACCGCTTGCAACGCAAAGTAGCTCAACTGAGCGTCGGTTGTGAGCTGCACCGAGGCGGACGATAGGAGAGAGAGGGCGGTGATACTCCGGAGACCAATAAGGGGTCGACCGACCCAGACAAGTCCGCCGACACGACTGAGCTGGAGTAGACTGCGGCCTTCGATGGCACCGCGCACGTGAATGAGGTAGAACAGCGAGAGGAGTGCGAGGGCAATGATGGAGATGGTGACGTACTGGACAGCTTGGCGCGCGTAGAGAGTGAAAATTGTTGGTAGCTGTCCCAGATCCGCGGATTGTGAGATCGAAGCCAAGGTGTTGCCCATAAGGGTTAGCGTATTGACGTCGCCTTGGTAGGAGATGACCTCGCGGTTGCCAAGTGCCCAGTCGTAGAAGAAGAGCCAGGCAAAATAGTCAAAGGTAGGATCCGATGGGTCAAACACGGGTGTGTGGAAGAGCTCCACCGGTGCAGACGACGCGTTGGCGTATCCAAACTGAGCCCACTCAACGTTGAGGTCCTGGATGGCCGCAATGAGCGACGGGCGCCACTCGGGCAGCGTCGGGAGATATGGAAGAAAGGCCAGCGCGTTGCGAATCTTGCTCGTACAAGTGTCTCGGCTGTAGGGGCCTTGATGAGCACAAACTGCAGCGATCGTAGTCGTTGCCTCAATGTTGGCCAAGTGCACTGCGAATAGAATATGGTCGCGGATCGGTACGAAACCCAAAGCACTGTAGTAGGAGGCGCAGCTCCTTTGATATGCGTCGGCACCGATGACGTACTCGAGCAACGACAGAGCATGGCGTGGCTGGTTAGGGCACAAGACGGAGCCACTTACTGCGTAGATGGTTCGATTCCACTTGGTTGGCACTGGTGTCGTGTAAAACTCATCAAGGATCGAAATGTACGAAGTTGAATTCCGCCTTCTCGCGCCAGCCACTGCAATGCGAAACGCGGCGATGGCCTCGTGCAGCACCGATGGCGCGCTGATGTAGACCGTGTCGATGGACCCAAACGGCCCGAGGTGCGACGACAAGCGCTCGTAGTTGGCACTCCACGGCAACGGTGGTAGCACGTCTTCCGTTACCAGTACATCTTGGAGGGACGCATTTCGATAGGCAAATCGACTGCTGGACCGAAGAAGACTCGTGCCAGCCATGGTTGATATATTGGTGGTGAGACGGCGGAGATCATTCGCCAAAGACCAGTACATTTTGAACGACGTCTGGCTCTCGATGCGGTAGTACCCCGCGGTGGACTGGAGCGAGAAGGAATAGGGAATGCCATAGGCATTGACAATGCTGTACGAGTAGAGGAGGCCAATCGACTTGTAGTTTTGCCACTGCAGTGTATACGACGAGATACTTTTCGATGCCCAATGAGACTCTTCGTCGTCGATTGAGCGGTACGGTGGCGTGAAAGAAGCCAAGAGCGTTTGACCGGCTGTCGACTGACGCAGCTCGGAGCCAAACCCAATCTCAAATTCTTCGTTCCAGCACGTTGAGAGATCGACATTTCGGAGCAGAGAAGCGAGAAAGACGGCGCCGTTGTTGACCTTCGACTGGCATCGCTCTTGGCGCTTGATCGAGTTGGCCATTTCCCACACGCCATCAAAGTCGAGGTAGCAGTACTGCGTGAAGACCCACGGCCCGTCACAACCATCTATTTTGCGGAGGCTCGAGATCGCGTCGTGAAGAGTGGTTAGGGTTGAGTACTGGACTTTGGCGCCGTGCTGAATGGGGTAGACGATCGAGGCATCCGAAGTGTTGAAGACGCCGACTTGGTTGATGGCAGCATCGTGCAAGGCCATTGTCGACGACCACTGTGACATTCCTTTGGCCAAGAAGACATGCGCGCCCGTGATGTTGAAGGCGGGCCACACGAGGTCGTTGCTGAGCGTCGTTTCCAAGAGCTTGAGGTACGAGAAGCTGCTGCCAAGGTCGAGGCCAACGTAAAGAGAGCCCACGATTAGCCACAGAAACGCCTTGCCTCGGGACGAAAGCTCCAGGCGAGTACCGCCCGACGACTTCACATGGACGGTAGGTCCAAGCATCGGGACGACAGGAGTAAGCACGTCGTCAGCCGCTGGACGGACGATCGCCCAGAGTTTAATATCAAGGACGGCGTTCTGGCGCCATGGTAGGAGACCCATGCAGATGTCATCGATGCGCCTCGTAGCGTCGTCATGTTGCTTATAGAAGGCGTGGGCGACGCCGGGCACAAGCAGCGAGTCCAGGGTTCGTACCGGGTGTTTCGAGTGGTGGAAGATAACGACGGAGAGAACAACGGCAGACATCGCTACGACTGCCAGAAGGAGGAGACGGCGGGGGCTCCCAAGTGCAATCGAGCTACTGTTGCAAACGAGTTGCATGGCGTAAATGTACTCTGGCGCAGGGTCGGCTTCGGTGCACGACCGATCAATCGACGCTACGACCGTCACGGGCCAGACGACGTCGAGAAGAATGCAGCTGCCCATGAGCAGTGTTGTACTCAGCATCCCGGCCGCACGCGCGTCATGGCGTGTGAGTGGCAGCATTAGCTCGTGCAAGACGTAGCTCGCCCACGCTGCCTCCCACGCCAACACCCACGTCTCAAAAAGTGGGCGTCGTGGCAGCTCCAGTTGCGTGTAGAGATTGAAGGGACGAACGATGCCAACGGGGGCCGAGCTCAGAACCAGCATGGCCGTTGCACCTCGAAGCCCGACCAACGGACGACCGAGCCAGGTCGAACTCGCGACGCGGTGAAAGGAGGCTATTGATGAACGGTGCAATGGACGGTCGAGGGTACCAAATTGAAGGGAGCTCACGAGAACGAGTGCACTTAGGACCAGCGAGGAGTAGACCAGAAGGTAGTAGACAGTGATGGACGCTTGGCTCAAGACGCGGGACGCCGGCGATGTTTGCGCGGTGGTGTCGTACGCGTCCGAGATCACGACAAGCGTGCCATTGTCTCCTTGAAACGACACTACTTCGCGCTTGCCCGCAACCCAGTCCAAGAGAAGCACCCAGCCATAGAACGCAAAGGACGATGTTTCGAGTAGCGGCTGACGCAGGAGCGTATCGCTGAGTTCGACCGTGTCGACAGCCATTTGCACGACACTAATGCCGATCGCTGCCGTCGTTGCAGTAGCGTTTTGGACTAGAATCGGATTCAAGCTGCGTGGGACTAGGGTCTGCGCCAGGTGCAAGGACGACTCGCACACCTCCGAGGTCACCAGTCCGCAGATGCTCTCGACTGAGTCGTTGACTAACGTCAGTACAGACACCATCGCGATCGGTGACACGGACATCGTCCACAGTGATTGCACGCGGCATTCGTCGGCTCTTGCGAACGGCGGCTGAAGAAATGTCTGTGGCGTCCCGTGGTCACACAGGAGGCTACCGCCGTAAAAGGCAAAGGACGCTGTCGTCCACGCTGGCGGCGTTGGCGCCACCGTAAACGTCCGAAGTTTGGCGTAGCGGGTGGCCGATGCAGTCTCGAGCTCTCTGTAAATCGCTGTCGATAGGGCTCTCGTGAGAGAGATCAGAGCCACCGGCGGCGACACGACAAGGAGGTCGATCGAGCCCAACGGCCCGAGGGCGGCACGGACCAAGCTCGTGTGGGTGGCGCCAAAAAAGAATGGAGCGTACGTGTACGCCTCGAAGGGTTGCGCTAGCGTCTCAACGCAGGTTGTATTGAGAAAGTTGGGGGTGTCCCGAATGAGGCTCATGTTGCACGCGCAGACGGAGTTCACATCGACAGCGAATGACCCACTGAAGGCATCTGACGATCCAGCGCCATGACTGCTGGCGATGCTCTTGAGCGTCAAAGACGACTCGATGCCAAGGGCGTTGACAAGCGTCGCTGCCTCGTCGAGACGAGGGACTAGCACGTTCTGCCACTGGTAGCGGAACGCAGTGATGCCATGCAGCTGCCAAGCAGCGACTTCTTCCCCCACGGTTGTCGTGACATGAGCGACCGAGTCGAGCCAGCGGACGCCCACTGACGAGGCCTCGAGGCCACGCTGGATTGCGAGTAGAAAGCAGAGGTTAGGGTCCGGCGTCGTTGTGAATGCGACATAGTCCATATTGCGAGCGACCGCCTCGAAGTACACAGCGCCATTTGCCGCGTACTGCCGACGGCAGCGCTCTTGGCGTGTCGCGGTGTGGGCGAGCTCGAGCGATTTGTTAAAGTCGACCCAGCAGTACTGCGTCGGAAGCCACAAAACATTGTCCAACGACATGTTGCGCAAACGAGTAACAGCATGGTCGAGCGAAGATAACTTCGTCGTCAGGAGCGCCATCGTGTACGTTGGGTGCACCATCGTAGTCGTCAGTAGACTGTCGTAGCGTGCCTCAGTCGTCACCACGCTCAAGTCGACGCTGGACGCATCGGGCGCCGTCTCCAAAAGCTCGTTCAGCGCATCAACCACATAGGCTTGGTACCCCGACGCGTTGTAGTGTGGCCAGAACAGGTCGTTGGCGAGTCGCGGCCCAAAGACGTACAAAAGACAATAGATGTTACCAGCAAGAACGAGCCACAGCCAGAGTACGCCCAACACATGCGAGACTCGCGCACCCGTTCCGGATTCGGAGCGGGGCGTCTCGAGCGGCGCGACTCGCATCAGTCGGATGAAACCTCTCTGTAGAAACGTCTGCACCACCAATGCATCGATTGCCGAATACGAACGGCGGGGCTGAAGCGTGATCCCACAGTCTCGGCCCATGTGCGCATGCTTTGTCAGTGCCAACGGAGATTTGCTTCTCCGAGCAGCTTTTGGTGTCAGAGTCTCAAGACCCTCTGCCCGAGCCGGGTCCGGATAAAGATTGGGCTATGTAGCAATCTTTCAAGACAGGTGAGCAGACGATCTTGACGAGCCAAAAATTTCCCGCCAAAAGCCATAAGCCACGTCTAGGCTGCCCTCGATGTATGCATCATTCACCAATTCACAGTAGCAAGTTGACCACTGGAAGTAGCCTCCAAGCGGCCGCTGATGCATTCTTGAATTTGCTTGTGACGGGCAAGAGCAATGAGTTTACATAGTGTGTTGCCCTAATCCTTGCTCGCCCATTGGTGCTCACAAGTTCTGACAAGAGCAAAGGTCCTTGCGAACAGGGCTGAACGGATACGTGGTATACAGTACTGGATACACCAACTAGAATCCAGAGGCACCACTAGATCGCCAAGCGGCAGCGCGTCGTCGGATCGACGGTACCAGTATTGGGCAAGAACATATCTGGCAGGATGCGGGGGCACGTGTCGAGCGTCCGACCCCCCACGTAGAATGGCTGGTCTTGGATTTTGGCCAGCGCTCGGAACATCTTGAGCTTGGCGTCAATGCCATGGTGCCGTCTTCCCGGTGCGTCCATCGAGAGGGACTTTAGATGACGCCCTGCGGCGACGAGCTCGGGAATGTAGCCGAGCACATTGTACTGATCTCTCGAGGCGGTGAGGTGTCGCAACCGGGGCAGTTGAGGCGCCACCGCCAAGAGCTTCTTGATCGTCTCGTCGTCGCAGGCGTTTCCTTGCAGGTCCAAGTCCGTGAGGTACGGACAGTGGATAACGAGAGCGGGCAACACCACGTCGAATGTGCTTGCGTCAAAGCCAAAGTTGGCGAGCTTGAGCTCCTTGAGCGACGCAAGGCGTGCGAGCGCTTCTAAGAGCAGTTGCATTTGAGCTACGTTCATTCCGTCGCCTGTGTCCAGCGACGTGAGGTGGGGAAGCATCGGCCATGCCGCTGGCCGCGATGCGACTTCCTCAAAGAACGCGCAACGTAAATGCTTGAGGCGCGTACGCTCCAGCGCATGGGCCATGTTGTCGAGGGTTGCGCTGTCGCCCGAGTGGGTTGCGCCCCACACCAGGTATCTGAGGCTGGACGGCAGTCGGCGACCACGCAAGCCATCGATGCCTTCGATTTCATGCAGGTCGAGGTGTACGAGCGTCCTATTCGCTTGGACACCGTCGCAGAAGGCATCGCCATCTTGGAACGTCACGCGCAGCAGGCAAAGTTTCTTGGCCGGCGCCGACTGCAGCCACTGGCTCAAGAAGGTGCCCAGTCGCGGCGCATTGGGGTAGAAGAGCGTGAGCTCGAGGTGCCGCACCGTTGGGTGCGCAACGGCCCCCAGCAGCGCATCGAGTTCGGGTTCCGGGTCGCCTTCCATGTACACTGTGGACTCGATCTTGAGCTCGCGGAGCGATGAGCATTGGCGCACAAGGTCAGCCACTGCTTGTCCTTCGCCTGGATGCAGCTGCTCGTCCTCGACCGCCAGCGAGAGGGCCTTGATGGCGGGTCCAATGGTCGGCACAACCGCTGCGAGCTCGCACGCATGGATGATGCTTTGGTTAAAGGTCACGTGGGGCCCGAGTGACAGTGTTGAGCGTAGCATGCTCAGGACGTTGGGCGCATACTCAAACTGGTGCAGCGTGATCGAGGGCCATGTGACTGCCATGGCTGCGTTGGTCGAGAGCGTTCGCCACGCAGTCATCGCTGGTGTCCAGAGAGGTCGCGGCATTGCATTGAGGAACGCGTCAAAGTCTATTGACATCTGGAGGCAGCCAGCGATCGCCTCGATGAGCCGCGGTTGCAAGGGGCCGGGGAGCTCTCTGCGCGGGGCCTTGGCCGCCATTTTTTCGAATGACGTCTGATTGGCTCGATTTACGGTCCAGTCGCTTGTGATTGGGTGAAATTTGCCAACAACGCCAAGTCCGTTGACTTGGCGTCGACGGGCTCGTGACGAGCTGGTTCGACAAGAGGCGGCTACCACGTGCCATTGAGTGCCAGCCAGAGCCGCTGTCGTCCCAATGTCCATCCAAGAATCGAGTCCATGTACAAGTTGTCACTACGTGGGATTGCATTTAAAGGAGGTACGTCAAAACCGCGGTGGCAACGGCGACCGCGCCGACGCTCTGCAAGCTCGTCGCGTCCGAGGCCGTCTGCTGGGACACGCTGTGCGCACCGGACGAGCTGCCCGACACGGGCGCCGTCGTCGTCGTCGGGGGCAGCGTCGGAAGGGTCAGCGACGGAAACGTGTAGCTCGAGTCCTTGACGACGCAGTCGGGCGACGCTTCCGTGCACACTTCGCACACCTGCGCGTACAAGGTGCGGCGGCAGCCAAAGGGCGCGTCGTAGCAGATCTTGGAGTTCTTGTAGCACGGCGGGTTGGCGGCCGTGAGCTCCTTGATCGTCGGGATCGCGCCCATGGTCGACGCCATCTTCTTGGCGTACGTCGAGACAAGAGCAGCCGCACGCGCCTGGTTGGCCGTCGGGTCGTTCGGGTTGTTCCAGAAGGTCAAGTCGGACTTGACATCGGCCCACGAGTTGTTGGGCAGCAACGTCGCGCTGAACTCGGTGAGCTTGGCGTTGCAAAACTGGCTGTAGTTGGCAAACGGCGCGCTCGTCGCCGGGTTGGTCATGCTCGTGATGCCCACGAGGTCGTCAAGCGCCAAGTACCCCAAAATCGAGTACGAGAACGTGCATTTGACGCCGTCGGGCTGGACACCGAACGGGCAGAGGCCGCCCTTGAAGAGCTCGCGACACGCCGGCGACTTGCCGCTCCACTTGGACTGCACGCAGCTGTTGGGGTACGAAAACCAGATCGTGTTGGGGTACAAGGCGCGGCCGTCGAGGCTCTGCGGCACGCCGCCGACGAACGGGCCGAGGTTGACCGTGCCGTTGAGGCCGTTGTACTGGAGGCACGGCAGCGGGAGACTCGTGCCCGCAGGCGTACACGCACCGCTGTCCATAGCCACGAACGGACCATACTCGGGGTACACGTCCGTGTTGGTCGCAAACTGCGCGAGCGACGCGTTCGGCTGGACCATTGTAATGTCGTAGAAGACGATGTTCTTGACTTGGTTCTTGCGCTGGCAGAGCTGGAGGTTGGGCGCGTTGATGCACTCGGACTGGACGTACTTGAGGACGCCTTCAATGCTCGCGAGGTTGACCGTGTCCATGACGGCCGCGAACTGGTCGTCGAACGTCTTGCCATACGCCGAGACGTAGGCCTTGTGGGCTGCATCCCACACCGGCGTGTCGCCCTGGGCGCGGGCCTGGATTGAGCGCACGGGCGCCATGTTCCACGCCAGGATCGCCGGCAGCGCGGCCGCAAGGAAGCCCGTCGAGAGTGCAAGGCGCATGGTACGTTGGCGAATGACTATCGGGCGCATGGCCGCCGTCCGTCATTTGCGCCAGGAGGGACTTGCGAAAGATCGCCATTACCTGCTGTTTGTATGGCAATCGAATATCATCCGCCAGAGGGCCCGCTCCACTTGAGAACTTGTTTTCTCTATGTGGGTGATAGGCGGCTGAAAATACACTTGATGTTTGTATTGCAAATGAATATATATAGAGTGCGCCTTCATGTCCCCCCTCCCAACGCACCCAACTTCAAGTGGCCGCCGAGGAGAGTGGGCTCGCGTGTCGCGGGTCGCAGGCCCAGGCAGCCACACACGCTGGCAAGGGGAGCTGGCGAGTGGGCACGAGCCGGCTTGGCGCCGTGGACTCTGTGGACTGCTGCGCATATTGGCTTAGCATGGGCTTGACGGGGGCGAGATACACCCCGCCTGTGACGAGGTGTCACTGGACTGTATCCATGCTTCGCGCCGACGCACACGGCCAACGCCATAGCAAGCGTCATCAAGGCGCTACCTGCCTAGCGCGGCGTGCGCCTTTCTGGCTTAGCGTGTCTGCAGTGCGCAAAGTAGAGGGTGATGACTCGTGCTAATGTGCATTTGCCTAACCTATAACCTCTAATGCTCGACTAGATTCGCTTGGGCTTGTTCCGGGCACCTCGCCGCAGCCGCAACGCATTGCTGGGGTGTCGCACGCACGACCTCTTGAGTGCCAAGCTCGTGTTGCATGCGCGTCGTGCTCGGCTGGATTCCTGCGGGCTTTCCGTCGACTGTGCCGAAGGTCGTTTCAACGCAAGTAGAGCTCTTCCAAGTTCGCATTGGTCGCGATGCTGGTGCCAATGGCCACGACACCGATCGTTCTGATGGCGTTGCCGCGGAGATCGAGGCGTCCCAGCGCCCGGTTGGCAGCCGGCGAGTGGCGGCAGCTGCTAAGTCGCGGGTAAGTCGGGTCCGATAGCTCGTGGTGAGGAGGCGCGTCATGCAAACGACTGTGCCTTGCACGCCTCGCGACTCCTCGCCGATGCTGCTCGGGTGCCGCCGCAAAGCTCCAGGAATCCAAATATGCATTTTGGTGTCTCAGCAGCAAATAGAAGCATGTGACGCTGCCACGTCACGCATCCCGCCGAGTGCGTCATTGTTGGGGCATGCGATCCTACAACACGGACGTCGCAACGATTTCGCTTCGCCCTCGTCTCGTACCCGGTTGCACTGCAGTGCTCCAAGCTGTGCTACCACGAGATACTGCCACGTCATCAGTCCACAAAGTTAATGAAGAAATATGTCATTCGAGTCACCCAGGATGAAGCCCACTAATTACCACATTGTCGCGAGCGCCACGATTGCAACAGCGCCAATCACATCGTGGGACGACGCGTCCGAGGCCTTGGGCGCCGGCGTGCTTCCGCCTTGGGTGCTGCCCGACGTACCCGGAGCACCCGGCGCACCTGGCGTCTTGGTCGTCGGCGCAATCGTCGGCGGCATCGTCGCCAGCGTCAGCGCCGGGAACGAGTAGCTCGAGTCCTTGACGACGCAGTCGGCGGCCGCTGACGTGCACACTTCGCACACCTGCGCGTACAAGGTGCGGCGGCAGCCAAAGGGCGCATCGTAGCACGCCTTGTAGTTCTTGTAACACGGCGGGTTGGCGGCCGTGAGCTCCTTGATCGTCGGGATCGCGACCATGTTGCCCGAGAGCTTCGAGCTGTACGTGTCGACCACGACCTGCGCACGCGCTTGGTTGGCGGCGGCGTCGTTCGGGCTGTTCCAGAAGGTCAAGTTGGACGTGACTTCGCCCCACGAGTTGTTCGAGAGCAGCGGCGCGCTGAACTCGGTGAGCTTGGCGTTGCAAAACTCGCTGTAGTTGGCAAACGGCGCCTTCGTCGCAGGGTTGGTCATGCTCGTGATACCGACAACGTCGTCAAGCGCGACCCAGCCAAGGATCGTGTACGAGTACGTGCATTTGACACCGTCGGGCTTGACACCGAACGGGCAGAGACCACCGGTAAACTGCTGGCGACACGCCGGTGTCTTGCCGCTCCACTTGGTCTGCACGCAGCTGTTGGGGTACGAAAACCAGATCGTGTTGGGGTACAAGGCGCGGCCGTCGGTCGTCGAGCGCACACCGCCGACGAATGGGCCGAGGTCGACCGTGCCGTTGAGGCCGTTGTACTGGAGGCACTCGGTGGGCAGCGACGTGCCCGACGCGGAGCACGCGCCGCCGTCCATGGCAAGGAACGGACCATACTCGGGGTACACGTCCGTGTTGGTGGCAAACTGTGCGAGCGACGCGTTCGGCTGCGCGATCGTAATGTCGTAGAAGACGATGTTCTTGACCTTGTTCTTGCGCTGGCAGAGCTGGAGGTCCGGCGCATTGATGCACTCGGACTGGACGTACTTGAGGACGCCTTCGACGCTCGCCGTGTTGACCGTGTCGAGCACGGCCGTGTACTGATCGGCGAACGTCTTGCCGTACGCCGAGACGAACGCCTTGTTGGTCGCATCCCACACCGGCGTGTCGCCCTGGGCGCGGGCCTGGATCGAGCGCACGGGCGCCATGTTCCAGGCGTACGTAGGCAGGAGGCCGGCTGCGGCGACGGTCGTGGCGAGGCTCAGACGCATGGTGGATGATTCAAAACTGAGTCACTAGCAGCAGCTCGGGTTGGGGAGGAGTGAGACCAACCACTTGTGGTTTGTATGCTAATGATACGTCAATATGAGCGATAGCGCGCTACAGTTGTATCTTGAATATAGTATGAGCGTGCTTCAACTTCGATTCGTGATTCAAATAGCAAGGTGTTTATGGATATCGAAGATATATATCGAGTGCGCCTCCCGTGGCCGCCGCCCCCGTCAAATATTCGACGCCGGATGACGCAAATTGTGGAAGGAATTTTGTCCGACCCGACAAGGACAGCAACAATGTCGAGGACATGTACAGCATTTGACAAGGATGGAGTGGTTAAATGTGTGTTTTCACAGAGGAATCGAGGGTCGTGGTGTTGCAAAAGCAAATTTTTGAAATATACACTTCTGGGATACAGGTTGGAATCTCACGCCATGTGGCGAAATGTGTGGTGGACGGCGGTGCAATGCTGGACGTGGTGGCTGTCCAAAGCCAAAATGCACGAATCCAAACGTGCATATTATTAAATAATAGCTTGCACAAGCCGCTCCACAAACTTTAGCGTCGAGGTTGGAGTTGGAGTTGGTTTGGGGTCGGCCGTCCGACGAACGGTCCGTGTCTCGCCTCGCATTGTGCGGATCGCTATCATCCTCGAAAATTCCGTGGCCGACTTCGCAGCCAAGATCGGTGCAGGATGTTTGGTGACGAAATAAGATCTGGTGTGTGGTGACTGGCGGACGGAGGCGGACATGGACACCCTCCGTCCGCCAGTCACCAAATTCAAACCACGACACGACACCTCGCTTGGCTGGTCATGCACGTCGTTTGAGAAACATGTTGCAGAGTGCAATTGTTGTTCGAATGGACGATGGTGCGCTTGCCCTTTTCTTGGTAGCGATGCCAGCAAGCTACGTCGGAGAGTGTGACGTGTGCAAGTACCAGTACCCAAACCCGTTCGATCAAACACGGACGATCGCCACACTTCTTGACGGCAAGTGTACGTATACTTCTCGTTGACGCGTTTACGTCCTCTTTGCCTCTTTGCCAAATTTGCCAAAGCATCAGGCAGTTTCGCTTTTCAAAATGACGTGGCGCGCTTTATTGATAGAAACGTGGCACGCTGCGGACGCATCTGCTGTCAGCAGAGAATTGGCATGAAGAAGACGACACTGACATTATGGTGGGATACAAGCGACGCAATGGTGATCTACTTGATGCACGTGCCGTTGGGGAAGTAACCCTTGCCGCCGGCGATGCGATAGCACTTGGTCGACGGGTAAATCGACATAAAGTTGGTCGACACCGAGAAGACGAGCGCAATGACAAAGATCGCAATCAAGATGGCACCGGCAAGCTTGCTCTTGCCACCGCGCTTCTTGAGCTCCTGCATCTCGGCCTTTTGGGGTGGCAGCATAAAGAGCCAGCCGAGCGCCGCGAGCTTGGAGGCATACGAGATGAGAAACGTGTACGTCACCTCCCAGCGCACGCGCGTGTCGTCGCGGCCAATGTCGGTCTGGGACACATCAAAGAACGAGTCGACGAGCTTGAAGAGGACCGACGCGAACGGCGTCGCGAGGTTGTTGACCGTCGTCACCAAGCCGTACGTCGCGCCTTCGTTGCCCACATCGGCAATCTCAACCGCGCAGTACGTAGCGACGATGAAGCGGATACCGGATGGCACGTTCTCGGTGAGCGCAACGCCATTGTAGAACCACTGGTTGCGAAAGACTTCCCAGATCGTGACAAACACCACGCACGCATCGATGGTGAGGATGCCAACCGTGCTGAGCGCAATGACCCAGCGCCAGTTCCAGTGCAGACCCCATTTGCCGACGATCGCCATGATGACCGACACAATGAACGAGCCGAGGACACCGGAGAGCGCTTCGTTGAGCGGCTCGACGCCAGCCCACGTGCGTGCAATGGGCGTCGCCGGCGTCGCACCAAACGCGCCAAAGACCTGGTTCAAGAACTTGAAGGCGCAGATCTGCCACATGACACGGCTCTGGAGAAGCCCCCAAAAGTTGGCGACCCACGCGCGGAACGGAGTCCGCTCGGTCTTGACTTCGACGAGGATGAAGAAGGTGCTGAAGACGATGAGCGCGCACGGCACGAGGCAGATGCCGTACATGACGTTGACGCTCACGGCAAAGTTGAACGACCCGCCGTACTCCTTGCCGTTGAGAAGGAACGCCGTACAGATCTGCGACACCATTTGCCCCAGGTAGCGGAGAATGTAGATGGCGGTCTGGGTGCGGCCGCGAATCGCGAGCGGCTCGCGCTGGGCGTACTGGACGACCATTGCGTCCGCCGCGCAGTCGGCCATGACGTAGCCAAAGCCAACAATGACCGAGAGCACGATGAACTTGGTGCCGCCGTTGGGCGCCTCAAAGTTGTACCACTTGTCCCAGCCTTTTGCCGTGAGGTTCTTGAGCGGCGGCGTGACCGCGGGGCACTTGATTTCGCGGGCGTCGCAGTACGGCGCGGGAAACGGTGAGAACGTCATGATGCAGAGGCAGAGTGTGGCGACACCCCACCCGAGAAGCATCCACGGCTTGCGGCGGTAGCCAAAGATGGGCACGCAGTCCGAGAGCATGCCGTAAAACACTTTGAACGACCAGCCAAGCGTGACGAGGACACCGTACGCAGAAGTTTGGTAGCCTTCCATGTGCAAGTAATTGTTGAAGACTGGGTAGTTGAGCCCCGGTAGCATGCCGTAGAGAATCCCGATCGCAAAGTACTGCGAAAAGAGACCCAGCGCTTCGCGCGAAAACATTGCGAGCGCGCCACCAGCGACGAGCGCACCGTCCTCGAGATCCATCGGCGTCTTGGCATCGACGTAGTCGTCGTTGGTGCTCTCTCTCTTGTCGCGGGTCGCCGACTGAATGTACGAGACGCGCTCTTCAAGGTCCATGGTCCCGATCTCCTTGGGCAGCGTCGTCATCGAAACCGACTCGGCTCGAGAGCGACAAATGAAAACTGAAAAAGAAAGTGGGGCGCGTTCTAGGACCATCGCAGAGTTGCTCGGGATGGCGACTCGTTGAAGGTCCGACACGTTCAACCACATAGAAGAACACGAGTCACCCATGTGCAGTCATGATTGTCTGGCCCAAGGGCGATCTCTCCGTACCCTACCCGCGATCACGTTACGTGCCGACGCACGCAAGTCCCACTCCTGACCAGCTACTGCAAAGGATCTGGCGATTGGTCGCATTCTGGCTAGACCATTCTATTGCGGAAGACTTGGCAATAATACAGTTTAAGCGCTGTTGCGCATGTTCAAATGATACGGCGTTTGCAGCAGATAAGGCCAAGCAAGTGGCGGTTGGGAGGTTCATGGTGGCCGCGAGTCGCTGCAACGAGGCGCAAACAGCGGTGGCCATACTACCAGCTGGTGCCAGTGACGTGGCGTCGACTCAGATGACCAATTTCTCCCACAAACCGTCTGAGTGAGGCAGTGATAACGTCTTCCTATGCTAACAAAATCAAACACGTTGCGACTGACATGCCTCGACCACCAGTGAAAACGACCAGCGCAACGTAAGAGCTTTCGAAGGCCGGCCAAACACTGTTCGAGCTCGTCATCACGAAGTTGAAGGAACAATGCGTGTAGATAGGTGACGCAGGCCAATTACGCAACGTCCACCTGCTCCCGTCTCTGACGTGAGCAAGTCGACCAACAACTTGTTGAAATTTTCATTTTCCTTCCTTGGACCACCGGCGTTGACAGACGACGGTGTTCTGATCACCGGTACCAGGCAGGGCCAGCGACGAGCCACTGCAGGTGTCAGAGACAAGGAGGCGCTAGAGTAGCCCTTGGGATCAACGCCCAAGGTCTTGCGCATGCCCCATCGCTGGTCGTTGAAGAGCTCGAGGAGGCTACTCACGCAGAGGGTGAACCCGCGCGATCAAGAAATGTATCAGGTCTCGGCGACAAGCAAAAAGATGATCAAACGGAAACCTCGTGTCTTTGTTTCTCTAGGCAGATATGTTTTCAAAAAATGGGTGGTCCTTGTGGTCCCCTCCGAAATGCGATAACGTTAGGAGCAGAGCAGCACTGTACGTATAGTGCGAATTGACAGCTTCCCACCGAGACGAGCAAGGAAGGCGCCTTCAGACGGCACAGAGACGACGACCCAACCCACGTTAGTGCAGCGCGCTACCGTCGTTGTCGTATCATAGACACCTCTGGATACATTGGGCGACTCTTCTCTGCTGCAATTTTGCACGATGAACGAGTTCTTGCATGGTGGCGTGTGCTGGTGCAGCTAGCGGTGGCGAGGGCAGCAATTTCGACCTTGGGAAACGTGAGCGCGTCAACGCTTTTGAGCGAGCTTCATCAAGAAACAGGGTAACGTTGGTGTATATATTTGTAGTCGATAAAGGCGTCCTCTACTGAAGCATGGCGGCCACAGCCACAGCCATCGCACCCACCGCCGGCAACATCGTTGATGCTGACGACGCCTTGGGGCCATTGTTGTTGTTGCTGTTGCCAGCCGCACCGGGGGCACCAGGGGCGCCGGCGGGGGGCGCGGTTGTCGGCGGTGCGGTCGCCAGCACGAGCGCCGGGAACGTGTAGCTCGGGTCCTTGACGACGCAGTCGGGCGACGCCGACGTACATACCTCGCACACCTGCGCGTACAAGGAGCGGCGGCAGCCAAACGGCGCGTCGTAGCAGCGCTTGGCGTTCTTGTAACACGGCGGGTTGGCGGCATTGAGCGCCTCGATGGTCGGGAGCGGCTTCATCGGTGCCTTTTGTGTCTTGGTGTACATGTCAACGACAGCCTGGGCGCGGGCTGTGTTGGCCGCCACGTCGTTCGGGTTGTCCCAAAACGTCAAGTCGGACTGGACGTCGACGAACGAGCCGTTGGCGGCCGTCGTGACGCCAAACTCGATCTTCTTGGCCGTGCAAAACTCCTTAAAGTCCTTGAACGGCGCGTTCGTATTCAAGTTGGTCATGCTCGTGATACCGACGACGTCGTCGAGCGCGACCCAGCCAAGGATCGTGTACGAGTACGTGCATTTGACACCGTCGGGCTTGACACCGAACGGGCAGAGACCACCGGTAAACTGCTGGCGGCACGCCGCTGTCTTGGTGCTCCATGTGGACTGCACGCAGCTGTTGGGGTACGAAAACCAAATCGTGTTGGGGTACAAGGCGCGGGCGTCGGCCGTCGAGGTGACACCGCCGACGAACGGTCCGAGGTTGGCCGTGCCGTTGAGGCCGTTGTACTGAAGGCACTCGGTGGGCAGTGTCGAGCCCGACGCGGTGCACGCGCCGCTGTCCATGGCGAGGTACGGGCCATACTCGGGGTACACGGCTTGGTTGGTTTGAAACTGTGCGAGCGACGCGTTCGGCTGGACGATCGTAATGTCGTAAAACACAATGTTCTTGACGTTGTTCTTGCGCTGGCAGTCGGGCGTCGGACTCGCAATGCACTCGGACTGGACGTACTTGAGCGCGCCTTCGACGCTCGCGAGGTTGACCGTGTCCATCACGCCGTTGTACTGGTCCTCGAACGTCTTGTAGTACGATGAGACGAACGCATCGTGCGCCGCATTATAGACCGGCGTGTCGCCCTGGACGCGCGCTTGGATCGAGCGGACGGGCGCCATGTTCCAGGCGACGGCCGACGACGTGGCGGCCGCGACCGTCAAGAACCGAAGGTGCATGAGTACTTGGTAGCAAGTGGGGAAATGAAGCAACATGTGCAATGTCGCGAGGTCGGTGGAATGGTGCACTTGAGAGCATCCTCTCGCAAGCAAGCATGAGCAACGGATATCATGGATGTCGCTACACCTAGGAGATTGTGGGACGCTGTCCATATCTCGCGACGACATTGTGTCGCCTCCATGCGCACGACTATGTGCAGGTCGACGCTGGCGTATGCAGCGAGCGCCGGCGACAAGTCGACCACGAAGGGTGGTTCGGTGATGTTGTGTCCTGAGGCGTGGACCACAAGACAAGTTTGTCCAGCAAAGTTTCGTAACCGCAGCTGTGACACGCGGCGCCGTGACGCGCACTGATTGCGGTTCGCGGTAGAGGTCGTGCCTCTTGTGCGGCTCGCGATGTTTGTTTCAAATCTTTGTTGGTCGCAGCGACGATTGGCTAGTCTAGTGGACACGGTCTCTGTCCGCTAGGAGCCGTAGACACTGTCTGCTGTTCCTAACCTTGGCGTTGCTCTCTACTCGACAGCGACGGCAAGGACATAGAAAGGGCGCAAGAACCACTGCAAGCACAAGACCATCCATAACTGCATCCTCTCACGAGCAGTCGCAGTGTGCGCTGGCGGAATGCGCCGGCATGCGCCGACTGATGGTCATTTCGCGCCAATTATCCGGTTGCGATACGAGCCAAGCGTTGTGGTTTGTTCCAAAGCCATGTTCTCTAGGATCTACCAAGGTTTGTGTGTGGCAGACGCGCTGCTCCTAGCCTTGTCCGTAGCTGCGAAGGTGTGCTGAAACCTGCCAAGCTTGTAGGTTGCGTCGAGCCTGGTAGACACGTATTACAATTACACAAGGTCTTCGTCCGTGCCGACGTCAAATGCGTCGACGTCCTTTTCGAAAAGGCCAGAGTCCCTCGCTGCGCGCAGCTGCGCATCGGAGAAGACGTGCAAACTACAGCAGTGTCGACACAAGGCGTCGTCTCGTTGATCGTACCTCGTGTCGTTGAACGCAGCGTCGTACTGCACGTGGTCGCGCACCGCCTTGTCGCATGGACCGAGCGCCACCTCGGTCGTAAACGGGACGAGCGCGCTGAAGATCGACTTGGCCCGGTCCGCCTTGACGAGGAGGCGGTCGTCGTACGCTGCAAAGCTGTTGCCCAAGATGCAAATCTTCTCGAGCGAAGGCCAATTGCTCAATAGGACGTTTTGGTACAACTGCTTGCCGCAGTGCGGCATGAAGAAGAGCGTCCGCGTCTGTGCCGTGCGCTGGCCTTGCTCGTTCGTCGGAAGAACCGAGAGGTCCATGGCGGCCGCCACCTCGTTGTCCTCCTACACATCAATCGCATCCTTCGATCTGGAGGCACTGCCTTTCTACCTCGGTCATGATCGGGTCGTAAATGAAGGCGTCGGCGAGCGCGTCATGGCCGGCGAGGAGCTCGCGCAGCAGCGACGCGCACACGAGCTGGTAAATGGCATTGCCGCTTGGGCCATGCGCGAACGACCCGACGCCGTAGGCCACGAGCTGCAGCGGCGTTTCGAGCGGCAGATGCGCCAAAAGAACTGCGCGGATGCGTTCAAAGAAGCTCGAGGTACGCATGGCATCGCGAAGCTTGCGCGCACGGTCGATGGCCTTGGCGATGTTGGTCGCCGTCGACGCCTTGGCCGCCGGCTTCTCCGTGTAGGAAAAGGCCGGGCCCGCTGGCGCCTTGGGCGCTGCCGGCGTCTTGGGCTTGAAGCTCTTCTTCTGCTTGCGCCCGACGAAGGTCCACTCGTCGGCCATCTTGCGATCCGGCAATGGACTGGTGATAAAGGCGCAGCCAATCACAGCGCGCGTACGGGATTGTACCTGCTTGTGATTGGGTTGTTTCAAAATGCTTTATTTTCGGCATGATGGCCATGGCGTCCGGCGAGCGTGCTGTCGGCAACGTATGTCCTTGCGGGCCGCTATTCGCGAAAGAGAGTTGTCTCGTGCATGGATCGAGTGGAAGATGGTGACCAATACGATCATTCTAGAGAAGCTACAGTCGTAGCTCCGTGCTTGTGCTTGGTCGCGATGTGGTATTTATTCGTGGCATATGCCGAAAGAAATAGTCTGCTCTTGGATTGGTTGAAATGGCAAGATACAACGGCTGGGATTGGTGGAATCTCTGGAATTTTGCTTGACTTGACAACTGCACACTGACGATGGGATACGGGCAATCGTGGCTCTTCCGGTACCCGGCGCCCGCGCCGCTGCCATCGGCGCCGGTGGCCGAGCCGCCCAAAGCAGCGACGCCCAAGCGCTCGAGCCTGCGCCGTCCGTCTTCCGGCGACATTGAGCCGATCGAGACCACGTCGCTGCAAGATCGCGACGTCGGCGCCTTCTCGCTGCAGCCCATCGCCGCCGACCGGTACGACGCTGCTTTCATCCATCGCCTATGTCCATCTGCTGCCTAGCCTTCTCGTGACGACGCCATGGGCGATCTGCGACTTGCGCTTCCAGCACGAGACACAGACCTTCCAGTTGTCGCCACTTGGTCTCGCGCAGGACGCGGCCGCCATGGACGACGTGGACCGGGCGATGGTCATGGCCGGCACGCCGCCGGACGCGTCGTTCTTATCCTCGGACATTCTCCACCTCTCGGCCACCGAGCGCGTGCTGCTGCTCGTATACCAGGAGCTCCACGGCAAATGCTGTGTCGTCTTGCAGCCGGTCGGCCAGGCAGCCTCGTCCAAGACACGCCAGCGCTTGGAACAAAACGACGTACCGCTCAAGACCGTGTCCATGGCCGTCGAGGTCGGTGACGCGAGCTTCCACGGTGCACTCCTCTTCCGTCATGACGCGATCGTCGCCGTCGGCTACGTCTCGGGTGCCAACGCGGCCATCGAGCTCGACGCCGACACGTTCGCCACGTTCTTTCCGCATCTCGTGGGCTTTCACCACGCCGTGACCGCCTACCACTCGGTGCGCCTCGAGGACACGCGCATCATCGCGCTCGGCTGCGGCAACGGGCAACGCCATCCTGTCGTGTGCCATCGCCCACTGACGTCTCGGGATTAGGGTTGTGCATTTTGTCCAAGGACCCGCCTGCCTCGACAGCATCGGCAACGACTTTGCCACGGCGACGTTTGAGATTGACGGGCCCGTCTCCGACATCAACGTGTGTAGCCCGAGACGCACGGACGGCGCGAGGTGCGTCCTTGTCCTTGTCATCAGCGTCACATCTCGTTATCAGTAGCGGCGTCACATGCATGGCGCTCGTGAGCGGAAGCATCGGGTACGCGGTCGTGTATGCGGATCCATTTGACGCGTCGGCGTCCCCGTCGCTCTTGCCCGACTCGGACTATTATGACAGCATTCTGTGCTGCGCGTCGGCCGACGTGGACTTTGTACCGTCCAAGGACGTCATCGGACGCGACTCTAATGACGCCGTAGGACGGCGAGATGGAGCTCCTCCTAGGGTCGTTTAGCAACGCGCTCGTCGCGTACAAGGCAACGACATCGCCCGACGGGGTGCGCAGCTGGCACCTCGAACCGCGGACCAAGTGGGACTTCTTCTTCTTCGGGCCCGTCTACTCGATTGTGGTGCAAGACATGAACGGGGACGGCGTCGACGAAATTGTCATTGCCTCCACCGACGGGATCCACGTGCTCGAGCCCGACTGCGACCTCGTCTTGGCCAAGCTGCAAGCTGTCTTGGCGCTGCTCCAAACCTAACCCTACCCGCCCAAATTCGGCAAAAAGACTACAAATCAATGGATCAACTAATGACGGCGTGCTATGTTCTTCCGAGATCGTCTCGCTTACTCGGCGTCGGCCGGCGACGCTTCGTACAGCACGAGCTCGTCCTCGTCGGCGAGCGGCGCAAAAAATCTATCTACTTCGTCCTCGGCAACGTCGGCGACCGACGCGTGGAGCCACTGCGGCGCGTTGTCCTTGTCGATGATGACGGACCGGACGCCTTCAAAGAAGTCGGGGTTCTCCATCATGCGCGTGGCCATGCGGAACTCCATCTGGAAGCACTCGGCCGCGCTCTTGGTCGCGCCCTCGCGCATCTGGCGGAGCGTCACCTTGAGGCTCAACGGCGACACCTTGGTGAGCTTGGCGTGGATCTTGCGCGACCACTCGGTGTCCAGGCCCGAGAGGCGCGAGAGAATGCCCTCGACCGTGTCGTCCTTGTTGGTGGCGCCAAAGACCGCTTCGACCGTCGACAGGAACTCTTCGTTCGTCTCTTCGACCTCGGTCTCGAGGTCGCCGATCGATTCGTCAATGATCTCGTCGCGGACCGACTGGCGCATTTCCGGGTCAAAGTCAAACTCGACGAGGTGGTTGCGGAGGTCCACGAGCTCCTTGGACTCGACAAAGTGGGTCGCGAGCGCGACGCCAAAGACCTCGGCGCCCTTGAGGCGCTCACCCGTGAGCGCGAGGAACGTGCCGAGACCCTGGCCCACGAGGGCGTCCGAGGCCGACACGAGCGGCGTGTACTTTTCCTGCTGCGCAATCTTGCGGCCAATGCGCGGCAGAATGTACGAGCCGCCGACGTCCGGGAAGAAGCCGATGGCAGTCTCGGGCATGGCAAACGTCGTCTTCTCGGTCGCGACGACAAACTTGCCGTGCATCGAGAGCCCGACGCCGCCGCCCATGGTGATGCCGTTGATGATCGAGATGATGGGCGTCGACATGGTCGCGAGCGTGTAGTTGAGGCGGTACTCTTCGCGGAAGAAGTCGAGCGCGAGATGACGCGTCGCCGGGTCCTTGCCGTTCTCGTAGAGGAAGCGAATGTCGCCGCCGGCGCAGAACGCCTTCTCGCCCGCGCCTTCAAAGATGATGGCGTTCACGGTCGGGTTGCGCTCAAACTTGTTGATCTTGGGCGCGAGGCTGCGGATCATCGGCAGGTTGAGCGCGTTGAGCACGCTCGGGCGGTTGAAGGTCACGCTGCGGATGCCCACGTCGTTGCCATACAGCACGTCCTCGAACGGCGCTTCGCGCAGCTTCATGCGCTGGACCTCGATGTTCTGGCCCTTGGTCGACATCATCATCTTCATGGCCTGCGGGCGGCCAAGGCGGACGAGCCCGTTCATCGCACGACGGGACAGCATGCTGCAGACAGCGATTCCGGCCCAGTAAAAGAGTGGTGGATGTCAAACCCCCGTAAACCGTTTCCGGACGTCCGGATACGCCGCCGAGTGAAGATCGGATAAACGCACGCCACCTTAGCCGGTGCCACCCGGTGTCGGCGCCTTGCACGCACGGCGACGGTCGACAGACGGGGTGTACAGGGCTTAGCACTGCAGCGAATACTGTGAGCATGCAGAAGGTACTGTTGCAAGCGCTAGTAGCTTCGTTTACTGGCCGACGTACGGCTCGGAAGGACGGTGGGTTTAGCCACGAGCCGACCAAGATCGGCTCCGATGCAAGGACTTCCGAGGAGGGGGACTTGGCGCGCCGAGCGACCTGCCAGGCACGTGCGTCACGTGGTGCGACGTTGAAGCTGGTCGGACGCAGCCTTCGTGACTGTTCTTTCAACGACCGTTCTCGCGTCGCCAAGTTGAGCCGTTGCGTTCCCAATGTTATTAGTGGTTGATTATATAGACACTACATGACTGTGCAGCAGCTTTTGGGTGCTGCGTCGTCCGACTTGGTTTTGCGTTCGTGCTTGTGTTTCGAGGGCTCTCCGGGCACGAGCTGCAGCGGTGCGAGCGCCGGCCCGTCGCCCACATCGCTTTCGTTGTGGCGGTAGGTGGCCTTGGGCGGCGGCAAAATGTGCGAGTTGTTGGTCGTCGGCGCGTGGACCTCGGGCGTGTACTCCGACTTGGGTACCGCCTTGACGCGGTGCTCGCAGTCGACGCCGCACCGGCCTTCCACGTGCTCCGACGCAACCAAGTTGCTCTGGTCGTCGTCGTCGGAGGTGACATTGACGTGGTCGACGACCGGTGTCGGTGCCGGCATCGTCGGTGTCCAGCGCGGCTCGACCTTGGTCACCACTTGCGGGCGGTCGACCGGGGCGTGGACGGCCGGTGCATACTCACTCTTGGGAATGACGGCGACAAGAGGCTTGACGCGAGGCGTGACCTCGACCTCGACCTCGACCTCGACGACCGCGGCGTCGTATACGGCGTCGTCTTCGTGGTCCGAGTCGACTTGTTCCAGCGGTGGCGCCGGAAACGAGGGCGCCCACACCGGCTCGACCTTGGTCACCACTTGCGGGCGGTCGACCGGGGCATGGACGGCCGGTGCATACTCACTCTTGGGAATGACGGCGACAAGAGGCTTGACGCGAGGCGCGACCTCGACCTCGACCTCGACGACCGCGGCGTCGTACACGGCGTCGTCTTCGTGATCCGAGTCGACTTGTTCCAGCGGCGGCGCCGGAAACGAGGGCGCCCACACCGGCTCGACCTTGGTCACCACTTGCGGGCGGTCGACGGGGGCATGCACCTCGGGCGTGTACTCGGACTTGGGAATGACCTCGACGAGCGGAGTCACATGCGGGGCCGTGTCCGTGTCGTCATCGCTCTTGTCACTGGCGTCGTCGGGCGTGTCGTCAAACGACGTCTCGGGCTCTTGTGACGACGGCTGCGGAAACGCAGGTGCCCAGAGCGGCTGCTGCGGCGCTGTATCCAAGTATAGCGGGCCCGGCTTGGGCTTGTGCACCTCGGGTGTGTACTCGGACTTGGGGACGACGTGGACGAGCGGCGTGACATGGGGCGTCATGTCGTTGTCATCGATGGGCGACTCGTAGCTGTCGTCGTCGTCGTTGGTACTTGGCGAGACTGCATCGATACGCTCGTAGTCTTCGTCCGACGATGACTCGGTCGTCTCTGCGATGGCCACTGGCGCGACAACGTTGACGGTGATCGGCGCCGAGACATGCTGCACCATCGTCACATTCTGCACCACGGGTTGGTTCACCGTCACGTGCTGGACCACCGTGCGGGTGACTTCGACAACCGGCTGGACGACCGGCTGAATGACCGGCTGGACTACCGGCTGGACGACTGGCTGGACGACCGGCCGGACGATCGGCTGAATGACGGGCTGAATGACGGGCTGAATGACGTGTTGGACGACCGGCGACGAGATGACGGGTGACACAATGGGCTGGGTCGAACGCGAGGCGACAGGAGACACTACCGGTGACGGCAGCTCGACCACCGGCTTGGCCGCGTCGATGGACTTGGTCACTGTCGGTGTGATCACGGGCAGCGGTGCGTCGTCATCGGGCATGTACTTGTTCAAGAACGACTGCAGGTTGGCACTCGGGGCGGGCGCCGCCGCCGGTGCCGCCGACGCCTTGCCTTGCTCGACCCACGAATTCACTTGCTTGGGGTCCGTGACGTTCCAAACGTCCGCAACAGCGCTGGGGTTGTACGACCGGCTCACTTCGACCACGGGCTCGACGATCGGGCGCGAAATGTACGCTTGTGCCACGGGTTTTGGTGGGTACGCCGACGCTGAAGCCGGAGTTGGCTTGGGCGGATAAGCTTGGTTGTAGGTTGGCGTCTTGGCGGGCGACACCGGTGTTGGCGTGTACGTCGTCGGGGGCTTGACGGGGGACACGGGCTTTTGCCACATCTCGGCCGCCGTGTCCGGATTGTACGTGGCGGGCGGTGACGGGTAGTTGTCCGGGTCGTACTGGTTGCTGCCAGCTGACGACGACGATGCTTCGCGGAACATGTGACCTTGGCCCGAGTAGCTCGGGCCTTGCGAGCTCGGGCGGAGGTTGTGGCTGCTGTTGTTGTTGTCAAACGAGGACGACGACGAGGCGCGGCCATAGCTCGATGACGGCTGCGTGCTCTGAAACTTGAAGATGGGCTGCCCGCTCGAGACGGCCTTCCCGAGCACGTTGCACGCCGCCGAGTACCAAGTCTGCATCTCGTTCTCCGAGTCGGCCGTGACGTTGAGGATGCGGTCGTTGTTCAAGGTGAACGTGAGGCTGTTGCGGCGGTCGTACGAGTAGCTCACGTCGACGACGCGGCCACCGCCCTTCTCGGCGCCGCCGATCCGGTCGTAATACGTCAAGTCGGTTCCTGAGAGCACGAAGAAGCGCTTCTTCCAGCTCTTGACGTTCTGGCCTTCTTTCTCGAGCCAGCCCGAGTGGGTCACGGCGCGGTTGGCGCTCGACGGGCTGCGCTCGTGGCGGTAGCTCATGCTCGACTCGGCGCGACTCAGCGCCGGCGCGACCTTGCGCTCGGGCTCGGCGCACGCCGCGGTCATTGCGTTGTTGCAGAGCACAAACTCACCGACCGTCTTGGTGTAGATGTGCATGATCTTGCCGTCGTAGCCAGCGAGCGTCAAGCCCAGCTCCATGCCCGGCGTGCGCTCGACGGCGGCCAGCGTGAACGTACCCTTCTCCTTCGCCCGCGGGTTGCTCACCTCCTTGTCGTAGTAGGCAATGTGGCGGCCCTTGAGCACCATGTAGCGCTTCTTCCACGTGGGCATGAGGCTACCCTGCTTGTAGATCCATCCTTCCCAGGCCACGGACGCCATCGCGATGGTCAACCTTTGCGCAAATGATCGACCAAGCAGCAGCCGGATAAAGGGCATGGAGCAAGCTCCTGCAATATGTTTTATACATACCACCGGGGTGTTTTAAACACGTGAATGGTATTTCCCAGGTCCCATCGCCTGCCGATCTGGCAGCATATCACAATGGTGCAGCTCAATGGTGCCGGCTCGCAGCTGGCACGTTGTTGACGTACTCGTGTTGTGCACACAGTAGGGGCACTGCTTCAATCTCATATACGTACACAAAATCTGCGAGCTCGCTCTTTCTCTCTCACTGGTTGATGTCAGTCGTGAGAAGTGGAGATCCATGCACGCTTGGTATGAGTTGTGTGTATATCGCCAAGAGCCATCGCCATGATGCCTACCACCGATCACCTTGCGCTCTCAGCTGACACCTCGCCGTCAGCTCTCGCCGTCCACTGAAAAATGTGCGGCTCGAGAAATCGCGCTCACGTCGTGGCGCTCATACAGTGTGTAGCTGGACGCTGTGGCTGCTTCGTATTGCAGTGGTGCATGTCGTCCTTGGTCCTTAACAGCGTCAAGTGCTCGTTGGTGGCCATGACCGACCAAGGCGTGTTTCCAACAGCAAAGTGTGTTTTACGCTCCATTTCTGTATAAAACACCTGCGATACCCAATCAGCGACGGGCTTCGAAAATCGAACCGCATGGCCTCCCAAGTGACTTGATGTTTGTATACTAAAGTGTTGTGTGGTTGTAATACACTTGGTGTTTGTATACCTCGTCCTATGAGATACAATGCACGGCCACGCAACTTCGCCTTACCCACTTCGAATGCTGCGGATATTAATAATTGCATACAAGCGGCAAGATAGAATGCAAGCGAAAAATACTACATACGAAGTTCGAAGCAGACTGCCATTGACAACACAGCAGGTGGCCGGTGAATTTCTCGGATGATGCGTCAGGACGCAGCGCATGACGCGCCTGGCGTCTGCGAACGGCGACCTCGACCAGTCGAGCACCGCAGAGGGCAAAGGACAAAGGCAAAGGGCACGGACGTCCTGCGTATACAACCGACCGCTCCCGCTGCATGCAACGACGTCAATAAGAACTTGTCGCAGCACTACGAACTTCGAGATGGAGCTTTTGGATTTTGGCGGTGCTTTCTTTTTTCTTTAAATCGCAGTGGGGATTAAAAGAACACGTCCCCACACTCCGCACGATCGGCGTGCATGTTTGCACCACCAGAAGTAGCCTCAGTGAACGCTAGCGTGGCTGGGCTCACGAATCGATACATTATCTAGTCGTGTGGCTTGGGTAAACGTAGAACGAGCAGCGAGCAATGCGCCACGTTGCACGGGTTGTTCTGGCATTGTACACGTCTGTTCTAGAGCCTACCAAGTCCTGGCCATTGCTTGCAATCCCCAAAGCAGCCACAATCCCGAGCAATGCGCAGTGTTACATGCCTGCACGGGCTCGTGAAGCCAGTCGACGTCCTCTCCCGCTGCACGTGGTCGCTCGCGCGCTTTAAAGAACATGAAAAAGAAAGCAAATCCGAAGTTCGAACTACAACAATAGGCCTTCTTTGTATGGCCGGCAAAACATTGAACACGGTTTGTGATTGGTTCATTTCCTCGAAATCCGGTGCTCAACGGCATGTGATTGGCCACTGAGAATCGGCTCGCTCGTGATTGGTCACAATCCGATCGTGAGCAACCTCCTCACCTGGTTGGGCGATTCAGCCATTAGAGACTTCGCCATGGCGGCCTACGACTACCAAGGCTGGGTCTTCAAGCAGGGCAGCCTCGTCCGGAGCTGGAAGAAGCGCTACATGGTGCTCAAGAACAAGCAGCTCTCGTACTTTGACACGGAGAACGTGACGGCGTCGACCAAGGCCAAAGGCAGCTTCGCCGTCATCACGATCGAGTACGCCAAGGACATCCAGCACGGGCTGCTCATCCATGGCGTCGGTGGCCGTGTCATGAAGTTGTACACCGAGTCGGCAGAGTCGTGCACCGGCTGGTTCGACGCGGTCACGGCGGTCATGCTCGGCCAAGTGCTTTCACAAGCCAGCTTGCGTGCGAGCTCGCACTCGGCGTCGGCGCCGCGCACGAGCAGCCTCCGCGCCAGCACCAACCAGCCGTACGTTGACGACGACAATGAGCATTGCTCGGGCTGGCTCGCGAAAGAAGGCGGTCGCGTCAAGAACTGGAAGCGCCGCTTCTTCTTCCTCCAAGGCCGGTCGCTGACGTACTATGACAACGACAAGATGGCCGGGTCCGCCAAGGGCAACGGCCAAGTCTGCGGCGTGCGCGTGAACCGCGAGAAGGCGCAGTCGCTCGACATTACGTTCGAGAAAGGACGCATCCTGCGCGTGACGGCCGACTGCGCCGACGAGTTCGATACATGGTTTCAAGCGCTCACGGCCGCGGTCGAGGGCCGTGCGTTCAGAAGAGACCGGGGGTCCATGGCCGACAGTCGGCCGTCGATCGCATCGGGCAAGCCGCCAGTGTTTAGCTCGATGGATTCGTATGCGTCGTACGAAGACGGTGGGTTCAGCCCCGGTGGCACCAGCTCGCGCTATTTGACGCAAGACTCGCTGGACCATCCGCTCGGTCGCAACAACAACTCGTCGTGGCTCTCGTCCGACTCGGACGACGACAAGAGCGACGGCGACTGGCTCTAGACGCACGTACCCCTTGTCTCTACGTAGGATCATCTCACTCACATACTAACTAACTCGAAGCTCATTATTTCCCATTACGCGACACCCTATCTGTGACAGCACGCGCCGAACGCCAAGACCAAAGCGCGCGCAGGCCCTTGCACGCCATGCAGCCGCCCATCAGACGGCTAGTCTCGTAGTCTCGTTGCATGCGTCCACGCGACCGCGAGTTGACGCGGTAAAGCTCGCTTCACCAGCCAAAAAGCACCCAAGGGAACTTATAACTAGTTTGTTCCCTTAGCCGAGTGAACGACGGATGAGGCAGCCCAGAAGGTACAATGTCTGCAGTCTGTAGTCGAGCCGATGATGAGCCTCGCGCTGCTTGGATTCCGACGACGAGAGTTGAGTCTGTTGCGCTCGACGCATTCCACAATTCGCAATGATGTGCAGTTGGTTCGATCTCCTCACTGACATGCTAGTACCCTTGACGAAGCTATCCCAAGATCCTGTGCGCTGTACTGCCCACCAGAAGTAAAACAGGTTTTCGCTTGGCTGACCAGCTTGCGCGTCAGACTTGCCCTCCAATTGATCCTCGTTAAGGGATTTAAATTGTTCTCATTCCAATTGCCAGACTTGAAAAGCCCGTTATTTATTGTCACTAGTTGGTAAGTCGCTCTCACTCGACGTCCACGAAGCCCTAGTCGTGACAGGTGGCGGCAGCAGCTTGGATAGCTCATGCAGTCGATCGTTGGGCAGGCGATTGCCAAGGCTCATCGGTCGGTGGTGCGACCTCTACGACGCTATCTACGGAGGCCTGGAAAGCGTCTCTCGTACTGAGCGTACCACGAGCACAACCTACTAGCTCTCTCGTTGCGGCGCTGGTCTTGAGCGGCGCAACCCTACCCCGCCTCCACGTCGGACCACATGTCGCGATGGTCCAGGACTCGACAACCCTGAGGCCTGAGGCGCTGTGGGATGCTCGTCTTGGAGCACAAGACAATATTGTCAACATCCGAGGATATATTACACTGTGCAATAATATGTCTAACGACTCGAGGACGTGATGAAATGGAAACTACCAAAAGAGGCTTCTAATATGCAGTCGCGTACACAGCAACGTGTACAGGGACTGCGGCGCGTTTCATAAGAGGGGCACCGCAGTCGACGACGATGGCGATGGTTTGAGTCGCTTCTTGGGCGACGAGAGCGGCGACGCGGCGCGCTTGGACGGCGACGCCTTCGAGTCGCGCTTCTTGCACTCCTTGCGGTGCGCCGTGAGGTTGTCGCGCGTCTTGAAGGCCTTCTGCGCGTGCGACGGGCAGTCGGGACACAGGAACGGCCGCGTGTTCTGATGCACGCGCTGCCAGTGCCGCTTGACGATCTGCAGCGTCTTCATGCTCTTCCCGCTCTCCTCGCTGAACTCACAGCCTTTGACCGGGCAGTACTTGGGCCCGACGGGAAATGGGAGCTGGTCACCGAGCACGTCGGCGGCGTCGGCCTCCGGATGCTGCTTGGCGTGGAACGCGAGTTGGAAGTAGTTGGAGAAGACGCGGCCGCAGCCGAGCATGCACTTGAAGGGCTTGATGCCGTCTTGAAGGAGGTACAAGGGCGCCACCATGGGCACGAGTGGTGGCGACTTGACGACAGGCTCTTTGCCGGTCGCCGCGGGTGGCGGCTTGGGCTGGACACGCTTCTTTTCCGGGGAGGACCCGGCTTGGGACTGCAGTTGCGCCTGGAGGTCGAGGATGACCTGGCGCTGTTCCTTGATCTTGTCGGCGAGCTGGCGGCAGCGGCTGTCGCTGCAGTCGTCGCAGTTGGCGTCATGGCCATGCGTCGTATGCGTCGACGTGGGTGTTTTTTGTGGTTTTATGGTCGACGGTTTGGCCGACGCCGCCGACGCCGACGACGTGCTGGCCTTCTTGGGTAGCTTCTTCTTGGCTGCGGCCGCATGCAGCGACGCGTGCATGCGGAGGGCCGCGCGCGACGCGTACTGCTTGTCGCAGTCGGGCTCGGGGCACAGAAACGGGCGCTCGCCCGTGTGGACGCGGCGGTGCGAGCGCAGCGACGCGACGCGCGCAAAGCACTTGTCGCACTCGGGGCACTGGAGGCTCTTTTCGCCCGTGTGCACAAACATATGGTCCTTCAGATGCGCATTGTCGGCGAAGCACTTGCCGCAGCCGGGATGCGTGCACTGGAAGTTGCGCAGGCGCGGGCGCGCGGGCTTGGCGGCGGCCGACGACGGCGACAAGGTCGACGACGACGGCGAGAAGGCCGCTGGCATGGGCGGCTCGAGCAAATCGAGCGGCTCGAGGAGGTACGCGTTGGCCGGGAGGAGGTCCGGCGTCACGGCCGGCGAGAAGCTCAGATCAAAGTCGAGGAGCGGCTCGTGGTGGTAGAGCGTCATGGGCGGTGCTGGGTCGGGCGGCAAAGCAATGGACGCGGGCATCGGGATCGGCGCAAAGCTCAGAGGCAGATGATGGAAAAAGTACGGACTAGTATTCGTATGGGCGGGATGCGCCATGTAGAGCAACGCATCGAGGGAAGAACTGCTGAGAGGGAGCACGGACGGCTCACGGAGGACCGTTGGCACACTCAGGATGCTCCACTCGCGACGGCAAAAGACGGTAGGGGCGCGTTCGAGGATCGAACGCTCAGACCTTGGGGGATGATTGAGATATGGGTCCGGTTGTCACACGTCCACTTTGCACTTGCGTTAAACCGCGTTAAACGACGCACGTTCGCGTTAAACGCTTCGATACAGCCAACGCCGCCGTTTTTTTACGCCAGCGACGGGCGCAACGCCCTCGAACGCGGTGCACTTGCCGTTGCGGCAGCCACCGACGCTCGCGTGAGGTCGCTACCGCACCACGGCGCGCTCTCGTTCACGCGAGTGGCCAGCACTGACCTCAAGATCCGACGCAAAAGGCCAGAGAAAATAGCCCGTCGCGATCGCCGGGTAAATGACTGGCGTTCAGGCTTCGTCGGCGAGGGCGGGGTGACGTATTCTTCTGGTGGTGGAGTAATAGCCCCGCCTTCCATTTGACAAGTGCGACAGCCGTACGTAGCGGTTAGGGCTGACGTATACAAATCGCAAGAGAGTGGCGCCCGCTTCAACTCGGACGGGTGCGAGTCACGCCCATGTTCCGCGGGAAGGTGCAGCTGCTAACTCGTTGCCGTTGCAAGTACTCTTCGTACTGTAGGCCCCAAAGCGCTCCTACTAACTCCAAGAGCAAGCTACAGCGACAGTCGCTTATTTCTTTTGGTGTCGGATCACGTAAGCCGCCTGAGTTGATTGGCAAGTTTCGGATTCGTAATACTGTAGGTGCCACCCACGTAGCGATCGATGATTGGCTGAAATCCTGACCGCACACGAAGCGGGCCAATCATATGGCGTGATGACCTGGATTTGGCGGGAACGACTGTCGTGCGGTGGGGAGGTGGAGTGCTAAACAGACTGTTTGTCGACCTCTGCGCACGACGGCATGTCTGCACTGCGCTGCTGCACTCACTGCACCTGCTACTACAGGAGGCTACCTAGGGTATCTATCGATATTAGCATCCTGTTGGGTTGCCAAAGCTTCCATCGCGGTTGCCATCGAAGAAGTGTGGAAAGAATACGACGATGTAACAGACGTTGAACCATGAACGACGAGGCGCACTGGCCCCCATCACCTCGATCCCGGGATCTGCGGGCGTTGCTCGCGTCGCTGCCTGAGCTGGGCCGACCTCCAAAGAGCACAGCGAGTGTCGCCATCGATCCTACTCGGCAAGTGCCAGAGATGTTGTCGTCCATGTTTCTCACAGATGAGCTCCTGCATGTAATCGAAAGCGCAATCGCAAAAATGGGTGCGCACGAAATGACATGTAGATGCGAAAAGAGATACGCGAGCAAGCCGCGCTCCTACATGCCAAGCTCGGCGCGATCGAGCGGCTTGAAACCGAGAACGACGCGCGTGCAAAGGCGCTGGCCGACCGCGTCGACAGCCTCGAGCGCCGCCACGACGAAGCGCGGCTTGGTTTTGAGAAGGTACACGCCACCGTTGGGTTGGCACCGAGGGTTGCTCGTAGATGCTCCATGCATTGACACAAAGCGTCGAGGCCAAGCTTGGTACGCCTCGAGACCATCTCGACATCGCGCCAATACTGTCTGGACTAGACGCTTTGGAGCAGCGTGTGGCTGCGCAGAGCAGTCTCCAGTCGCTCAACGAGGTACGCGCGGATGATGATGATGCTTCGATGCACCCGATCGAACAAAGACGAACCCACGTGGTGATGGCGCAGGACCTTGGTCGGCTCAAGCTCCATGAGAAGCAAGCGGCGGCGGCCGAGCTCGACCACCAATTTCAGCATCTCGCCGATCAAATTTCACGTGAAGCACGGTGCGTCGCAGCCGTCGCGACGCAGCACGACCAGCTGGTGGCCAAGATGAGCGAGTTGGAGGCTGCTTGGCATGCCAGCGCAGCGCTCTACGACAGTCGCATCACGCAGGTGGTTCTCCAGCTGCTTCTGACGCGTACCCATGCGTCGCCATAGACGCTCGAGCTCGCCAATGCGCTCAACGCCGGCCAAGTCCGTCCACCCATTGCATTCTTGACACTACAGCGGTGCTAGGGGCTCTTGGAGGAAGCGTACAAGCTCGAGACGCAAAAGACGATCGCGAGCTTGCGCAAACACCACGATGTACACCCTTAGCTGGACGCAGGTTGGACATGGTCGTGGTTGGTAGCGCGTGGAGCGCGAGTCAAGTAAGCTTCACGCTGCCCACGACACGCAGCTGCTGCAGCTTGAAGTGTTGAGCCGCGAGCTCCACACGATGCGCGACTTCACGCAGCGGACCTCGGACGAGCTCAAGGATGTCGTGATCGGCGTCCGCATGCAAAGCAACAGCAACACGTCGGCGCTGCGAACGCTCGCAGAAGAGATCCTCAAGCTCAAGCGCCATCGCGCCGAGGAATTTCGGCGGGCGTCGTTCGAGGAGCTCCAAAATCATCGCGACGACACGAGCGACGATGTCGTGACCGTCCTCAACAAGGCGCTGCTGCAGTCGTCGTATGCCGCCTTTGTTCCGACAAAGCGAGGTCCGTCGCACAAGTAGCAAGTAACACGTACTCAACGATGCGCGTGGGATGAACGCTCGTCCGTGCGTCATCATCGTAACAGAAGCAATGTTGCGGACAACATGACCACTGCCAGGGAGAGTGGCATGCGGTATGGAGGCGACGACAGTGCCCTTTCTATTGAATTTGCAATATCGGGTGCGATTTGTCAGCGAAGCGTACACGCCTAGCCGATTACCCGTCACACATAGCACAGGTCCCTCGAGGGCGCGCCGGGATGCACGCGGCCGTCGCCGGCGAAAGCTCTCGAGTTCGAGCTCATGGCCGAAATCGAGAAGGTCCAGGACCATCATTCGCCACAGGCTGCTGTGGACTATTTAAACGCAACCTTTATATCTAATTCAAGTATAATTTCAAAGAAGCGTGCTTTATACACGCGAATGTGCGTGCGCTTATCCAAATGCACGCGACGCTCCCGTGGCACATGCATTTTGAAGCCGACCATGGACTTTGACGTGGGGTCCCGTGCTAGGAAGCTCGCCAAGGAGCAGGAGGCCCGGCGCGAGGCTGCGCGCAAGAAGCTGCAGAAGGAGCGTGAGTGGAAGGAGCAGGCCGAGAAGCTCCGCGTCGAGATGGAGCTGGAGAGCCAGCGGCGCAAGGCTGAACAGCTCCAGCGCGAGCTCGAAGTACATCGGCTCCATGCTCCATCGTCGTACCCATGTCGCCGAGCTAGGAAGAAGAGCGCCGCCTCGAGGACGAGCGAGTCACAGGTGGTATTGCCTACAAGCAGACGCTCCGCGCCGTGGCCATTGACAACGACGGTGCATCGTCCTTTTTGGTTCGCATGACGCTCATTGCTCTCTTGCGCAGGCGATAAGATCACACTTCCCGTCTCCGCGCTCGAAGCACTCAACCCACAGAACGCACTCGACATGGGCGTGCTCTCCTTTGAGCTCACGCACTTGAGCGCCACGACACACGCGAGCGTCCTCGAGTTTGTCGCCGACGAAGGCACCATCGGTACGAGACCCGCATGACACAGCTGCAGATGCACTACATGCCAACTAGGTATTCCGCCCAAGATTGCCAAGTCACTCGACCTGCTTACGCACGACAGCGTGGCCATTGGTGTTCGGTTTGTGCGTCTTGCCCGAGGCCGCTTTGTCCAGCTCCAGCCGCTTGGCGACGGGTTTGGCGACCGGCAGCTCGATCTCAAGGCATTGCTCGAGCGCACACTCAAGGTACCTACCTGCAGCATGGACAGGAGGCCTGACGATTTTGCGAATAGAACCACACCACCATCACACAAGGCGACATCCTCCTCGTCCGGCAAGGCGGTGTGACCTTTGACATTGCCGTACGTCAAGTGCTGCCCGAGCCACAAGTACGACCGCATGAGTCTCTCAGCGCCAATCTCTCATATGCATTTTTCTACTAGGTCCAGATTCTAAATGTCGACCTCGAAGTCGACGTCTTGCCGAGCGAAGCCGTTGACGCTGCGAAACGCGCCGCCGAGGAGGCTGCGCTAGCTGCTGCCCACGCCGAAGAACTTCAAAGAGCCAAAGCCGAGGTACGATCGACCCTGTGGCCACGACCATCCATAGTAACGACTGTGCAGTGCTTGCAGGCTCGCCAAGCCGACGCTGGTGGCCGGCTGCCCGACGAGCCGCCGACCGAGATGCCCCGCACCAAGATCGTGATTCGACTTCCGAGTGGCAGCCCCGCGACTCGCTTCTTTGCACCCGACTCGGCGCTCCAGAGCGTGTTTGACCTGGTGATTGCGGCCACCGGCCTCGAACACTTCCAGCTCGTGGCCAACTACCCTCGGCGTGTGTTTACACTGCTGCAAGCTGGCGACTCGCTCGCGAGCGTGGGTCTCTCGGGCCGGCAAGAAGCGCTCTTCATCGAAGCCACCGCGCCACCGAGCGACGACGACGCTGCGGATCATGTCGTCGACGACGTCGACATGCTGACAGTTGATGCGCCAACCGAGACGGCGGCGGCGTGGCGAGTGGCCTTGGACCGATGGGCAGCAGCACAAGACGCGGCGCTGCATGCACCAGCCGATACCGTGCACGGTCTGGAGCCTGTGGCGTCACCAGGAGGTGGCCCGCATCTCTGGGACTCGCAGCTGGCGGAGCTGGCTGCCATGGTGCGAATAAGCGTCACAGAGCGTATAGAGACTCATATGCGTTCTATGGGGTTAGGGCTTTACCAACACGGCCCTCAACATTCAAATTCTTGAGAAATACCAAGGACGGCTGTTACGGGTCGTCAACTACCTCTCCGAGCTACACGACTAACTCATCCAGCTATACAAGACTAGAGCCAGTGCTAAGCGTCCTCGGCCTCGTCGTCGTTGTTGTGTGGCATTGTGGGCGCGTCGTCGCTCTCGGAGCGCGCTGTCCGAGGTGTCGGGAGGCGCCGTGGCGTGTGCAGAGCGAGTGGTGGTAGCTGTAGCTTTTTGGAGGCCTCTCGAAAGAGTCGTTCTTGGAGCACATCGTCGATGAGTGCCGGCGGTGCGCTGAGTGGGCAGTCGCTTCGGAGGACCATCCCGAGCCGCGTCGATACAAAAGGGGCGAGCGCGTTGGATGTGATGTGGGGGCAGTAGGCCACGTCCAGCTCGAGCAGCTTGGGGCAGTGCTCCAGGAGCGCGGCCATCGACGCATCGGTGAGTCGCTTGCAGCTCGCGACGGTAAGCGCCGCGAGGCCGTTGCACTGTGTCGCGAGGGCCGTCACCCCGGCGTCCGTGATCTTGCCGCAGCGCGTGAGTGAGAGCACTTGCACCCAAAGCGTGTCGGCGATGGCAAAGAGGACGGCGTCGGTCACGTCACGGCAGTAGCCCAAGCCGAGGCGGCTCAGGCGCGGGCAGGCGCGAAGCAGCGCAATGATCGCGTCATCGTTGACGCACACACAGCCCGTCAAGAAGAGCGTGACGAGGTGCTTGCATCGGTCACGAATGTAGCGCAGACCCTCGGACGATAACTGCATGCAAAAGCTGAGGTCGAGGACGCGGAGGTGACTGCCGACGTCGGTGCCGTTGAAGATGTCGAACGTGGTGTACTTGAGCCTACATCTTATGAGTCCCGAGTTGTTGTCATGGCGAGGATGACATTTGATCGGTGGCAAGGAGACAGCCCGAGACGTCGAGCGATACAAGGGACCGTGCGCGGTGGTGGAGGTACGCAATGGCCGTGTCGCTGAGCCCCTTGCAGTCGGCCAGCACGATCGTCTGCATGTGTTGAAGGAGGCTTTTGGCGACGTTGGCGCGACCGTCGCCTTCGTGGTCAAACGTAAACGCCTTGTCCGTGAGCAGCACGAGCTCTTGTAGGTTTAGGGTTGCTAGCTCCAAGCAGTTGTGCGTGGCCGCCTACCCGATCTAAGGTTTGCAAGGTGCACTCGAGACGTACCCACAGGCCCACATCGGTGATCTTGTCGCAGTAGGCGAGGTTGAGCGACGTGAGCTTGGTAAACTTTCGACAGAGCGCCGAGAGCCCTATGTCTTTGAGCCGCCGACACCCCGAGACGTCCAGTATCGATAGATTCAGCGCGTTGGAGACGCGGGCAAAGCCTTCGAAATCGCTCAGCTGAATGCAAAAACTGAGCTCAAGCCGCGTTAGGCGCGGGTGGGCGAGCCCGATCGCGCGCAAGCTGTCGTCCGTGAGCTTGCCGCAGTTGGCAAGACAGAGCTCTCGGAGGTCCATGCACGCTGCCAAGGCCTCGATGCCTGCGTCAGTGAGCAGCCCACACGCGTTGGCGTGCAGTGCCTTGAGGTTGCGACAGCTCTTGGCCAGCGCGAGGACGCTGACGTCCGTGAGATGGGAGAGACCCGAGACATCGAGGGCTTCGAGACCGCTGCAGCGCACCGCGATCATGCAGATCGTCTTATCATTGAGCGCCATGCACCTAGTTGAACTATCGCATGAGAAGAGAGTATAGATAGCGACTCGAGTTGTACTTGGCAAGGTTGAGTGCAAGACACGAGCGGTTTGCGCTCGTGATGACGTCCATGTCCTTACATGTGACCGTAGGGACGCTCGAGAGGTCGAATCGCCGGCCATCCTCGCCGGCTTGGAGCCACAAGACAAAGTACACCACGACGCTTGGTGTCTCGAGGTCGCAGAGCCACTTGAGGTCGGTCAAGCCGTCTCCGTAGTGCGTTGCGTAGACTGACACGACGCGGCAGATAATGTCGGCGTAGGCAGCCACTTCGTCGGTCAACAGGCCGTGCAGCGACGACTGCGCCGGGTTGCCACTTAGAAAGTACTGCACGGGCAGCGATGCCAGATCCAACAGCGACAACGTCTTGATCGACGTCGGGTCTGGCGTCCAGTAGCTCGGACAGAGCTCTGTCACACAGCGGTACGCCTCTCGAAAGAGGTCGCTGAACCGCACGTCGCGGGGAAGGTACTTGAGTATCTCGGCGCATCCCTTGTAGTTTTCACGCAGCCGAAACGCGTCAAGGGCGCGGCGGACCTTGGCTTTGTACATCTCTTGGCTGCGGCGCTGGTCGAGGTCGTACTTGAGGGACGAGCAAATATTGATGGCGTACGCCGCCAGGAACGACGGCTCTTCCGGGGTGTAGGCAAGCGCCTTGGTGAAGCGCGCGGCCGATAGCTCAAAGAGGCGGTCGGACGTGATCGCGCGGTCGACCGACCCGAGGAGGTAGTGGCGGTAGAGGGTGTCGCGGGAGAGGGGTTTGGTGTAGTATGCGACGTGGGCGAGCGACCCGACAAAGTACTTGCCGTTGGAACTGGCGTTGGCGACACACCCGATGCGACAGGGTCGAGACTCCTTGGAGAGCTCTTCGGCGATCTCGTTGTCGATCTTGGCGTTGAGGTCGACGCGAAGCTTCTTGAATGCGTCCTACCATGAGTCAGTGCTGTGAGCGGTGGGGTTTGGACGCAAAAGCACCATGATCGCATCGACTTTGGCGTGGTAGTTGGCGGTCGTGTGCTGCTGTTTCGCGAGTATCTCGTAGTCGGGCTTGGTCGCAGGCTTGACCTTGGCCGTCGTCTCGGTCTCAAGCTTGCGTTGGGACGCCTTCTTATTGAGACGTTCTTTGAACTCGGCCTCGTCGCGAACCTTCTTGGCGAGCTCGGCGATGAATTTCTTCCCTTCTTTTGAGCTGAAGTAGACCCGGCTCTCCCGCTCGACGGCCTTGAAGCAGTCGGTCTTGGCGGCCTCTTCTTGCGCCTCCAAGTTGGCACGGAGGGCCGCAAACTACAGAAGCAGGATCCATCCCCTACCCCTAACCTGGTTGCAATACCTTGGCATCCCGCCGTTGGAGCTGCAAGTCCACTTCGGACACGACGTCCAAGTCGCCGTGGAGCACGCCGCCGACAAACAGAAGCAGCGTCGCGCCGTCAAACGTACACGCGACGTGCGTCCACTCGCCATAGGCAACGAGCCCGCCCGTGACGACCACGTCGATGTTGCGCAGGTTCACCCACGCACCCCAGCGGTGGTTCTTGAGCACGGCAAGGGTGCACCGGCCGTGGCTGAGAATCGCGCGAATACCGCTGCCGTCTTTAGTCGGACACGCCCATGCCTCGAGCGTCACGGTCGACTCCCACCGCTGCGTGCGTTGGCACCCAATGTAGCTAGTCAACGAGAGACTCTATGGACAATCTGTACACAGAACGACAACGTACGCGTGGGTCGCGTAGGGAAAGGTCACGGCACGACACAAGTCGTCGTTGGCGATCGGACCACTCGCCTCCAGGATGCAGGACGGCGAAAACTTGCCGTGGTCGCTCGACGACCCGAGATTGCGGGCCACTTTGGCGCCGCGCCGCTCGGCGAGCGGCCAGTACCCCACCGGTGCATCGGTGAGGACGCCCGCTTGGTAAGTCGTGCCTTGCACGAGCGACGCGCGATCGAGCAGCAGCGACGCCGCAGCGTAGTGCAAGAGACTCATATTGTGCTTGATGCGGCCCGTGCTGGTCAGCACGAGGTCGTCGGCGGTAAAGACAAAGCCGTGTGGCGACGCTGTGAAATGTGCCCAGCAGTCGCTCGTCAAGTCGATGCCGAGGCATTGGCAAAGGTACTTGGCGATGGCCACCGGGGCGCGCCGGAGGTTGAGGCGCTCGACATACGAGACGGCGATCGGGCCAAACCGACTGCGGACGCCGTCAAAGACGTGAATGTCCCAGAACGCATGAGCACCGTCACCGACGCCCGAGAGGAAGTTCAAGTACGTCAGCACCAACTGGGCGTGGTTGGGACCCATGGCGAGCTGGCGCGATTGGAGCTGCTGCCGCAATGCAAAGCGCAAGAGATTTTTGATCGTACGTTGCAGCATCTCGACAAGGAGGCGTTCGCGGAGCTGCTGTGTGGGGTCGAGGATCGCACCTGTGGCCACTGTCACGTTTTGCGTCGAGTCGTGGGGGTATGGACGGTCCAGCGTCAGCGTTGTCGTCGACACTTCGTCGTTCCGCGACGTGCTGATCTGCAACAAGGGTTAGGGTACATTGAGGTGAAGTGCATGGCGAACCGTGTACGTGTCGCCGTGGATGTAGACGACGTCACCGCGCTGCACCTCGCGGGTCATGTCTTGCGTCGTTGTCACGACGTTGCTGTTGAACGTCATGGCGACTGAGCCGCTGAGCTGATACCGAAACTGCGCGCGGAGGTAGCCGAGGTGGCGGACGTTGATCCCGTGCCGATGCAGCTCGGCGACCAAGTCAAAGCCTGGCGCGTCCACGTACATCTACCCCACAGTGTCTTATTGCCCATCGTTTTCATCTCCACCATTGAACAGTGGAACATACCGGTCGCGTCGCTAGCTTGCGCGCAAACGCCGGGATGACGTCGTCGAGGAGGTGCGCGGTCGCGGCCGTGACGCGCTCAACGTGCGTCTCCCAGTCGGGCGTTTGATTGGTCAGAAACGAAAGCGCGTCACTCGAGAGCGGCAACGGTTGGGTTTGGACCAACGTTGGTCGGAGTTGGCGCCATAGAATACTCATCCCGCGCGTCGAGCTCGGCAGATGCCGTGTGAGGTCGGGATCTTCGGGCGGCATGCTTCGGCGGAAGCGCAGCAAGCAGAGCCATTCGTCGCGGCCAAGGTACCCGTGCATGTCGCCAGCCCCCGAGAGCATCTTGGCTGTGAGGTCTTGTGTCCCGCGCACGCCGTGGGCGGTGAGGTTGAGCGCAGCGTTGGCTTTGCGCACCGCACCGTCGAGGCTCTTGCTGTGGTAGGTCACCGTCCGCCCTTTGTTGTTGGTGCCGTAGACAAACTCGGTCGAGATGTTTGTGATCGCGCCTCGGTCGTTGATCTCGTAGCGCTCGATCGGGAGCTTAGCCACGCAGAGGACACGGAGGCCGCAGTAATCCACCGTGCAGACAAGCGGCGCCAAGACATTCGGGCACGAGAGCAGTGTCGGAAGGTACAGCGCCGAGTTGCGTACTTCGGCGCCCGCGGCTTTCATCGCGAGCTCGTCCGCACCTTCGTACCGGCCGTGGTCGTCGACCGCCACTTGGAACCGAATGTTGTGAGCCTCGAAGCGGAGGCCTTTGCCAAGGCTGCTGCGCACAACACCGTCGTTCCGGCCATCCATCTGGAAGGGCAAGGTCGTGGCGAGTGGCAACATCGACTTTGCGTGCACGGGGAGGTAGTGTTCGCGCGCGATCTGCACCGCAATGTGCGACGCTACTTGGACAAAGTCTTGGCACACGTGAAACATCTCGACCCATGCATCGCTGGAGGCATCGGTCAACGAGCGTTTGAGCCGCTCGGCCCAGCACGTCCGGTCGTCCAGCGACGTCGGCCGTGTCTTGGGCGATTGCTCGTCGATATTGGCGGCTTGTAGTTGCGTCTGCAGCAAGTCGAGCGAGAGCTGTGCGTGCTTCCATTTCTGAAGCGCTTCGTCGGCGTTGGCTTTGGCGGCCGCGACGGCCGCAGCTTGGTTTTTGCGCTCGAATTCGAGTCGCTGGACGAGGTCCCGGCCGTTCGCGCGGCGCTGCCGGGCCTTGGCCGCGACGGACGCCGCCTTGAGCTGCGCTTTGGCGACGTGCTTGGCCAAGTAGATCTCTTGCGATTGGAGTGTCGTGGCCGTGGCATCTCGAAGCGTCGACTCGACGTCCGACGACGCCATGTACATGAGGCTGTCGGCCAAGTCGTCAACACCCCGGAGAATGCGAAAGTGGCCCATGAGATCCGCAACAAGGGCCTCGCGATCAAACGTAAGCTCGTCACTTTGGTTGCTCCCGATGAGGTGCTTGCGAAACGCGAGGACGTACTCGATCGCATGGCGCTTGGAAGGTAATTCGAGCAGCAGTTCTCGGAGTTTAAAGTCGGTGAGACCGTCACAGACGTACTGCAACCGGTCGCTCCAGTCGTCGAGCTCGGGCGTCGACGATGCGAGCGCAAGCCACACGCGCTTCTCAATCGACGAACACTCGGCGAATGACGCGTTCACACCGCGCATCATGGCAATGTGCCGGGCTGCCATCTGCGCCTGCTTGGAGCGGAGCGAGGCTTCCGGCACAAAATGCTTGGGCTCAACCGCGCTGCTGCGAAACGTGGGCGGCGGCCCGGGCGCCTCTACCGGCGTCGTCGTCTCGGGTACATCCTCCTTGCTCTTTTCTGCTATTCGCTTGAGCAAAGTGGCAGTCTCTAGCGTCGGCAGCCGCGCACGCTTGAGCTGGTCGATGAGCGCCGACGAAATCTCGGCAAAATGCTCCAAATTGAGCGGATCGAACCGAAGCTGAACGGGCACATAGCCCGCGTCCTCTTCCATTTCACGGAACCGGTGGTCGACCTCCTCGAGCGCGTCTTGGACCGCCTCCTCGACCATGACGCAGAGCACTTGGCGTCGGTCCATCGTGAGGCCTTTGGTGCGCAATTTGACTTGGCGCATGCGAATCTTGGCATCGAATTTCATCTTCTCGAGCGACATGTCTTTGGTCGACTCGAGCTTGTGCCACTCGGCTTCGGCGGCGGCCCGGGCCTCCAACAGCGCCGTGCCCTTGGCGTGGTAGAACGCTTGCTTCTTCGCTGCCATGTACGCGTCGTGGCGGCCCTTCTTGGCGCGCCACGAGGTCTGGAGACGCACGGCGGCCCGGGTCGCCACGTCCTGTCGATACACCAGCAGGTTGCGATAGGCGCCATGGTCGAGCGGCACGACGTTGGAGAGGACTTTGGTCTTTCTCGACTTGAGGTATTTGCTGTAGTCGGCCTTGAGCGGGTCGTTGGCTCCCATAGCAAGCGCACGAATGTGCAGAATCTCCATTCGGTGGGGCACCAGCGCCATCCGCGGGCGAAGGTGCTGCTTGGCGAGCGTAAATTTGAGGTCCGAGAGCGAGATCGCGCCGAGCTCAAACTGGTGCAATGGTGCAATTGTCTGCGTCTGGAGCCGACTCCACCCACTGAGGCGCCACGGCACGCGGAAGAAGCGCGCCAACAGCTGCGATCGCTCGACCTCGTCCTTGCTAAAACGTTTGAAATCTCGCCACGTCAAGCCTTGCGGCGGACATGCCCGCGCCGCCACGTTGGCCCAAAAGCTGTCGTCGACCGACGGCTTGAGGTGGAGCTCGCCCAGCGCTTGCAGCAACTGAAAAAGAGACTGCAACAGGCGCGTCAACCCTGGGCGTTGAAGCCGCCCGGAGGCCGCGTCGACGTACGACGCATACGTGTACTTGAGCTTGGCCGTGAGTGATGCTGCACGGGCGTGGAAGAGCAAGAGCAGCTCCATTCGCAATAGCTTCGGATCTCCACAATCCGTCGGAAGACCTTCGAGCAGGGCAAAGCTCGGCAGGTAGAGTGCTTCGAGATCGCGGACAACGTCGGCGCGCTGCAGCATGAATTCTTCCTCATTCACCCGCGCGGCCAAGTTTGCAATGAGCTTCTCGGCCGCAATGACTTGGTCGGTCGCAAAGAGCAGCTGGGTTCGAGCGTTATTAGGGTTGATGCCCGACGGGGCGCCGCTGTCGGGTGCGGGGGCTTCGAGCCGCGCTTTGGTCTCTTCGAGCGTCTTGGCAGAGTTTTCCTAGTGTCGCAATGTCTTAGGGCTAGAAATTAATCGCTAGATTGGACCAACCAAGTCCATGCGCGCTTGGCCGAGGCTTCTTGTGAGCTCGGCCAACTCGGCTTCATGAAACTTGCGTCGGCGCGGCGCGATCGGTGGTGACCGGCCAAACTGCAGGGCTTGTAGCAGCGCAATCTCGTCTTCGCCGGTGGCACTCGCCGTGGCCATACGTCCCAATATCGACGCCTCTTGAGATGCAAACACTGCGTCGTCCTTGGCTTCGTCGGCGGCCAAGACCTCGCCACTCAATTCCATTTTGCGAAAAAAATCGGCTGTCGGATCAAGACCCTCTTGCTTGGCTTCATCCATCTCGCGGGCCCGCGCCGCGTGGACCTTCTGGCGCTTCTCCAGCGCTGCGTCGCGTCGCTCGAGGAGGGACTTGAGCTTGCCCCGTTCGATGGCCGTCGCGTCGTCGATGCGCTTCTTGGCCCGTGCGATCCGCAGCTCAAAGTACGTTCTTTCACGGTCCGCTAGGGCTTGCTCGCTCACCTTGGTGGCGTCGACAGGGCTCAGCATCGGCGCCGTTGTGTATCCAAAGAAGACGGGACTGCGCAACGACGGGTCAAAGAGCGGAGACGGCGGCGGCGGCGCCCGAAGCTCGTCGAGCACCGCTTGTGTGAGTACCGGCGTCGGAGCCGAGTCGGTGGTGGGAGCTTTGGGCTTGCTATCATTGTCCTGGATGTCGTTGTCGTCCAGGTCCGAGTCGCCGCCGTCCAGCGAGTCCTTCTCCGACTCGCTCGCATTGTCGTCCGTGTGACCGTCGATCTCGTGGTTGGGCGCTGGTGCAGCGAACTTGAGGCGCTCGATCTCCATGCGCGCGAGCTCGGCGGCTGCGGTTGGGTCCTTTTCCATTTCGTACCCGTCTGTGGCCACGTGCCAGTGCGCGCGCTTCCGACGCAGCGCGCCAAACGTGGCTTCGGTCTCGACGTGCTTGGCCGCGGCCATGTACACGGACCAGTGCAGCGGTAGCGCATAATCGATCGCGTCGCGCGATGGCATTTGACTGTAGGCATAGAGCTGTCGGCGCTTGCTCTCGAGGTTTGCACGGAGCCCGCTGTTGTCGCAGTCGTCGCCTGCTTCATGGACAAGTGTTAGCAGGTGGGCCTCGAGCTCGAGGATCTCGCTCTCGAGCGCGCGCCGCCGGTCGTCTTGCGTGTGGAGCTCGCTGCTATGGAGCGACTGGTACTGCGACGTGTACGTGGTCAAGAGGTGATCGACGCTCTTGGCGTCCCACGTCTCGCAGAACGCGAAGCGCGCCTCGTTGGCCACGGCCGTCGGCGGCGACCGACGACCGCCGGCGTCGTGGTTGAGGATCACCGAGACGTCTTGGCCCATCGTAACGTTGCTCGTAGCGTAGCAGGAAGGGAAGTCCCGCGCGACAACCTCGTCGTTTGGCTCAAAGATACGCTCTGTGGATTGGTTACAATTTGCGTTAGATATGGCCAATGGCATCGATGCGCTGATCTTTCGGACTGTTGATTGGCTGAAATGGTAGCTGTTGATTGTGGCACATGCCGACACAAAGCGTGCCAAAACAGTATTTGAAACAGTGTTTGTTGAAACAGTGTTTGGAGCACGCGTATCATTGCGAGCACCCGCATTCGCCAAAGTGGTTATGGAGCTTGGTGATGGAGCTTGGAAGCTCAGTTCTATGTGTCGCGATAGCTAATCCGAGTGTTATAAACATTGGGACTATGGATTGTCTTGGCCATAACTACCGCCACCACTCGGTGACCCATACCGGTAGCTCTGGACGAGACTGACATCTAAAGCACTCTCTAGCGTCGTGAACAGGTCCGAGTCAGTACGGCTTTGGGCTCAAGTCGCTGGCGATATGCCCGAGTCCTCCTATACCGTCCCTTCCATCTCAAAGGAATAGCTCCATATCGATTCCACCAGTATCTACCTTCCCTTGTCTCATAGCTATAAAATGCAATTTGTGGTTTGTTTACCTAAAGTCTGACGGCTACCGAGAGGCTTACAACGGCACGCGGACCCGGCACGCGCTGCCCGTCTCGTCAACGACCTCCAGGACATAGTCACCGAGTGGACCGTCGACGCGCTTCTGCAGCACCGAGACGGGGTAGTACATGCTGCGCGGTGGCGTCGTCGACCGGTTCTGATCGTGGACGACAGCGACAGCCACGAGGTCGCCACCGATGGATTGGTGCAGCACCAGCATAAAGTGTCCGTCCGGAGCAACGACCTCCAAGTGGTCGGCGCCAGCGTCGACACCCGCCGTCATCGCCAAATCGTCAGGACGCACGCAGTCGAGCAGTGGCGCAAACGTCAGCTGCATATTCGATGCGTCGTCCATCGTCACTGCGAGAATCGCTTGGCCATTCGGGGCCCCAAAGCGCTCGTAGACGTCCGTGAGCCGGCCATAGAACGCACTGCAGCGCGTCTGCGTATGCAGACAGAGACCGACAATCGTCGCGTCGTCTTCTCCGCGTCGGCACACGTCGACTTGAACGAGCGCTTCGCCACGCTCAAGCAGAAAGAGCGACTGCGACGGCGACAAGGACGCCGTCTCGGCAAGCGCGTGCACCGCAGCGAGCGCCAGTTGGCCGTTGGCAACGTCGATTTGGACACCGAGAAGCGCATCGTCGCGCACGGCGGATGGCGGCGTCGGTGGCGGGTGCAGGCTGATGCTGGCCGGCGGCGCGCCCTGGGGCGCAGGACCAAAGTAGGCGCCGAGCGTGCCGAGGTACTGATGGCCGTGCGACCCGTAAAAACCCGTAATGCACGCGTCGGATGCACACACAAAGGCATTCTCGACGCCGTCATCGCCGCCAAACCACGGCGAGATGCGCCGGTTGGTGTGGAAGCGCAGCGCATGGATCCACTCGCTCGAGCGCACGTCGACTTGGATGATCACTTCGTTCGGCAAAAGCGAAAAGACATGCTCGTCGTCCGAGCAATAGTAGCCGTCCCGGCACTTGCTAGCATATTCCGTGGCCGACAGCGTCTTGAGGCTCGCAATGGCGTCCGTGCACGAGAGCAGAATCGCACCGAGGTGTCCTCTCGGCGTCACAAAGGCGTCTTGGTCGCCGTCGTTCGAGCCAAGGCCAATGGTCGCAAACGAGCCGGACGCCGCGCTCGCCGGCGCAGGCGGCGGCGTCAAGTTGAAGAGCGTGTTAAACTGCTGCAACAGCTGGTCGGCCATGCTCGCGATTGGCGTGGCCGACGTGGCCGTGCTTGTCGGCGCCCCGGGGCGCGACGCATCGGGCGGCAACGCCGTATAGTACGCGCCCAGACTCCCGACGCCGGCACTCGACGACGTGCCAAAGAGAGAGTAAAAGTGGTGCCCCGGCGGCGGCGTGAGCGTCTCGAGGCCGCCGCCGCGCCCACCAAAGAAGCGCGTCGTGCGGAGGTTAGTATGGAAGCGCAGAGCCGCAATCGTCTGGCCTTTGTTCGCGACTGTCACGTCCATCTGGAGTATGTACTCGTGGTCCATGAGCAAAAACATATCTTGATTGCCGCTGGCTGAGAGCCCGGCAAAGAGCAGGTCGTTGAGCGCGCTTTGGCTCAGAATCTCAATGTCGAGCACATGCGACGCGTCGGCGTGGAAGAGAAACCCGGCAATATCCGACCGACCGCGGGAGTCACTGCCAAATGGAAGATGGCCACCGAGACCGACGGGGCCCCGCAGCGGCCCGGGCCAGAGCACCTTGGGCGCCATCGTGGGCACGCGCTCCGGGGCGCCAAACACAAACGGGCTCATTTGCAGGCGCAAATGCGATGCGGCGTGCCAGAACGGGCTCGGGCCCGGGACCGTGTCGACGCCAGCATAGTTGACAAAGAGCTTGCCGTCGGGAAAGGCTCTCGAGTAGGCGGGCACGCGCGCATTTGGCTTGCGCGTGTAGACACTGAGGAGGTGATCGATCGCGTGGCGACCGGCGGGCAGCGCCATGACACCGTCGCGCGTGTGGCCCAAGCCAAACGCATGGCCGAGCTGGTGCAGACCGTGACTGAGTGCGGCCGTGTACTGGTCATTGTCGAGGAAGCTCTTGTTGAGACTGCCAACGCTCTCGGGCCACTGCGCCACGTTGTGCACGCCGAGCACGACCAGCGACGCATACCGGTCCGTGCACAGCTCGTCGCTGAGCGGTCCGTCGAGAAGGACCAAGTGTGTCGTCGTCGTCAACGTCGACGCGTAGTCGGGCAGCGCCTTGATCGCTGCGTCCGCATGGCTGGCATCGGCCGCGTCGAGCGCATGCACGCGCGGCTGGCCGTGGTCGTCAACCTCGAGCGAGAACGATGCCGAGCCGGTCAAGGCGCCAAACGCGGTCTGCAGGACGCTGGCAAAGAAGCGGACCTTGGCGAGGCCGGCCTCGGCGCGACTGCCGTCCGACGCCCAGTACACACGCACGTGGTGCGTCGCTGGCGCCGGCGCATAGTCCATCGAGAGGATGTGGTATGTCTCGGCAATGTTGATGCACACCTCGTGCTGGCCAATGCTCGGCAGCGCAAGCAGCGCCTTGAAGCGGCCATCGTGGGTCACCGGCCACGCCGAGGCTTGGTCGTCGACGTAGATCTCAGCGAGGACGTTGTCGGGCAGCTCCCAGCTGCAGTGGAAGCGACCCTCCATGAGCTTGAGCGGGTACCGCGCTTCGTCCGCGCTCGTGATCTCGATGCGTGCTTCGTCCTCCATCGCCCGACTTCGTTGACTGCGAACTTCTCTGTCCGTTGCAAGATCTTGGTTGCGTTATAACGCATGTTACAGCCTGTTTACCTGGGTATAACACCCGGGACCCACGAGAATGCATACGGTCCAGCGGCCGTGCCACGTCATGCCTCCCAATTTTTATATTCGACGCGGCTGCACCGAAAATTCGATGGCGGCGCGGCAGCAGCGGGCCCGCAGCCTCGACGCCGACGCCTTGCTGCCCGAGATCACCGAAATGATTGCAGAGCGTATTCCGTGCCCCGCTCCCTCCCGCCGCTTGTTCATGGCGCTTCCGGTCTCGGCGACACGCCAGTGCTGTTGAGCCCATGCTCTGCCACGTCATGGTTGACACGCATCGAACGCCTTTTGTAACCGACAGCTCTATGTTTGGATGCCAAGTCTTTTTGTGGCCCTCGTCTTTTGTGGGTCTAGTATTGCCGACAAGTAGGGTGTCGACAAGCCGAAATGATTTGTCGCCAAGCCGCAAGACCGAGGTGGCACCGCGGCGTCGACCAGGAGTATCACTCGCAGCCAAGTTTTGGTTGTAGATGAGTGGCTCTCGTGGCCTTGTACGCTGTCACGGCATAGCTCTATGTCAGTCTCTCGTCAATTGAACGCGTGCTCTTGAATCGATCAGTAGAACAGAGTCGACTAAACGAAACGATAGAGACACCGCCCAAGGATTGTTCCTACGAGGAAGCGTGGTTGTCAACCCTACTGGCGACCAAAGATCCTTGCGCACCAAGACCTCCAGCATTTCCACAAAATTGGCATTGATTGGTGTTACTAGTATCGGCTTAGACCCGAGAACTTGCGCTTGGTTGAAAGCAGATGCGCGAGCTGCGCCTTGAGCGCTTCGTCGTGGACCACTGTGGACCAAGCGCTTTGCCACTGCACCCGAAACATCACGTCGGCCGTCCAGAGATGCCCCAAGGCAAGGGCCATGGCCCAGTCGACCACCTCGCCAGCTTGGAGTAGCATTGTCGCACGCGCTTCCACACTCGGAGGCAATCGAATGGCTTCGCTGGCTTTCCGTCCTTGGCTCAAGAGCTCGGTCGTCACCAGTTGCAGTGTTGTCGTGCGGCGGCGGGCGGTCAGCGCCACGAGCCGCAAGAGGAAGTCGACGTTGCCGATCGCGTTGGTTGCGTCCATGCAGTACGGCAGCAAGAGCTTGGCCTCTGTCACATGCTTGGGGCGACCTGCAATTTTGTAGAGGCAGTCACGCGGTCGGCCGAGACCTGCATCGAGGAGGAGCCGCGTCATCTCGGTCAAATGGCTGCTCGATGCCATTTCCAGGAGCGTGTTGTCATCGCGGTGGACCCGGATTCGGCGCGACAGCATCTGTGCCACAATCTCCACATCGCCATGAGGAAGCGCATGCTCGAGCATGTCGGCCGTGACACGGACCTTGGTGTTCGCCAAGACATAGCGCACGGCGTCCCACGCCTTGTACTTGACGGCTCTCTCGAGCGCGTCGCGGTAAGAACGAGATGCACGAGGATGCTCGAGAATGAGCTGCACGAGCGGTACGTTATTAGCTTCGCAGGCATTTACGAGCCAGTCGCTGTTCCAGCGCATGCCGCGCGTGAGGCAGAATTGGATGACATCGACCATGCCGGGCGCTGCGGCGGTCATGCGCCAAAGGGGCCGAGCGGGGAAGGGGTACCCGAGAGAGAGAAGGTACTCGGCCGTGTGCAGCTGGCCATACTCTAGAGCAGTCCTAACAACGTCGTCTCGGGTGCCGCCTTCATTTCGGTTGGCCACGAGGTACTGGACCAGCGCCAAATGAACGCGCCGCGCAGCACTGTCGACCGCGTCGACCGTGCAATGGAACGTACCGAGACCATTGAGGTACTGGACGATCTCGAGTTGGCCATTGGCGGCAGCAAAGTCCAAGAGGTTGGGCGACGCGTTCTCACCTCGGTGCTCGAGGAGAAAGCGAACAATGTCGACACGGCCTTGGAGAATGGCCTCATAGTGCGCTTTGTACGAGCAGCCTTCGGTCCGGTTGAAGTGGAGAAACTTGACAACCTCAAAATGACCATGCCTCGCAGCGGTGTCCATCGCTCTCGTCGTGCATCCCTCGCGTCGGTGCTCATGGAGAAAGCGGACGACCTCCAAATGACCGTTCCAACTGTCCATTGCGCCCGTCGAGCACTCGGAGCCGCGGTCGTGAAGTCTTCGCACCAGCGGCAAAAAGCCTTGACCGGCCACGATGTCGAACAGTCTTGGGCTGTTGAACCACGGCAAGACGGTGCAGGCGAGCGTCGCATTTTCGAGCGTGGCGTCAAAAATGGCGTGCCGGCAGTTGGACTCTGTGACCATCTCGGGGCTCGGGTCAACGCGCTGAATGAGCTCGATGCCTCTCGTGTCGCTTCTGGCCAAGGCCGAACACAACCAGTGCCGTGAGAACCGGTACGAAAAATGATCACCTACGATAGCATCAGTACAAATCGCCGCCTTGCACAGAGCACGACAGTACCCGTCTCGAGCTGGGTGCGTCGGTAGAGCTCGGGCCTCGACGTTCTGTGTTCCAGTAGAAACGCAGCCATCTCGAGGCGGTTCTCTCGGATGGCCAAGAAGATTGCATCGATCGAAGCGAGCGCTGGCCGACAGCGAACGATGCGCTGGGCGAGGAGGTCAAAGCCTTCGACGATCGCTACGTGCAGCGGCATTCGATCGTCGGGCAGCTGACAATGCAGAGCGTACTCTACAGGCTCGAACGACGTGCGGTGATCACGCCGCCACACGGCGTTGGGTGCAAACGTGGTTTGGTACGCCACGTCGCACTCGTAGGTGCCTGCGTGCAGCTCGAGCAGCTCACGACAGGCGTACAAGGCCGCGCGCACGTCTTCGAAGACGCCGTATTGATAGTCAAAGATGATGGCCGCAATGTCGGGCTGCGCGAGCACGACGCTGCGAAAGGTCGACGGCATCGGTTGGCGTCCTTGGTGGAGCGCCTTTCTGGCGGCGAGCGCGCTTTCCGGTTGTGGATGGACCGTATCCGGAAGTACGTGGAAGGCTCATGACTGCTCGAAGCAAGGAGCGTACGAGTACGTAGCTTGCTGTTCGTCGGACATTTGCCCAAGCAAGAGCATAGTTTGATCATGTTCTTGGCCAAGGTGCCGAGTGCTCTACTAGGCACGTTTCGATTTCTCTGCTGGACTAGTAGTACTGTCTTGGCAATCTGGCGGGATTAGTCGAAAATAATATCTTCTAAATAGGTTTGCGGCCTATCGCGGCTCATCACGACCATCTCTTGTCGCTTTGCTCGCGTTGGCGATGGCCGCACTCGACCAGCAAGATCTTGAGCAAAAGTGCACGTCCACAGCTGGCCGGCTAGCCTAGTCGGTTTTTCTAACCGGCTGGTCCAGCCGGCTACCCAGCCTCAGTATAGCTGGTCACCCAATCGGTCGCACGACGTCAAAGCTACTGCAAGCCTGTCGCTTGCAGGCTCAGACTTGTTCGCCCAGACGCACATAGCCATGCTCAGCCCCTGCTTGGCTCCTCTCGCTACACCAGCCGGAGGTATCCCGTGTGAACGCGTACCGTGCCACGTCATACTCCAAACTTAATACTTTATTGAATCTCAAAGGTGAAATGCGGTGGCGGGTAGTACGGTAGTCGGCGTGTCAAAAGCAAAGTCGATGGCAACTCCCGCCAGCGCACCCGATCGACCACCAGCGGCGTCTTGCTGCCTGAGATCACCGAGGCGATCGCCGACCTGCTCTCGAGCTCCGACGACTTTACTGCGCTCTTGGCAGCGCTGCCAGAGGAGGCCAAGACCCCGGCGCTCGCGGCTGTCTCGCGTCTCTCAACCTCACCAAGCATGACGGTGGCGTGGCCGTCGATCACCGTGCGCAGCCCCAAGCTTGACAGCGCGACGATCCAAGACCTCGCGGATGCCACCGCGTTAGGTCCGCGCATCGTCATTGACTACCCGATTACTACACGCAACGACTTGGGAGCCGTCGCCGACATCGCGGCCAATATTACTTCGCTCACGTTCAACTTGACCGGCGCCGGCAAGGCGGCGTTGAGCTTCTTCCGCTCGACGATCGCTTCTTGCATGCACCTTGAGAGCCTCGAGCTCACGGATGCCTCCGGCGGCCGCGGCTTGATCGCCCTCAACGGTGACTTTTTCGAGCTGGCGCACCTCACGTCGCTCGCGCTCCGCGGCAGTGGTCCTTGGGATGGGACGCCGCTCCCGGCTGATGTTTGCGAGCGTCTCACCCATTGGCTCCAGACGGCGCCTGCGGTCTCCTTGAAGCTGATCGACCTGGGGTTTGCCGTGGAGCCGGGCACCCCGCTCTGTCTCGCGCTCTGCGACGCGATCTCGTCCAGTGCGACTCTCACGACGCTGGCGCTCAACCAAGTGAGCCTCTTTGGAGGCGAGTTCTTGCACGGGCGGCCTCTGCCCAAGACCTTGACGTCGCTCGAGTGGGACGCCGACGAGTTTGCCGGTGACTTGCATGCAGACACGGACGAAGGCTGGGGCAATTTTCTTGACGCGCTCGCCGACGGTCCGCAGCTCAAGCACTTGAGCTGCAAGAAGTTTGAGGCGCTTCTAGAGCACGAAGAGCTCCTCGAGGAGCTCGAAGACCTCACGTCGCTCTCGCTGCACGCGATGGATGTGGACCAAAACTCGGATACGGTTCCGCTCTTTCTTCAGTTTTTGGGCAACATGTTGGAGCTCAATTCGCTGAGTCTCAACACGATCGGCTTTTGCGGCAAGGTGGCGCGCCGGCTCATCAAGGCGCTGCGATTTTCTCAGTCCCTCAAGGAGCTCAAGCTCTCGGCGATTGGCCTCACTGACGACACCATGTCGGCGAAGGACCTCAAGCTCTTGCTGCAAACCGTCCCGAAATTCATGTGCCTCGCGCACCTCGATGTTTCCGAGCACGGGCTCGACATGAAGACCTTCCTTGAGATGCTACCGACGCTCAATGCCGCGGCTCAGGATCTGCAGACGATCAGCATCCAAGGCTACTGGCACCAAGGAGACGTCGAAGCGTTTCTCGATGCGGTGCATCAGCTGCCCGACCGCCAGTTTGCGATCGTTCTGCGTCCAGCGCGATCGGTGAATGCGACGACCGAGGCCCGCTGCGCGCAGTTGATTACCGAACATGGCCTGGGGCCGCGCGGCGGCGAACAGCAGTGTGTTTTGTACTTGTAAAGGCCTCTTTGGCAGTAAACCATTGTGTATGCACTGAAGTTTAGTACCTAATTGTCCCAAGTCTACCATCTTGCATGGTTGTCAACTCAATGCATCATGGTCCCGGCCAACCGCATGGTGCGTTCCGTGCTGACCGAGGCGAAGATCGTCTCGAAGACTTTGTCTGCAGCTGTGCTTCAATGATATGACGTCACGGCTAAGGAGGTGCTATTTTGTATCATGCACTGGCCGCTCCCAGCGCCAGCAGCTTCCGAGTGTCGGCTCACGGGCTATGGATCACTGCGTGATCGCACGGTGGCGTGCCACGTCATACCTCGAAACATTATATATCGGATTTGAAAGGTGACCAACGTCAACTGACTGGCCTTTTCAGCACCGGTTCGTCGACACGAGTATGATAGCAACACAACCCCAGCGCGCCCGAGCGACCGACATCGGCATCTTGCTGCCTGAGATCACCCAGGCGATTGCACGCCTTCTGCCAGGGCCCGACGCCTTTGCTGCGTTCGTTGCAGCGCTGCCGGCGTGGGCCAAAACCCCGGCGCTGGCGGCCATCGCACGTCTCTCGACTGTACCAAGCATGGCGGTGGCGTGGCCGACGATCACTGTACTTGGCCCTGAGCTCGACAGCGCGACCACCGAAGATCTTGTCGCTGCCACCGCGCTCGGACCGTACATTGTGATTGGCTACACGATTGCAACACGCAACGACTTGGCGGTCGTCACCGCCGTCGCGTCAAATATTACGTCGCTCACGTTCGACTTGAATGACGCCAGCGACAAAACATTGCGCTTCTTCCGCTCGACGATCGCGTCGTGCACGTACCTCGTGAGCCTCGAGCTCACGAACTACGGGGGCGGCAGCGTTCGCTATCTCAAGGGCGTCTTCTTCAAGCTTGCGCACCTCACGTCGCTCGCACTCGTGGGCGGTCTTGACTGGTCTGAGCTCGAGCTTTCGACCGGTTTTGGCGAGCGCCTCGTCCATTGGCTCCGTACCAAACCTGTCGTATCCTTGACCATGTTTGCCATCAGCTTTGCCGACGTGCCAGGCTCGCCGCTCTGCCTCGCGCTCTGCGACGCGATCTCGTCCAGCGCGACACTCACGACGCTTGCACTCAACAATGTCAACCTCTTGGAGCGAGGGTTCTTGTACGAGCGCCCTCTGCCTGTGCGCTTGGCGTCGCTCGAGTGGGACAAGTACGAAGGTCGCAGCAGCGACACGAGCGAGATGTGGGATAACTTTCTGAGCGCGCTCGCCGGTGGTCCGCAGCTGACGCACTTTAGCTGCAAGCATTTTGTCATGCTGCTCCACGACAAGAAGATTCGGCATATGCTCCGAGGCCTCTCGTCGCTCGAGATCAACAATTGCGCATCCCATTACGAGATTCTCGATGCCCTCAAGACCATGGCCAACCTCACGACGCTGAGCTTCCGCGACGTCCGCTTTGAAGTCCAGCTGATGCGCCATCTCGTCCCGGTGCTTCGAAAGCTCCCGTGCCTCGAGGTGCTCAAGTTCACCGGCAAGAGCAGATGGGAAGAGCTCGCAATGTCGACGAACGACTTGGCGCATCTCCTGCGGCACGTGCCCCGTTTTGCGTGCCTCTCGCATCTCGATGTCTCGCACGATGCCCTCGACATGGCGACCATCCTTGGTCTTCTGCCGACGCTCAATGCAGCAGCCAAACGGCTGCGGACAATTAACCTGCAAGGCCACTGGCAGCCAGGAGACGTCGAAGACTTCGTCGAGGCGGTGCGTCGGCTGCCCGACCGTCATTTTGCAATTGTTCTCGACGCGGCGGCTCAGCACAGCGAGGCGGCAACCGACGCCCGCCACGAGCATTGGATCGAAGAGAGCGGCCTCGCGCCGCGCAGAGGCCTCGACCAGTGCATTGTGTTCATTTAAGAGCCCTTTTGAACAGCGCTAGCGCTCATCTATGTCGTGTTGTGTCGCTTCATCGTTGGCGCATTATGTATCCAGTCAGAAGGCATACTCACACGCTACTGAATTGCAAGGATCGGGCTATACATTCGAGAATGTCGACTCGGTCAAATGCAAATGTCCCGAGGGCGGATTATCCCGTCCTCCGATGCCAAGGCGAGCCCGAGGTCGTTGAGACGACGCATGACGACCACGAGCTCATCGAGAAAACCTTGGACGCGTCATCGCTACAGTTTTGATTTGTGCAGAATTTTCGATCAATCACATGCTGATCGCATGGGGTGCCACGTCATACCTCCAAACTCGATACATCGACTTAAAGAGGTAATTACCGCTGGCGGCCATGGTGAAGGCAGCACCAACCCAGCGCGCCCGAGCGGCCGACGTTGGCGTCTTGCTGCCCTAGATCACCGAGACGATTGTACGCTTGCTGCCAGGGCCCTACGTCTTTGCCGTGTTTGTGGCAGCGCCGCCGGCGTGGGCCAAGCGCTGACGGCCATCGCGTCACTCTCGACCGCACCAACCAATGTCGGTGGCATGGCCGACAATCACAGTGCTTCGCCCTACGCCATGCAGTGCGACATCTCGGAACCCTCTCGATGCCGCCGAGGTTGGTCCGCGGATCGTCATTAGCTACACGAGTGACACACAAGAGGAGTTGGCCTTCGTCTCCGGCAACGCGCCGCGTATTACCTCCCTGTCCGTCGTGGTACGATACGTCAGACCTTGGAGCTTGTGCAGCACTGCATCATCGTCCAGAATCATGTCAAAGTTGTGACAGCTGAGGTGCTGCTGCGGCCAGGCCGCTAGATCCGCGTATCGCCATTGGCTACAAGATTTGGGCGCGACTTCGCAGTCGTCGCCGGCGCTGCCTCCTGCATCACGCCACTGACGTTGGGCCGCTACGACGGATTGCCGCATCCCCTCGACGGTACGGCGTGGGTCTTCTTTTGCTCGACGATAGCTATGTGCACGCGACTCGAGACGCTCCGACTGCAAGGCTTTTGGGGATCCAATTGCGGACAAGCGTTTGTCAGCGCTGTCGACGGCTGTCCAACCGGCACTTTGCCATCGCGCTGCGTCCGATGCTTTGACGGAAGCTCGTCATGCGCACTAGATGATTGAGAAAGACTTTGGACTGCGCCAAGGCATTTCCCATTGGCCCTTGCGCTCTGCGACGCGATCGCCAGCAACACGACGCTTAAACTCAACAACGTCGACATTTTTCGAGACTTTTTGCTCGGGCGACCGCTGCTCCGCAGCTGAAGCGCCTCGATTGGGACGTCGACGCGTATATATTTGGCGACCAAATTTTTCATAGTTCTTATTCTTATTCCCTAGATCACTGCCGACAAGAATCCATCGTACATTTTGCACATGTTTGCCCTCACGCATGTGCTCGTCGTATTAGCGATACGGTATCCTCGTCTGGGTACCGGAGCGACGCTGGTCTGAGAGAATCGTTGATGTTTGGCCCGTCGACATGGGCTGGCATCCGGTTGATCGCGAGATGGTTCGAGACGACTGGGAAAGGGTTTTCCCGTTGGGCACTTGTACTGCGAATCCAATTCTTAGTTTCCAATTTGCTCGAGCATGGCCACGCCAACCCCCCGCGCGACGGCCCTTGGTGGCTTGTCGCCCGAGATCATCGAGACGATCGCGCGGCTTCTTCCGTGTCCCACCACGTTTCTCCAGCTCATGCACGCACTCCCGCTCTGGGCCAAGACCCGGGCGCTGGCGGCCATTGCACGACTGTGCACGACGCCAACGATGTGCGTGATGTGGCCCACAATCACGGTGCTTTGCCCAGACCTCTCGAGCGTAACATTCCAAGATCTTGTCGACGCCACGGCGCTGGCTCCGCGCATCGCTATTGGCTACGCGATTGGCACGCGCAACGAAATGGCCGCCTTTGCGTTTGCCACGTCATGGATCACCTCGCTCACGTTCGAGTTTCCGTACGGGCTTTCGACAATGGACGAGGCGGAGTGGACCTTTTTCCGGTCGACGATCACCTCGTGCAAGCACCTCGAGACACTGCGAGTGACCGACTGTGTGAGCGGGTGCATCGCGCTCGGCGATGTCATCTGGAACCTTCCGCGGCTGACGTCGCTCTCGCTCGCGGGCCACCGATCCTTCTCAACCGCGATCCTCACGAATGACTTTTGCACGCGCTTGATTCAGTGGCTCGAGGCGTCGCCGGTCGTTTGTTTGGTGCTGAAAGACCTGCGGTTTGACGCCCGGCCCAGCTCGCCGCTCTGTCTGCAGCTTTGTGATGCGATTGCGTCGAGCACGACGCTCGCAACGCTGGCACTCGAGAATGTGAGCATCTTTGCTCGCGTGTTTTTGTGCGGCCGGCCATTGCCCGCGCACTTGACGTCGCTCGAGTGGGAGAAGACCGACTTGGAGGAAACCCCGGACGAAGGATGGACCAACTTTGCAAGTGCCTTTGCAACCGGGCCGCAGCTTGTGCACCTCGGCTGCAAGAAGTTTGAAGCGCTGTTGCGGTTGCGCGAATTTGGCCTCGAACACAGCGACGAGACGCTGGCCAAGATTCGAGGTCTCGAGTCGCTCGACACGACGGGCGTCGGTCGCGGAGTGTTGAACCGAGAAGCCTTTTTGCGGTTTGCGGGCAGTATGACGCACCTGACGTCACTGACGCTGTGGTTGGCCAACTTTGAAGGTCGGTACGCTCGCGACCTCGCCAACGTGCTCTCGACGCTTCCGCGCCTGGCGGTGCTCAAGATCACGGAACGCTCCATGTACGATGCGGAAGTGGTGTATTTTCTGCAGCATGTGCCGCAGTTTGGTCGCCTTGCGCACCTGGACATCTCGAGCCACCGACGCAGCACTGCGAGCTTGCTTGCGATGTTGCCGGTGATCAATGCGGCGGCCGCACACTTGCAGACGATCCGTTTGCAAGTCTGGTGGCTGGTCGACGAGGTGGAAATGGTTGCGAAAGCAGCGGCGCAGCTACCCGACTGTCATTTTGCAATGGCGGCGCATCCGAAACTGAAGCGTGACGCGGCAACGACGGCGAGTTTCGCGCGCGTGATTGAAGCGAACGGTATGGGGCCGCGCCATGACGTCGTGCAGTGCGTCTTGTACGTCTAGTAGATATCTTGCATGGATGACTTTAGAAAGGGAGCTCTGAACTGGTATGACGCGCCTTTAAATAATGCAATGGCAGCTACGAGATCAAGGAGCACTCGGACTTCAGGATCGTGGCTGGCATTGCGCAATCGATCACAGAGCTAGCATTCGACCTCGGCAACGAAGCGTAGAACGCCGTCATTGACGCGGCTACGTGGGTAACTTACCGCGCAACGCTCGCGTCCGGCAAGCACCTCGAGACACTGCTACATCGGATTATACCGCTGTCCTGCAGCTTCTGAATCGCCATTTTGTCATCGAGCCGCGCTCGCCATCCCCAGCGTTTTGCGAGCAGTGGCAAGGCATCGCGTCGTCGTCTCTTGACTCGTCCGTCTGCAGAGTGCTCGGGTAAGCGCATGCCGTGTTAAGAAGGCCAAAGCAATGAAATTGATGGCCTTGATAACGTTCCCTCTTCGGATTTTAGCAGTCGCAACACGTCCAACGACTACCGTTTCGTATTAATATCACTTGTGTGCCCGCGCGTGCTGGCAATTCTGCAGTAGGATCACGACCATCGTTCATTGAGGGCGCAGGAGCTTTGTTGCGGTGCTGGTGCGACCAATAACGTGGAAGCTTAGAAGCTACCCTTTGCATGGTGACGCGTCCGATGATGAAGTGCAACGCGGCAACGCCCGCGAATTTCGCGCGGGATTGAAGCTGCATGGCCTCGTGCAGTGCGTTTTATACGGTAGAAGAATCGGGAAACACGAAACTGGTATGACAGAAAGTGATATTGTGCAGGTACACGTGGCGCCCCCACGGCCAGCATATTTAGCAATAGAAAGCAAACGAGCTGCCTGCCGGTAAAGGTTTACAAGTTTTGTGGAGGCCAGTCCCGCTCCATCTAAGTTCTAAAGATCTCGCTGAGAACAAGCGCACGATATCGTTCATCAAGCTTAGTAGTGACTATGCAAGGTTGTGCATGCTGACTCCAAGTGCAATCTCGCAGGCTCTGTCGGCTTGCCACGTCATACCTCCGAAATATTCATGTGTCGACCTGCAACATTTGATAAACGTACGAATGGCTTGTCAGCGCGCCCGCGGGTATGACGTCGGCGTCCTGGCACCCGAGATCGCCGAGGCCATCGCACTGTTCATTCCCTGCGCCGCCTCCTTTGAGCGTTTCACGAAGGCGCTCCCAGCCTCGGCTACGACATCGGCACTGGCGAGCCTCGCTCGGCTTTTCTCCGAGCCGGCACTCAGCATTGCTTGGCCTAACGTGGAGGTGCGCAGCCCGAGCCTCTCGCGCGCCGCAGCCAAAGACCTCGCCGCCATTACAGCGCTAGCACCAAAGCGCGTCGTCGTCAGCTACAAGATCGAGAACCGCAAAGATCTCGGAATCGTGGCTGGCATTGCGCCGTGGATCACAGAGCTGACGTTCTACCTCGGCGACGAATCCTTATTCAGCGTCATTGACGCGGCTACGTGGGCGTACTACCGCACAACGCTTGCGTCCTGCCAACGCCTCGAGACGTTCGTTCTTTCTGATTGCTCGGCTGGCTACGGCGCGCTCGACGGCGTCTTCTTCGACCTGCCATGCCTTACGTCGCTCACGATCGGCGCCTACAACGGCTTTGACGGCAACCTCCAATGCCACGTGAAGCCCGCGTTTACGGCGCAACTCACCAAGTGGCTGCAGACGCAGCCCGTGACCACGTTGGGACTGGACTTTGTCTGGTTCGGCCTGGACCCAGACACCCCGAAGGTCCTCGCGCTCTGCGATGCGATCTCCAACTGCACGACGCTCACCGCGCTTCGCCTCAACAACGTCGACGTTTTTGCTGAGTTTTTGAACGGGCGGCCACTGCCCGAGCGCTTGAAGCGCCTCGAGTGGGACGTCGACGACTACGACGGCACCGACGATTCCCAGGACGGCTGGGACAACTTTGTCGCGGCGCTGGTCCACGGCCCACAGCTTCAGCACCTCGGCTGCAAACACTTGGACGCGCTCATGGAGGAAGACGACGTCCTCGAGAAGGTCGAAGGCCTCACGTCGCTCGAAGCCCATTACGTGGGCCGCGATGTCGTCGGCACGCTGGACGTGCTCCAGCTTCTGAGCAACATGCCCAACTTGAAGCACCTCCAGCTCAAGCACTCGAGTTTTGCGAACGAGACGGCGCGGATGCTCTTCGCAACCGTGTGTACGCGGTCGCGGCTCGAGACGTTCGGGCTCGGGTCGCACCAGCTGGAGGCCAACGACGCTCGCCAGCTCTTCCAGGTCATGCCCCACGTCCCAAACTGGCCACTCAAGCACCTCGACTTGTCCGAGCACGACTTTGACGTCGACGACATCGTTGCCATGCTGCCAACGATGAATGCGGCGATCAAAAACCTCCAGGTCGTCCAGCTCCAAGGCGAGTGGGGCAAAAAAGAGCTGGCGCAGTTTGCGGCCGCCGTCCGGGCGCTTCCGGATCGCCACTTTGTCATTGTCCCGCGCTGGCCGCATGCAGCGTTTCGAGCCCAGTGGTCTGACATCATGCCGGTCTCCGACACGTCCCCCCTTTGCATGGTTTTTGTATAGTGAATGGGACGTTCAGCACATATTCTGTATCATTGTGAACATGATCCTGTGTATGGACAGTACAGAAGCCACCGACCAACTCCACCGAGCTACTCAACTGGAAGTGCTATGGGTACACAGTTCTGGTGCACTGCTCGTCCACCGGGTGTGCCAACTCGAGTTGAGTCCCGATACAGGGGCATGTAGTGTCAGCATGAAGTCGCTATTGACCAAGCCATACAAGCCGCTTCTTCGAGCAGGAAGGACAGGCTCCACGCCCTGGTGGTCGCGCGTGTCTTGTCAACGTTGGCGTCAACGCATTACACTGTATGGAAACACTGTTTCGTCGAAACGGCACGACTAGAAAAACGCCACTTTGAAATTTTCCTCGCTCGAGATGGCTTTGCTTGACGTGGCGGCCGACGCGATCGCCTACTGCGCCGAGACGCGCCTGCGCATTGGTCTCGTTGTTCTCTACGAGGCGCTCGTCACGGTCGCCATCAATGTGATCGGGCAGGTCTACGTCGACGGCGCCGCAATGACCCACGGCCAAGTCGCCGACCTCCCGCTGCCCGACGTCCGGTACGCTTTCTTGCCATGGCCTTCACGTAGCCTCATTTGGTTAGCTTTGGCTACACGCCCATCGAGCTCCACGATCTGTACGCGTCCATGGGCCCGGTGGCCCGGCGCAATTTCATTCTCTTTGAGCTCTTTGATATTTTCTTCTACATGCCGGCCTGTACGTCCATGCTCGAGCGCGTTGAATGCGAAGCGTTTGTGTAGATGTCCTTCTGCTCTCGACGCTCATCACTGCTGGCTACATGCGGCTGCGGCGCCCCGTCTCGCTGCTCGCGTATCTTCCGTTTCTCTCGGTGGTCGCCGACCTGCTCGAGAACGCGGCGCATATCTTTACAGCGTACGACTTTACATTGCAGCAGAGCCTACGTGATATGAATTGGCTCCTCGCCGCCTACACGGGCGCGGCCGCGAACGAGCTCAAGTGGGTCACGCTCGTCGCGTCGGTCGGCGTGCTGCTCGTCACGTGGGTGCGTGTCTTGGGGTTCGTTGCGCCCCCTCCGCACGTCAAGGCCAACTAGTCGCTGCAAGCGTCGTAACCGCGCATGTTTAGTCGTTATGTCCAATGTGTACACTTATATACTAGAGCCCACGCTTCTCTTAGATCGCACTAAACTTGGATAGCATTTGCGATACGAAACACTCGGACGTCTCGCGGGCCGAGAGCACGAGCGGCTTCTCGTCGGCGCGCGTCGGCATCGAAATGTGCAACTTGCGCAGCGCGTCCGGTGAGAGCGACAGACGCGGTGAGTCTTTGACCTCGCGGCTCAGTTCGCGGTCCTTGGCGCGGGCAGCCGACAGCTTTCGACGCGGCGAACATGGCCGGGACCCACTGCATCAGCAATGAGATCTGAGTCCTGTGATGGCATCTGTCTACCTGTCGTCGTGCGAGTGAAGAGGGACAGCGAGCGCCAGCGGCGAAGCGAGGTCGACCATGCGAGAGTGTCGCTGAAACCGATGCTTTTTGGCTGATGGGCCACATTGGGCGTTGCGGATTGGCCGTTGACCGGTAGTCCACCATGGTCGTGACTGTTGGCTGTACGTTCGACAATTGTGGTTCTCGTGACGACCAGACCACAGTCCAGACGACTGAGAACGAGGCAGTGAGTCTGGCGTTGAGGATTCCGATTCGAGCCCAGATAAGCATCATCTGTCTTGTGAGTCTCTTGTTCGTCGTCACCGTCGGGCTCCAGTAGCTGAAGGGAATGAGCTACTGCTGGGTCGCGCCGACTGTACCATGCCTACGAGAGGACGTTGGGTCTCCCGCTCGAGGAACGGGCGTACACAGCACAGCGATCTAAGTGGAATTTTCGTACTGCACGGCGATGAGAATGTGAGCACTGGTGAAGCTCTCCAACCTTGTATGTCGATGCTAGAGAGCTGTGACGAATTGTCGTGGCTACTTGTGCGTACCATTATATATGAGCATATGTGGGCGTTCTGCAATGCGCACAGTCTTGAGTACAAGTCCAGTGGACAGACAACCCCAGCCCTAGCTGCTTCCACCCAAGCCAAAACGTCCGTGATGACGCAAGAGGAGCGCCGCCAAGAAATGGTACATACGCTCCAAAGTCATCGTGGATTGTTCTATTCTTCGACATCGTCATCGAACGTGTGGTCGCAAGGGCCAAAGCGCTCCGACTCGTAGTTGATATAAGTCGTGAGACGGTTCGAGAGCTTGGACTCGAACGTTGGGACAAAACCGCTGGGCACGAGCTTGAGTTCGTTGAGCATGACCTTGTGCATCGCGCCAGCTACAAGCCCAATGTTGTCACTTCTGATTGCAAGCTTGTTGATATGACGTACAGTTGATAAACGTGTTGGGCGTCTTGAGCACTTCAACGCCGTCCACGATATCAACTTCACGCGAAATGAGGCGCATCGTCTTGGCAAATCCACGCAAGCACTGCGACGTCTACGACACAATGTAAAAATCAAATTTCTACAACCGAGATCATTTGCAATATGAAGCGCACCAGATACGGCGGCTCGACGAGCACATAATCGAAAAAGTGGTGAAACTTGGTGTCGACGTCCAGCGGGTTGTTGTAGTCGTAGAATGCAAACGCGTCACCGTACTTGTCACCAAACCGATGGTCGTACTCGAACAAGTAGACATTGTCACGCTCTGGTTCCATGGCCTACATCCCATACAATCGCAATGCAAAGTGCAATTTGCGAGTCAAAATGTACCTTGAGCGCCTTGAAGGCTGCGGGCGTGCTCAAAAAAGCGATCGGGCCGCCCTTGCTCTTCTCGAGCGCCTCGAGCGCCAGCGCGTCGCCCGTCTTTTGGTCGTACCAGCTACATTCGATCGGCGTGAGCAAGCTGGCTACAAATGCAGCGTACAATTGCGAGAGGCGAAAGTCTTCCGAGACGTCGTCGTCTTCGTCGCGGACTTGAACCGCAGCGAGGTGCGCCTGGAGGGCAGCCAGCGTCTCGGCCGAGAGCTCGGAAGAAAGAAGCGCGTCCATGAATCCTACATATTGCTGTGAGCTGCTGCCTGTGGCAGGAGGCTGCCAGCACACGCTCGCACCTCGTGAAAAGTGCCAAGTCGTCTGATTTGATCTATTTATAGAGGCCGACCGCGCAATATTGGCCAATGGTTCGGGTGCACTGCAGCAATCCATATTGCGTAATATACAAAACGAGAGTTTCACACACGTGTGTATTTAGTCTCGTCACGGTGGGAAATGACATCGCATGCATTCTATTGCAGAATGATGATCGCCCACGCAACTTCCATCACAAACAGCACAACAGCAGCCTTTCAGACGACTTGGCGATCCGTATCGAGGCTCGCTGCGGCAAGACGGAGTCCGTATTGCGTTGTATAGCGATCGCAAACTGCTGGCTGACGTTGGCGAATGTCCAATTTCGTCGAAATTACACAGAAGCCAAATTTTGTCTTTCGAGCCATTGAATGATGACGTATTGAGAATAGTTGATGGTAAGCGCGACAGTGGCTCCACCATCGGTGCCAAGAAGGCGCATGACTCTGGAATGTGGGAGGCGCGCAGCTGCCACACACCAGAGAAAGCGGCGCTTGCCCGGTCGTCCCATCTCAGACGCACGGCTCGGTCCGACGCCACAAAATATGATGGGGTCACAAGTCTTACTTTTGGTTGCAAGAGACTCTGGCAGAGGCAGGCAGAGGCGCACCCAAGTCCCGTGTCAGATCTGATACGCGCTGACACGCGCACCACGTTGCGAGCTTGAATCAGACGCCATCTGCTGCTTCGATGTGTTCGAATATGCACGCAAGGAACGACCGGCTCTGGGCAATGCAGACACTATGGCTTGTTTCACGCATGCCACACGCTTGGGCTGCGGCGGCGCGATCCCGTCGGCCTCGACCGCGCTGCGACCTGCGGCATGACCACGAGTACCCCGGGTGGCCCACTGACAGCCCTGAATTTTGGCGAGCAACCGACAATTTTGTCGTCTCCAGACCAGGAATCAGATGCTGCCCCGTCCACATTTTCGATACAAATGCCAAGAATGCAGCGCTGCAAAACCAGGTGGGCAGCGCGGATCCATCTCACACATCTTTCACATTCGATTTTTTACCGGCAAGATGCGCACGATCACGTCTCTCGCAGCGTCCGTGCTCCTTGCCTCGGCCACCGCTGACGCGGCCCTCGTCGGCGGCTGGAGCAACGCCACCGTCGCCGAAATCCAGAAGCTCTACCAAGATGCTTCGATTCTCCCGGCGAGCTACCCGAGCAACGGCTGCCCGCGCGTCTGCGCGACGACCTTTGTCTCTGCCTCCAAGAAGGTCGTCGCCGGCATCCAGTACAAGCTCGACGTCCAGGGCTGCGCTGTCAAGACGGAGGCGGCGACCACATCGGCCTGCGCCTGCACCGAAGCAGCGACGGGCTACACGATTTCGCTCTTTGCACGGCCCGGCAACGAGACACTCATCACGCGTATCGTGCCGACGGTCTCGGGGGCGACTTCAGACGACCCGGCCGGGCTTGTCGGCGGCTTCTCGACGCCGACGGCGCCGACCGCCGAGGACGTCGCGCTCTACTTCAACGCAACCCGCACGGAGGCCAACTACGTGGGCGCCGCGGTCGCCCGCGTGTGCCCCACCGATATTTTGACGGTCAGCAAGCAGGTCGTCGCGGGCCAGAACCTCGTGTACAGCGTCAAGGGCTGCGCGCTGCCCAAGGCCTCGCCCGAGTCGTCTCTCACGTCCTGCAACGCGACGTGCGCGGGGAAGGACTCGAGCAGCTACCAAGTCAAGGTATTTGCGAGCCTCACGGGCGGGTTCGAGGTCAGCGGCTCGCTCCAGGCCAAGGCCGACGGGACCTTTGTCTCTGCAACAGCGACCAACGGTAGCAGCGCGGGCAGCGCGATTGGTGGCAACACGACGACCGCAGCACCGACGGCCAAGCCGTCCAGCGCAGCGCCCACCTCGGTTGCACTGGCTTCGCTAGCCATCGCCGCTGCCTGCCTGTACTAATGACAACAACTCCGTCTCTTCATGGTTATATCTTGTAACTCGTATCAACGATACTCTGGTCAAGCTCTGGTCAAGTCTTCTAGTCAAGCACTCAGATCAACCCTGGTCGGAGGCTAGCACGGTGCCAGTACATGCGCCAGAACGGCAGCCGCGCGACGCAGCCTCTTCACCAGGCGCCAGCGCTCGTAGAATTTTGCTCGTAGATAGATACTCGCACGCCCATGCCAGATGCTGCTAGTACTCCTTGCATGCGCAGTCCCCGGTTGGTTTAGTTAGTCGACGTACTTGCTGCGATTAGTCGATTAGTCGGTGCATCGAACTGCCAGCTGCGCAGCCAAACTGGCGATCTGGCAAACCCGATATATTTTAATCCCATCGTCTCCAAGCATCACATTTTAATGTTTAATGTTTAATGTTGCATAGTAATACTAGGTCAAATAATCGGAAATGGAATTAAAACTCTGGACGGTGGTATAAAAAATGGCCATCGCACTGCATTTCCGAATCTTACCCAACGCTACGAGCATGGTCGCGCTGCGCATGCTCCTGAGCGCGATGGCCGTCGCGTCCGCAGGCGCCGCTACGCATGGCCTAGTTGGCGGCTGGTCGCAAACCTCCATTGAAGACGCCAAGCCCGCGCTGTACGGCGCCTTCCAGAACGCGAGCTCGGCGTTCGTGTGCGTCACGGGCATCTCGTCGGTCCAAAAGCAGGTGGTCGCTGGCATCAAGTACAAGTTCCACGTCGTGGGCTGCCCCGTGAACAACAAGGCGAAGACGCTCGAGTCGTGCCCGGCCACGTTCTGCCCGCCGACCGATAAGGATCAGATCAATTACGCGATCGACGTCTTTGCACCGCTCGGCTCGAACGCGTTTGAGCTCAAGGCCGTCGCGATGGAAGACGCGCCGCCCGAGGTGCTTGTCGGCGGCTGGAAGGAAGGCGACATTGAGGATGCGGCCGACGACCTCTACAATGGCCTCTCGCAAGAAACGTCGTACAAGAACAGCAACACGGCGCATGTCTGCGTCACGTCGATCGAGCACGTCCACCAGCAGGTCGTCTCGGGCATGAACTACCGCTTCGACGTGCTTGGCTGCCAAGTGCCCAACGCGGTCGCGGCCACGCGCGGCTGCAGCTGTGCGTCGTCGATGCCGTTTAAGATTGGTCTCTACGCGCAGTCGTGGACACATACGTACGAGGTGCTTTCGGTCGAGTCAGCAGCCCCGCTTGCTGGCAGCTGGAAGCACGCCGAGATGAACAGCGAAGCCAAAGACGACTTTTACAATGCGCTGACCAACGACACGTCGCACGCCCACGTCTGCGTTTCGTCGTTCTTGGCGGTCGCGACCCAAGTCGTCGCCGGCACTACGTACCGCTTCAACGTTGAAGGCTGCGCCGTGGCCTCGGCGCTGAGCACGGGCCCGACCTGCACGTGCGCCCCAAACGCGCTCAAGACGTACCTGATTTCCATCTTTGTGCAGCCCTGGACGCATACGTACGAGGTGATCCATGTCTACGAGGAGTCGCAGCTCCTTCAGCTCGTGACGCAGTGGATCAGCGCCAACGACCGCAACCAGTTTGGTGACGCCAAGGACACGTCGTACCTCGGTGGCACGCCGCTCATGAACGAGCTCACGGGCGAAAGCATGACGCTGCTCGAGTATGTGACCCAGCAGCACCCCGACTTGCCCTGGCTCGCCGACAAGCAGGTGGTGTCGCTCCGCCTCAACCACAATGGTGTCTCGTCCGTCGATGCGGCCGCCAAGCCGCTCGCCGTCATTGGCCTCATCGTGAGCTGCGTGCTCGTGGTCTCGCTCGTCGTGCTGCACAAGCACTCACGGCAGCGCACCAAGACGTACGAACAGCTGCAGACGGAACACTAAGCCGCCCTAACCCGCTTTCAACCCTAACCCCTGTTACATGTCCTTTTTTGTTAGCATTGTCTGTGTGAAGAGAGGCAATGGACCTAATCGTTTGGTACAGTATATAGTACGATCAGTAATCGTACAGGAGGTCGACTAGAAAAGCTTGGCGGCTGCCGCGCGGATCTCCGAGACGAGGTCGGCATGCGGCAGCTTGGGGCGCACTGCCTTCTTCTTGGCGCTTTGTGGCTTGCCAAAGAGAGAGCTGCAGTCGTCGCCGGTGGCCATCGCGAGGTTGTAGCCGTTGGTGACGCGCGCCCGCAGCGCGTTGCACACGAGGTACACGTCGATACGCAACTCGCCCCGTGGCAACCGCGTGAGACCGACGCCGACGTTCTCGCTGAGCTTGGCAGTCACGTCCCGCCACTGCGACCCGTCGCTCTTATTCCATGAAGCGAGGATGCCACCGTTCTCGGCGCTGAGGTAGAGACCGTCGCCGGCCGCAGATGTCGAGAGCATTGTCTTGCCGTTGGCGTAGTTGACAAACCCTGCACCGTGTCCGTCAAAATTCAGCAAAAGCGAGCCGTCCTTGTACGTTCCGTAGATGCGCGACGAGCCGTCGACATCTCGGTCGACCGTCGCTGCGATGGCGCCGTTGGGCCAGCGCGCGAGTGCGGAGCCGTCGCATCGAATGTGCACGCCCGTGACGGTGGAGCCAGGGTACTTGAAGCTGTACTCGGCTTGCCTGGGTGGTGCGCTTGCGGGAAGGGCTGGCTTTGGTGCCACGTAGGCCTCCATGTCGAGAATGTCGTCATCGTCTTCGTCGCGCCTTCCAGCATCAACTTGATTCGAGTCGTCGACCGTCTCGGGCTGGGGTGGTGGCAGCGCTCGACTCGATTTTTTGGTCTTTAGAGGCACTTGTGCGGATGGTTTCTTCAGCGGCTTGGTAGTTCCAAACACGGGAAGACCGCCGACAGCATCGGCGATCGACAGCGCGACGACGGCGCCTCCCTGCATGACATCGATAGTCGGTGCCCCTTCTGGCGGAGACGTTGTAGCTGGCATATAGTCTTGAATCGGGTAGCTCTCGACGTCGAATGGCAGCGGCGATTTGCGATGGCCCTTGGTTTTCAGAGGCAAGCGCCGTGTCGGAAGCTTTGGAGGGGGTGATGCTGGTGCCTCAGAGATGGTTCTGTCCTCCGTCTCGTGGTCCATACTGTTGTTGTTGCTACGGCTAGGTTCGTGCGGTGTTGACGAGGGTGGAACCTTGTCAGGTCGCCCCTTTTTGGCTTCACGCTCGTTCATCGATTTGGCCTTGCTAGTCGCCTTGGCGCTGTTTGTGCTGCTGCTCTGCACGAGCCGCTCGAACGCCCGGCCTTCGGCACTGGCACGAAATGCCGCAGCGCGCTGTCGCACGTCGTCGGTGACGTGCATGCCGTTGAGGCGGCGAAGCGACGGAAGACAGTTGATTAGGTACAGCCTACGACAGCAGAATGTCATCCCACTACCTCAAGTCTGCAGCGATCGAACGTACTTGTACGAAGGCTCTTTGCAGCACGGATTCGGCTCGAGCACGAGCGTCTGAAGCTCAGACAGCGCCTGGAAGCGCGGCAGCTCACAGAGTTCGATGCGGTTGTGGTCGAGCCATAGCTCTTGGAGCTGCGAGAGCTTCTCCAAGGCAGCGCCGAGATGCGCGATTCGGTTGTGTCCGACCTTGAGTGTCCGCAGCTGCAGTAGTGGCGCGACCCCGTCCAACGACGCAAGGTGGTTGTGCATAACGTTGAGGACGCGAAGATTTGTAGCCTACGCGGTCGTACTATAATGAAGTATTTGGTGCTACGCTCTACGTACGGCGTGAAGGCTGGCCAAATCCGTGAGGAGGTTGAACTACGTGTAGTAGTACACAGTAGAGACATCGTATCGTCCTTCGTGTTGGTACCGAGACATTGAGGTGCTGCACGCGGTCGACGACGAGTCTCTCGACAGCGTCGATGGACGTCAAATGCTCGTCGACGCAAATGATCTCGACATCGGCCCACGCCACCTTCATTTTTAGCGTTGAGTTGCAGTTACGCTACATGCCATGAGCCGACCCAAGGATGTCGCCTCCTCTGGCAGCTTTGGCGGCGGCTTCTTCCTTCCCGCCCAGCGCTCGATGCATTGCAAGGGCGGCTTCTTCACCTCCACCAACATGGCAGGTCACCCGACGACGTTGCCAGCGTCGACAACCACTGCGCGCACCAAGCCGATCAAGCCCCCGCCCCCCGCACGACACAAGACACAGCCCCCACCAGTATGCGCATCCAGCATCAGCAATCTCGCGTCGTAAGCATGCATCGTAGCAAGTAAAAGCCCGTCGGCCAATGAACCAAGAGATCCACGACGACCAGCCAACTCTTCCTCTCCTGGACGGCAACGTCCCTCACAAATTCGAGGTATAAACCGAACGCGGTGAGCGGTGCCACAGCGTCCTTGCAGGTGGCGATGCAAGAGCTGCACTCGATCAAGGGCCAGCTACACACGAGGTAGAGTTCGAGGCACCTCGCTGCTACGTTATGCGAACATAGTCGTCCGACACCCACGCAAGCCGTCCACGTGCCGACCCCCAGTACTCTTGAGCCCGAGCCGCCGTCGCCCGAGAAGAAGCTGCAGATTGCCGAAGCCGTCATTCGCAAGCTCTACAAGAAGAACCTCGACTTGGAAAAGGCACTGGCCGCCGCCAAAGACGAAGCCGTCCGGCGGCACGACCCTAGCCCTGCTCCACCGCCGTACGTCCCTTTGCTTTTGTACTCTATCAGAGAAGATGGGGCAGGACGTCAACGCTGGTGCATCCGCCGACGGTCGCAACAGTCGAGGCGATTGGCGCCAAGAAGGACGACTACCTCCAATTCCTTGCGGCCGAGCAAGACAAGACGATCCGAGAGCTGCGTGCCAAGGTGGACGAGCTGCTCAAAGCGCGCCCCGAGACCGTAGGCGACGCAACAAGCGCTCCACGCGACTAGAGACATGGCAATGAACTAGGTCGAGACCAAAACCAACGTGATTCCTCGACTTCAGAAGCGGCTGCAGGTCCGTCGCTTTCTCCTTGTATAGGGTCGTGACCGCATGAGGCGCACGTAGGAGGCCGTCGACGAGTCCAAGCGACAGCGCACTAACTACTTGCGCATGAAGCAGAGCTACGACAAATTGCTCTTGCAGAAAACGCGGACGCTCTCGAGCAGCGCCGATGTCGGTAGTTTCGTGCATAGCATCACCCGTGAGCCATGTATGTAGGTCGACAAGCAGGCACGCGCGATGCTGAGCCTCATGGAACAGCGCCTCGCGGCCGTCGAGGGCGAGCGCGACCAAGAAGCCATGCTCTTCAACATGAAGTTGTACGTCCAGAACGTGCCACAGGGACACCTTGACGCTTGGAGGCGGGTAGATTCGAGACGGAGAAGCAAAACTGCGACGCGTACGTCGCCCAAAAGATGCTCCAAGACGAGATCAGCACGGTGGTCGACGGTGTCCGGGAGCGGGATGCGATCGACGACCAGATCGATGTAAGACGGGTCATGACGATCATGCGTCATCACGACAAATGCCTAGAAATGCATGCTCGGTGTCTTTGAGCGACTGCATCAAGTCGAGCTTGAGAACGTCCAGCTCCGCGATCGACCCAGTGGACCCAGTGGACCCAGTGGACCCAGTGGACCAGCTGTATAAATAAGATTAACCACGTTATTCGAGGACAATGATGGGCGATCCCATCTGCAGCTTACGCAGTGGACGTACTGAAGTGCGGCGAGGTCGCGTCAGCCCGTTGCAACGGCGCATGTCGCATCGGGTTTTCGTTCTTAAGGCAGATCGCTGGGCGAGGTCGCAGCAAATGGCCCGTGCAAGCAATCACAGGCACGACGGAAAATACCACGATCAAGCCCATCCAGACGTGCCAGTCCGTATCGAATTCGGCCGTGTGCGACGGTAGCGGCGGCAGCGAGGTGGGCGCTTGGTCCTTGCGGCACTGCCGCGCGAGCTGGAGCATGTCTCGAAACTCAAACTCGAACGTTGGCGTCGTCGCCAAACGCTGCTGCCACGCGGCCACGTCAGCGCGACGACGGTGCAAGGTAGCGACATCGCGCTGCCACAAGCGTGTCCATGCCTCGAGGTTGGATGCCATCGACGTCCACGGCAGGTTGAAGTGCTTGGCGAGCTGCTCGATTGTTGCCTCGGAAAAGTCTTGGACCACATGAAAGGATGCGTCGGCTTGGGCACGAGCATCGTTGATGGCAGCCGTGTAGTCGTCGACAAGGTGCCACCGAGCGGCCGCAATCGCGTCGCTCTGGCGACGATACGCATCCAGTTGAGCGTCTCCACGGAGATGCAGAGCTACGCTCGTACGCAGCGTCTTGGCAGCGTGGGCTGTCGCTTCAAGGTACGTCTGGCGACTTGCCAGGCCTTCCGTGAGCCGCTGCAAGCGTGGAGCGACAGCAGCGAGCTGCATCGCAGTGATATGGTCCCGGCAGCGCAAGCCGGCAAAGCCCAGCGCGACAAACACCATGCATGGCACAAAACGGCGCAGCACATCCAGCCACAGATACGCGTCGAGCGGGCGGGGCAGCACTGTTGGCAATGCTGTCGTGGGCGAAACTGCAGCGGCACACGTCGCTGAGACCGACGGGATCTCGACCGACAGCGGCGACGATAGCCCGTGCAGACCGCCCGTGAAGGTGGCATCCAAGAGAAGATCGACAGAATCGTGGAGCAAAAGGTTGTCCGAGCCATCGAGCGTCAAATCCTCGGCGTCGTCGTCGTGTGGTGCGTGTAAAGCTGCGTGCGTTCGCGGGATCGTTCCCGCTGGGTCGTCTCCAGAGCCGACAGAAACAACCTCCTCAAGTGCTGACGACGCGCTGGCTTCATCGGCACCCGAGTCGAGGTGCAGCTCTACAATCGACGCCGGCGTCGTGCCACTCAGCACCGAAATGTCGCCGTAGTAGCCGGGCGACGTCGCATCGTCGACGTCCGAGCCCGAAAATACGTGATCGTATTCACTCGACGACACGTCCAGAGACATGCTCGTCGCGGCAGGCGCGTTTTGCGTCTCGTCGGTGGCGTCATCCATCGACTCGTCGGCCATGGCCTCGGCAGCAAAAGCACTGCCCTCCGTGCCAAGCGCATGCGTGGTCGAGTCGGACACCTCGTCACCGCGCTCCGTGAGCTGGCTTGGGTCGTCGGTGCCCAGCCCATCGCCGATGACTGCGTTGATAGCGGGTGCAGGCCACTCGTCGAGTTCGAGATGGTACTTGGCGGTATGCGCGAGCTCGTCCGAGGAGGTGTCTGCGTCCTCCGACGAGAGCGACGGGCTGGAATGAACGATGCTCTGCGGAGATGCGGGGCTGAGGTTGTCAAAACTGGGTGTCCACGCCACGGGGTACGCGTGGGGCACGAGCGTGGCTGGGACCTCCCAGGCTTCTTCGTCGAGATCGTCATGCGACAGCTCATGTACGTCTTGATCACATGACTCGTTCAACGCACCGCCGCCAAAACTCTCTTGATCCAGCTGAAAGATCGCAATGGTTTCGTCGTCGGCCCAGAATCGATCATGGAGTTGCTGGGCGTAGGCCGCGCTGGGGAAGGTCTCACTTGGGCGCGTAGTTGGAGCGTCTTCCCGTCGTTCGTCGCTCGTCACACCCGCGTCAAATTCGTCTTCTTGGCAGCGGCCAACGACCTCGCAGCGGCCAAGATCGTCGCCGTCCGAGGCCCCGTGGTCGTCAAACGACTCGCCATCTGGATCGTCGTCAGGTCGCCAGTCCTGAGCCATGTCCACGCAGTCATCGAGCTCTGTAGGTTCGCTGTCGTCTTGGGCTTCAGCTACAGCACCGGCACAGTCTTCTTCGGCACGGTCCTCGAGGTCGTCGGCCCGGTGATGGTCCGGTACGTCGTAGTGAGCTACGTCCTCTGTCGCATCTTCGACTTGTCGTACGACGTCTGGCGCATCGCTGTCTTCCTTGTCCACGGTCTTGGGCTCCATGGGCTGCACGTCGGGGAAGCTCATGTAGTTGGCGCAGAGACGCGGGGACTGCTTGGCCTGCTTGATCGCCGAGAGCTGCTTCTGCACGTGGACTTGCATCTCTCGCGTCGCTTGCAGCCGGACGGCGCTGAGGTCAGTGAACGTCTTGCTCGTCTCTGGCCGTTGGCGATGCACTCGTTGCAGGCGGGGTACGTCGGGTCCCATCCTTCTCGCGTCGGGTCCCATGCCCTCGGTCGGCCGCAGAGGCAGGAGCGGTCCCTTGCATGTCCAGCATGAGCGCGATCCTCTTCACATGTGGCATGTCTACCTGCTTCCCTCGCCGCCATGCGTCCAGCTCTTCCTCCATCCGAGAGGGCAAGTGATATTACTTGGCGGGAGCGGACCCAATATTTCAAACCTCGCGAATGTGCATTAAAATACGATCTCATAGCTTGGTATTTGTATGGAATCAAGAAACATCCACGGAAATGGAAGAGAAGCAGGTATATATTGTGTGTCTTGTATTTTGTGGCATGCGTTAAACACGTTTTAGTACGTTAAAGGAGTCAATACACATCGAATGCACAATAATGACTTGGTTTAAACGCCTCCCGGATACGCTGGTCGGTCCGGATACCGTGTACGAGGATTTCATTTCGCCCATTCCAAGCCATGAGCACCGGCGTCCGAGCACGCTCCGCGCGGCCGCCGCAGCGAAGAGGATGGGCTCATGGAGACATCTTGGTGGAAGAGAGCCATCTTGGCGCTGATGCTACGCCGGCGCGGGCAGCGCTGCCGGCGAAGACGACGCTGCCGCGGCTCTACCGCGTCGTCACGTGCGCGCTCCTCTTCCTCGTGGGCACGGCCGCGCTCATGTACCGCAACCTCGAGCTCCAAAGCGCGCGCGAAGACCGTCTTCTCATCGAGATCCAGCAGTCGATCGCTGAGATGGACCAGATTGCTGCGGCGGCGGCCACGATGGAGGCCCACGCGCAGCGACTGGCGTCGATTGCGCAGACGCAGCTCGATGCGCAGATGCATGCGCTCGAGACTGGGCGTCTCGTGACGCAGCAAGAGAAGGTCCGCGCCGAAGTCGACGCGATCCACGTAGAAACCATGCAGCACATGCAATCGATGATGGAAGCCATGGTCGAAAATACGCGCAAGGAGGCCCTCGACATGATGCTGCACCTCTCCGACGACCTCGCACACGACCCCGTCGCACCTGTCGACGACGAGCCTACGCGCGACGGCGAGCTAGTTGACGAGCGCGTCACGGAGCCAACCCATGTTCCGACACCGCTCGCACCTGTGCCTGTCGCACGCCCATCGAACGCAACCACGGCCGCCCGTCCACGCGCGATCGACATGTTTTCGACGCCCCGCTTTTGGGTCTTCTCGACGCTCTGCACGACTTGCATCGTCCTCGTCGTCGTCTCGTGCATGCAGCGGCGCGCTACGTTTGTGCGCTATCGCCTTGCGACACAGCGCTTCTTGCACCGCATTCGCCTCGGCATCTACGCTCTCTGGTGCCGCATCTGCCGCGTCTTTGGCGGCGTGCGTCGCGCGTGGCACTGGCTGCTGCTCAAGAAGAAGCAGCTTTCGACGGCCGTCTACTGGTCCCCGACCAAGGGTGACGTCGCATCGTCGCCGTATCCCGAGGACGATGACGACGATGACGAGAACGAGAACGAGAATGCAGAAGACGAGAGCGTCTACTTTTATCCACAGACGCCCAACCCAGGTCGCCAGACGCCTGGCCGCACCGACGCGCCCCGCGTGCAGTTTAGCTTCAGCGTACGTGCGTGCGATCGACGTTGTCGTTGTTAATGCTGGATGACATAGGACGACGAAGACGACGGTCTCGATGTGACGGGCTCGTTTGGCCAGAGCCGGCAGTCGCACTATGTCAATGCGCAGTCGTACGAAGACGTCTTGACGCCGCTGCCCGCGGCGCGGCTTCCCAAAGCGGGTTTTCAGTTTGGCCAGCGTGCGCGTACTCAACTTGGCCGGTAGCCAAATAGAATATCAACGTCTGCTGTATATGTACAGTGCATGTTCGTATCGATCCTGATGCGGTGTCCAAGGAGGCGTCGGTGATGGTTGTGTCGCTCGTGTTGTTGAGGCTGCCCTCGCTTTGCTATGCGTCGCGGTAGGAGCTGGGATGGCGCGAGACATGGCACCAAGCGTGCACCCACGAGCTTTGACCGCGTTCGTGCTATGACGAAGACGGTTTGCCGCAAAGCGATCTCGTGGAGCGTCAACCTCTGTGTCAAGCATGAAAGGACTGGTTGTGAATTACGACGAACAGAGCGGCTTAGAGCTTCTTGGCCTGCGCGAGGAGCGTCGCGGCGTCGCTGACTTCAAACTTGCCGGGCGCATCAATGTTGACGGCGGCGAGGACGCCGTCTTTGACGAGGAGCGAGTAGCGCGTGCTGCGGACGCCCATGCTCTTGCCCGTCAAGTCGAAGACGAGGTCGTTGGCCTTGGTCCAGGCCGCGTCGCCGTCGCTGATCATGCGGATCTTGCCCGTCGCGTTGAGCGAGCGGCCCCACGCGCCCATGACGAACGGGTCGTTGACCGCAATGCACCAAATCTCGTCGACACCCGCGGCGACAAAGTCCTTGTGGTGGTCAAGGAACGCCGCAAAGTGCGACTCGGAGCACGTCGGCGTGAAGGCGCCGGGCAGACCAAAGATGGCCACCGTCTTGTTCTTCGAGGCCGCGTGGAGGTCGATGGGGTTCGCGCCAATGGCGCAGCCCTCGCCTTCAAACAACCGGTGCTCCGTGAGCGTCGTCGCCGGCAGCTTCGCGCCAACCTTGAGCTAGGATCAGGATACGTGCATGAGGCCATGCAATGCACACCATTGATAGTACCTTGGTGGACGTGCTAGCGGCGCGGGCCAAGG